TATATATATATATATATATATATTTTTTTTTTTTTTTACAAAAAGAACAGCAAAGGATTTGCTGTCTGCTGGGCCGTTATGCAGAGTGATTTGCCAGGGTGTTGAGGGATGTGGCTTATTAACATCTAAATGTCTTATTAACATCTCAATGTCTTCCATGCACGCTCCAGGGTCGCCTCCTACAGGGAGATCAGATATCCCTTATCTGTGCTCCTGCAGTCCCTGTGTCTGTTCCTGGGTTAGGCCTCTTTCTTTATTTCCTGTCACACTGTTCTGATTCTCATTTCATGGATGAAGAAATTGATGCCTGGAGTGGTTAAGTCACACCTCCAAGGTAACTTAGCTAGGGAGTGATGACGCTGGTGTTTGAACCCACGTTTTTCTACTTTAGAATTCAAGCAAAAGACAGAGTTTCTTCCAGTACAGCCTAGAGGGGGGGAAAGGAAGCGGGAATAGAGTCAAACCGTGTAAGCCATCAGTATAATATATGCAAAATGCATTATATTTAAATGAATTAATATTGGTAAAGTTCTCAGAACAAGCCAGGCACAGATTCAAATAAATGAAATAGGATATCCAGTCGTAAAAAAGGGCTTGAGAGCTCTGACTGGTTTGGCTCAGTGGATAGAGCGTCAGCCTATGGACTGAAAGGTCCCAGATTCGATTCAGATCAAGGGCATGTACCTTGGTTGCAGGCACATCCCTAGTAGGGGGTGTGCAGGAGGCAGCTGATCGATGTTTCTAACTCTCTTTCCCTCTTTCTTCCTCTTTGTAAAAACTTAATAAAATTTATTTTTTAAAAAGGGTGCGGGGGCTTGAGAGCCCTAAATGGTTTGCTCAGGCAGGGGTCCTCAAACTTTTTAAAGTGATCACGGTCCCTCAGAGAGCTGGAGGGCCAGACTATATGAACTACTAATTCCTACTGTAACACCTCGGCTGCGCTCACTGCCCAAAAAACCTGGCGGGCCGGATCAGACTCCTCTGCGGGCCGCATGTGGCCCGCGGGCCGTAGTTTGAAGACGCCTGGTTCAGGTTTGGTTCCTGTCAAGATCAGGCTCCATCCCTGGGGCCTGTGAGAGAGGCAACCAATGATGTGTCTCTCTCACATCCATGTTTCTCGCTGTCTCTCCCTTCTCCTCCGTCTACAAATCAATAGAAAACTATATCCTCAGGTGAGAATGAACAAACGGTGGAGAAAAGCAGGCTAAGGCGAGAGGGTGAGGAGGGGGCCGTTTAGGCGAGTGGCCAGGGAACCTCTGGGCCAGGTGACATTGCAGCAGAGGGGTCACACGACGCCCCCACCAGGTTGAGGTCAAGACCCTGGAATCTGCCAGCTTCAAACTGGCCCTCAGAGTTAGAAATTAGGGCAGGCACTTCCTTGGCCTGAGGGCTTACTTCCTTCTTTTGTGAAGGGGAACTCCTGTGCCTAAAGGGTTGGCTGGAGCCTTATTTCATGGCTTGGTTAGGAGCTTGCTGGGACCTGTGAAGGTGACCTTATTTGGAAGCAGGGTCCCTGCAGATGTCATCATGGAGTTGAGATGAGGTCATTAGAGCGGGCCCCAGTCCAATATGACTATGTCCTCACCAAAAGGGGGAGTTTGGACGCAAAGACGGAGACACAGGGTCATCACCATTGGAGGTTGGAGCCTCGCTGTCAACCATCCAGGGAACAGCCTAGATTGCCAGCAGCAAACCCTACAAACCGGGAGGGAAGCCTAGGCCTCCGAAGGAACCAGCTCCGGCCTCCAGATCTGGGAGGCGACCCATTTGTGTGGTCTGAGCCACCCAGTCTGTAGTTCTTTCCTAACGCAGCTCCAGGAAACAGATACACCTAAATATTCAACTCCATGCAGACATGGAGGCTCTGAGCAGAGGTAGGACTTGAACCCAGGCCAACCTGACCTCGGAGCCCATGTCCAGGTTCCTGGTCTTTCTTGCCCGGGAGGTGACAGTTCGAACATGGCCCCGTGTTCAGGGAATGGTGTGTGGGACGTGAAGCCTTGGTCCGAGGCATCCAGATGTCACCGGTATCCAGGGCTCCTGTGAAGGCCTCTCTCTGGACAGGTGGATGGGTCCCAGCAAACCCATAGGCCATGGGCAAACTGTGGCTCGCGAGCCACATACGGCTCTTTGGCCCCTTGAGTGTTCTAACTCCACTTCTTCAAAATAGACTCGCCCACGCCAAAAAACAACTTCTGCTCACGGGCCACGAAGTTTCAATCACACTGTACGGGCGCGCCCGCACACGGTATTTTGTGGAAGAGCCACACTCAAGGGGCCAAAGAGCCCCATGTGGCTCTAGAGCCGCTGTATGCCGACCTTAGGCACAGTGATTCCATTTCTTAGGACTTGATCCCAAGGACATACCTTAGACACGTGTGCCCAGGGTCACAGCCAGGATACTTGTGAAGCATCCATCTTACATAAAAACTGCTGTTTGACATTTTAACCCTGCTATTTGGCTTCTGTAAATGCTTGTTTGCTTAAATAATAAGAAAAATAAGACTACTCCCACTTCGGAGAGGCCATTAAACCTTCCCCGGACGAAGTTATCAGTCCTTGCACCAGGCCAGGCCTTTGGTTGAGGTCTCAAGGCCCCAGCACATAGGGGCTCTCTAAGAACTTGCAAAGGGGGCCGGAAACACCCCATATTTGGGAGACGAAAAAGATAAAACATATAAATAGAGAAAGATTCTCCATGTTGGGGTCCAGAATTTGAGAAACATTTTCCTCTGGACCCGCGCGCAATAAATGTAACTCCATCTCTCTAAGTATTGCTTGCTTCTTCTCCGGGTTTTCTGTTACACCTGTTTGTATTGAATAATATTGAAAACGTTGCCAAGACAGTCTCTCCAGGGTCTGCCTTTAAAAACTTGTGATACCCAAATTCACTGGTCCTGTGTGAGTGGACCACTCGTTATTAGTCGAGTGGAAATGCGTTCAGAACAGACCATATTGATACAGGAACTGGGAGCCGAAACAGCACGTATGACGTGATCCCATTTTTGGCATAGAAAGCGGTGTGTTTAGGAGTATTTGCCCCAAATGTGAATTGGCCCCTCTTTCCCGGTGGCGGGATTGGTTACAGGGGATTCGTACTTTCTGCTATCTATCTCCTGTTTTGTATAAGTTACAGAGGTTATGATTATGTCAGTACTCAGAAAAGGTATAATAAAGCTAATTTTGTCTGAGAGAGTGTGTGTGGGGACTAGGGTTAACTTGTTATTCTGTAACTTCACGTGGCTCCCACAGAGTTCTGCCTCCTCCTACTAAACGATCCTTTTGCCCTGGCCTGAGTGTATTTCAGAGCTTCTAGGAGGCCACGTTGGTTATTAATCAGCCAGTAGGCCAGAGAAATCCTTGATCCCGAACATACCAGCCTAATAAGCAAAACAAACAAAAAATGCTTCCAAAGGTTGGTTCTTTGGGGCCTGCTAGCATGATCAGTGACATTTGGACTTCAGAACAGTTTCTCAAGGACCTTGCAATCAACCCACCGAGTGAGCCATACACCCTTTGGGACTTAGGGCACCTCCCTTCCTCTCTTTGGGCCTCAGTTTACTCAGCTGTAAAATGGGCACATCCATCCAGTTCAGTGTTTCTCAGCTTTTTCTTTTCCTTTAAAAAAAAAAAAAAATCTCATGCCCTCTTCTGATAAAGATTTTTAAAATAGCACACCTCCCCTGGGGGAACATCTTAATCCAATAGCCAAGAATATTCTGTGGAACATTACTTTCTGTGCTTTATGTCATGAAAACAATAGGTGTCTCTGCATCTCATTTTCCAAAAATTAAGTAACAATACTGCGTATGCTTTTTACATAGAACACAGGACTCTCTGAAACCCACAGCCCACACCCAGCCCTACCGTGTGGGAAGTCCCTGTGTGGTCCCTGAGACCCTTCACTGTTCCCTCTCAGTGAAGCCCTCAGTGTGGTGGCCTGTTGCTCCAGCTCTGGGTACAGACTGCCTGTGTGGGGGGTCACCAGATAAAATACAGGGTGCCTTCTCCTCCCCACCCCATTGATTTTTAGAGAAAATGGGAGAGAGTGGGAGAGAGACAGAAAGAGAGAGAAACATTGATGTGCGAGACACATCAATTGGTTGCCTCCCATGCTTGCCCCGAACCTGCAACCCGGGTACGTGCCCTTGACTGGAATCGAACCCGGAACCCTTCAGTTCGAGGGCTGAGCGTCATCTTTATCTTTTTATCTGATGGTGCTGAAGGCTGGTGCTTCAAAACTGTCCGGAATGATGCCCCGCCGAGGGCTGGCTGGTGTTTCTCTCTGAGCCTCAGTCTCCCCATCCGTCCAGTGAGGTGCCTGGTGGGCTCCGGGCTTTAGTAATCAGAGCTCCAGGTCTGGCTCTGCAGAGGAGGGACCTGGAGCCTTGCGGCTGGTGTCCCTGGGATACCGAGCAAAGAGCCACGTCTCCTCATGGTCTCTTCCTGGCCTTACCCTACGGTGACCAGACGTCCCGCTTGTGGAGGGACAGCCCCGGTTTTTTAACAAGTTGTCCCGCGTCCCGCGGCGTTTTTAAAAAGTCTCCATTTTTGACTTTTTGAAAACGCCGCGGGACGCGGGACAAATTGTTAAAAATCGGGACTGTCCCGCCAAAAGCGGGACGTCTGGTCACCTTACTTACCCACCTCTCGTCCCAGAATGGCACCGGGCTGGACCGGGGAGCTCTGTCCAGTCCCTCTGTCCTCCCCTCCGCTGCTGCCAAGAGGATCCCCCCTGCCACCCCCTGCAGGCCAGGAAGCCACCCTCCCTCCCCCGGGGTGGCAGCAGAAAGAGAGGAGAACGAGGATCGCCTCCAGCTGGCCCGGGAGACAGGCCTGCCTGTGCCCATCAGCCCTCCAAGAACCCCCGCCCCGCCCCCTCCCTTCCTCCGAGGGCTGGGCACCGGGGCCTGGGATCAGCCAGAAAAGTCAGGCAGCTTTTCAGGGACAGGGAGTGAGGGGAGAGGAGGGGAGGGGAGGGGAGGTCTCCCCCGCTGGCCCGGCCCGGCCCCTGCCAGCAGCGCAGTGCCAAGCCGTGCCCTGTCTATAACTCCGGACTTTGACCCTGCGCTCCAGTCCCGGCTGGCGGGCAGAGGGCTGAGGACGGGACGGACACCCCAGAATCAGGAGCCTCCCCTCGGGAGACAGGACCCTGCACCCTCAGCAGCGGCCGCGTTTCTCCGGAAGTTTGGCACACCAGGTGAGTGGGTTTTTGTTTTTGTTTTTTGTTTGTTGTTTGTTTTTGGGTGAGAGGAACAGTAGAACTCACGTTCTCCCGGAGTCCACAGAGACGGCTCCACTTTAGAGCCTGAGGCAGGGGACAGCCTTGTCGTGGGGCAGGGACGTCAGGTAAAAGCACCTTCGCCTTTCTAAGCCTCAGTTTCCCCATCTGGGAGATGGGATCCTCACCCGCCTCGTACAGGGTTGAGCTGAGGATTCAAACCGGTGGTTCATGTAAAGTGCTTAGCACAGAACCGGGCGCGCAGCAAGCACTCCATCCACGGTCATTACTCTTTGGGGGGCGAGGAGCTGGCAGCCTGGCTGTCCAGCGTTGATCAAACCTGTTCCGTTTTTAAATATAAACTCTGAAAACACCCATTTCCCTAGAAGTAGCCCTGGAGCCCAACTTGGAGGCGCGAATCATGTTCATTCAAATCCACCTACCCCCCACTCCCCTCCCCACCACTTGCTGAATTTTTTTCAGGACAATCTTTCCTATTCTTTGCTGAGCTCCGTGGCCATCCAAGGCAGGCGCTGTCTCAAGCTACTTTCTAGGGAAAAGGGAGAGTGTAGGCGAAGAAACACGGGACCAGCAGAGTGTCTGTACTGCAGGCTGCTCGGTGCAGAAGGCGCAGGTCTGAACGCTGGCCCACCCTGGCTGGGCGGCCGTGGGAGAGTGGCCTTCTCTCCCTGCACTGCGGTTTCACTTCCGTAGAACCTTCCAGAGCAGGTGAGAGGATTAAGTGAGAGGATGTCTGTCGTGCATCTACCTGTGTCTGGCAAGCGGCCGGTGACCAAAATGGCTGCCTTTCTGCTCCGTCCCTAAATAGACGTTATAATTAGTCACACACACACAAAGCTACTGTAATCAGGGTCCCATTTGATTCACTTACTTTGTTAAGATAGTTGATTTAGGACAGACGTGTTCCCTCTTCCCTTCTAGGCCTGTCACCAGCACACTAAACATTCCTGCAATTGTTGTATTGATGTGGGTTTGTTTTGGTTTTTTTCTCCTCTCCCCCCACCCCTCAATGTGGGAGATTGAAACATTGGGGTTTCTCTCCACCTGTTTGACCTTCAGATTTTTTCACGTGTGGGTCAGGCTGGCCTGGGCCCCGCTTCTTACCAGAGCCTGTCGGAGGCTCAGTTGCTTCCTCTGTAAAATGGGCATAAGGATAATCCCAAGGGTGCGAAGAGGGTTATAAAGTAGATAGTGCATGTGCAGTGCTCAGCATAATCCTAGGAGTGGAATCTAGCAGCTGCTGCCATTGCTGTTTCTCTCCACATTGTAGTTCTTTCCTGGGTGTGACCTGTGCCTGCTTTCACGGCGTCTTTTTACCCCAAGACCCTACAACTCTCTTTTTTTGTTTTTTGTTTATACCCGAGAATGTGTTTGTAATGGTTTTTGAGAGAGGGAGAGGGAGAGAGAAACATTGATGCGAGAGAGAAACTTCCATAGGTGTGCCCCGACTGGGGATTGAGCCTTCCACCTGGGTATGTGTCCTGACCGGGAATCAAACCTGCGACCTACATGGGATGCTGCTCCAACCGAGCCACGCTGGCGAAGGCCCACAGATCTGCTCCCACCAAGGTGTGGCTTCAGCTGCCTCTCTCCTCTTCCTCCAGCCTCAGTTTCCCCATCTGCAGGAGGACCTCTTGCTCCCCTTTGGGATTTTACACTCGGCAGAACCTGAGCCCCTCGCTGGGACTCATCCCTTTGCCCTGCCAGCTGGTACCGGAAGTTACTCTGGGACCCACCCCCCGCCCCCCGCCCTCCTGCTCCTCTCTTGGACGTGTGACACCACACCTCCCCGGAGGCTGAGTTTGTTATCCGAAATGCCACGTGCCTCCTGTTCGAAGCCCCTTTCTCCCTGCCCAGAAACCTTTTAAGAGTTTTCAACTCTCTTCTCTCATCTCACATACTTCTATTCTATAAGCAGCTCCTTCTCCCCCCCCCCCCCCCCCCCCCCCCCCAGTTACTCACTGGTTTTCTGGGTGACATGAGAATGAGAAAAACTTGGGCCCTAGAAAAAGCAGAACTGGGATTCCAGTCTCTCTCTCTCCCCCCCACCACCTCCCCTTACCTCCCACCCCCGGCCGGCTTCTTCCAACCCTTGCTGTGACTTCTAATAACCTTGCTCTCTCCCAGCCTCAGTTGCCTCATCTGTGAACTGTGGACAAGGATAATCACTGGTTTAACGTATGAGCTGCTCCTCTGAGAACTTCATTCATTCATTCATTCATTCATTCATTCGTGAGTCCTTGCTACGGGCCAGGTCCTGTGCGAGGCCATGGGGACAGAGCAGTGGACAAAAGTCCCCCTCTCTCCTGGAGCTGATATTCCAGTGGAGAGACCATTGGCAGGGAGCTGGGTTTTATGGAAGGGGAAACTGAGGCTGTGACAATGAGCACCTTGCTCCTCCCGGTTTGCCACGGGACCCTCCTGGTGTTAACATGCAGACCCCACATCTCGGGGGGGCGGGGGGGGAGGCTGGCCACCCTTGCTCAGTCAGGTGACGTGACTTGTCCAGGCTCACACGGTGGGTCCGAGCCAGAGCCAGATGGGAAGTTGGGTGTGTCTGACCCTGCCACTTCCCCATGCCGTGCCCCCTCACGGATTCTTTGTGGGGAATTTGGACAATACAGAAAAGCCCTCCATCCCTGCCTTCGTATTGTTAATGTGCAAAGGTGCTCCACTCTCTGGAGGTTATTATGCAAAGACAAGTCGGAAGGCCCAGAGAGGGGAAGTCACTTAGCCAAGGTCACACAGCGAGGCGGAAGCGAAGCTAGGTCTGACCTTCCCTTCTTCCTCTCCCCTCCTCCACACCCAGTGTCCTCTCTTTTGTCATTTCCAAAGGGCTGGGGGACCGGAGGAGGGAGCTGTGCATTGAGGGCCTCCTCGTGCCAGGCGCTGTACCAGGAACTGTTGGCATGCTGCTCATTTAATCCTCCAGACCAGGTCCCTCCTGTTTTATCGAGGAGGAACGTGCAGGAGGAAGCTAGGGGTCTCCGGGAGGATGCGAGTCTTTTGTTTTGGCGTTTTTGCCTTCCACTTGCGGCTGAAATCCTCACTGAGCACGGTTTTGGTGTCCCGGAGCTGTTTCCTCTTTTACAAAACTAGGCCGAACTGAGAATGGCCTGCCGGTCAGGGCCGCAGGCAGGCGGGGAGCCAAGGCCTGTGGGAGGAGAGTTGTGAGTAAAGAGGAGGGAAAGTTGAATTTGGCCCTTTTGGGCACAAATGTCCCCTTGTTCTGCCTTAGCGGGAGCCAGTAGAATATTTCCCTGCTGTGCAGGGGCCTAACCAGCCTCAAGGTCAAAAGCTTCTAGGCCTTTCTAATTCCTGAGAGCCCAGGCAGCCCTGCACTCAAGGCAGGTCGTGAGGAGGTGCGCCGAAGGACCTGAGTTCTGAGGCCAGCTCTTTGCTGAGCGGATGCAGCGCATTCGCTTACAGCTGCACCCACTAGCGGCCAGCCTGGCACACAGTAGGTGTGCAAAAAGTCCGTGGGCGTTTACTTGAAATGAAATCCCAGCAGCACTCCTTCCTGGCTCTGTTACTCTCTCTGAGCCTCAGTTTCCTCATGTGGAAAGTGGAGCCAGTAACACGAGGCCCTACTTCACAAGAATGCTGGCAGAGTTTCAGGAAATGATGGGAGGTGCTTAGCACTGAGGCTAAACGTTTTACCTGTGCCATCTTGGTAAATCTTCCTTCTACCCTCCGAGGCACAAGTTCATGTCCCCATTTTCCAGAAGAGGACATTGAGGCTTGGGATGCGTCTTGCCCAAGGTCAATGGCCAGTAGGCAGCAGAGCTGAGATTTGAGATTTGAAGCCAGAGCCCATTGTTCTAACCATTAGACTCCCAAGCCTAGAGCTAGCCAGGTACTTTGCCTACGCCCTTTAAAATATGGTTTTGTTTTGCCGAAACCGGTTTGGCTCAGTGGTGGAGCGTTGGCCTGCGGACTGAAAGGTCCCAGGTTCGATTCCTGTCAAGGGCATGTACCTTGGTTGCGGGCACATCCCCGGTGGGGGTGTGCAAGAGGCGGCTGGTCGATGCTTCTCTCTCATCGACGTTTCTAACTCTCTATCCCTCTCTCTTTCTCTCTGTAAAAAAATCAATAAAAAAAAATATATATATATATATATATAAAATATGGTTTTGTTTTTATTTCAGAGAGAGGAAGGGAGAGGTAGAGAGGGACAGGAACATTAATGATGAAAATCACGAATCAGCTGCCTCCTGCACACCCCACACGGGGGATGGAGCCCGTCACTTGGGCATGTGCCCTAACTGGGTATTAAATCTTGCCCTACTGTTTCATGGGCAACCACTGAGCCACACCCACCGGGGTTAGGCCCTTTGAATGTTCCCAGGTGACATGGTGCTCTTGGGGAGGCTTCCCACAGAAAGCGGTGTCACTCACCCGCTGTGTGACCTTGGGCTTCACCTCTCCATGCCTGCTTTTCTCTTCATCAGGGTCATGGCGAGGACTGAGGGTTAAAAGGGCCTGGCAGTGTCCACCACTTGCTAAGCCTCCAGTGGGTGGTGGTGATGGTGGTGATGGTGATGGTGATGGAGATGGTGGTGATGGTGATGGTGATGGAGATGGAGAAGGAGATGGTGATGGCGATGGTGATGGTGATGGTGATGGAGATGGAGATGGTGGTGATGATGGTGATGGTGATGGAGATGGAGAAGGAGATGGCGATGGCGATGGTGATGGTGATGGAGATGATGGAGATGGAGATGGAGATGATGGTGATGATGGTGATGATGGCACGCCTCCACCCTTCCATCCTGCAGGCTGGCACCATGCGCGTGGTGGTGATCGGCGCGGGCGTCATCGGGCTGTCCACCGCCCTCTGCGTCCACGAGCGCTACCACTCGGTCCTGCAGCCTCTGGACTTGGAGGTCTACGCAGACCGCTTCACCCCGCTCACCAACACTGACGTGGCTGCCGGCCTGTGGCAGCCCTACCTCTCCGACCGCGGCAACCAACAGGAGGCGTGAGTGAGGGACCCCGCGCGTGGCCGGGCGGGCAGAGGGAGGAGCTGGGTCTGCAGAGGGGATGCCCGTTACGGAGGCTGTGGCCTGGCACGATGTGAAGAAAATAATGCACAGGAAGCCCCTTCCAGGTGCTAGACAGATGCTACCCTGGATCTCAGCAGTAACAGAAGTGACATGTGCCAGGCCGGCGGAGGCTCTGTCTCCATTCCTCCCCTAAACCAGGTGGCTGTCGATGCCAGATGAGTCGGTAAATCAGGAATACTTCTAAGGGAGTCGGTCAATGCTCAGGTTTAGCCAAGACATTGCAAAGGTCATGAGGTCAGTCTTGAAACTCCCCCCCCCCCCTCTGATTCAGCCAAGGAAGCCTCAGATGACTAGCAGCTCAAGCAGACGTTGGATTCTCCCCACAAATTCCAAACCCGTGTCCCTGATCAGTGGGTGACAATTCAGGGACCAGGCTCCTTTCCAGCTCGTGGCTCTGTTCATTCTCCTCCGTGGCTTCCAACGTGGCCCTTCTCATGGGCCAGCACCTGGACAAGGAGCATAGCATGGAGACTCCATGTGCACAGTTTCTGGGGTCTTTGGGCTAGAAGGCAGTCACGTGGTCATGCCTAGCTGCAAAGGAGTCTGGGAAATGTAGCTGAGCCGCGAGCCCAGGGAGAAGAGGAAGCATTTGGGAGTGCAAGAGGAAGCTTGAACCGTGTGGCTCACAGTCTCCGAAAGCAGGTCAAAGCCTCCATTTAAGCGTGGCAGCTACGTGATCCTAAGTGGGAGGTCGGTTCCGGAAGGCTGTGAGGGAGCATCGTCTGTTTCCCTCTTCTCTGTTCCATCGATGCGGACATATTGGAAAGCGTGGGGAAGGGGAAGACCCAAAGGCATGTGGGGTGCTGCAGGAGTGGGACAACCTCCTCGCCAGCCTGACCACAGCCCTGTGCAAGCTGGCCCCTCAGGGCTGTCTCATCCAGCTCTGGGTATGACGTGATGGGACTCTGGGGGACCCTTCCAGGCATTGGAACCGGCAGACCTTCGACTACCTCCTGAGCCACGTCCATTCTCCCAATGCTGCGAGCATGGGCCTGGCCCCGATCTCAGGCTACAACCTCTTCCACGAAGCTGTTCCGGTGAGTGAGGAGCTCTTGACCGTGCGGCCGAGTCTTGATCCCAGGCCAGTGGGGAGGACTTTGGGTCTGGAAGGTGACAGTTTCCTGTGTCCAAAACAAGTTTACTGTAAATCCTATTTCTGGCTTTTAAAATGATCCCGCCCCCTCACCCCCCGTGTTGCTACCCTGTTTCCCCGAAAATAAGACAGTGTCTTATATTAATTTTTTCTCCCAAAGTTGCACTAGGTCTTATTTTCAGGGTATGTCTTATCTTTCCGTGCGCTAGGTCTTATTTTCGGAGGATGTCTTATTTTCGGGGAAACATGGCATTAAATTGAGACCCAAGAGTCTTCTGACAAACAGAGAGGAGTAGCGCTTCGTCGCGTTCGCCAGTGGTGGGCACTTGGTGCTGAGGCCAAACTATGTCCTGTGACCCTGGAGGTGGTCCCCGGGCTTTTCATCAAGATGGACTAAAACACTCATCATGGTGCACACTTCTAAAGCACCTACTGTGTGCCCTCCTCTCCTTCTTCTGCAGGACCCTTCCTGGAAGGACATAGTTCTGGGATTTCGGAAGCTGACCCCCAGGGAGCTGGACATGTTCCCCGATTACAGGTAAGGTTCCTGTCATGGGCAAAGGGACTGAGGCCCCATAATTCAGACAGACCAGACCAGAAGGCAGAAGATGGAGTCACCAAAGTTCCTGTCCCATCCTACGCTTAGAGCCCCTCGTACTTGGTCCCCTGGTGCTCTGTTCAGCTCCTTCCGAGAAGAAACCCACCCAAACTGGGCCGTGGGTTAAGGAGGTAGAAGTCATGGAACCACAGATCCCAAGGCCAGGTGCTCCGTATCCCTTTAAAGAGGCTATGTTCCTTCCTAAGGTCACTCAGCCAAACGTCCTAAATGGGATTCCAATCCAGCCTGTGGGACTCCAAACCCCCTATTCTTTTCCCTACAGCCCAGTGTCTTTGTGGTCCTCTCCTCGCCCCACCCAATGCTTGAATCCCCTCTACAAATGTACATCCAGTCTCCACTTGCACATCCCTATGTCAGGGATGGCTTTGCATAACATAAAAAATTTCCTGGCATTGAGCTAAAAGCCACTTCCCACTTGAATTTCTCCCAGTGGTCCTGTCTTGACCCTTGGGCCCACACCACCACCACCTCCCTCCCCCTATCCCCCCAAAAAACAACACTGCTCCCATCTCCATTTGATAGCCTTCTGATTCTGATCCTTTATCCCTCCTTTGCCTGCTGTGACTCTAGCTATGGCTGGTTCAACACGAGCCTGACTCTGGAGGGGAGGAGGTACCTGCAGTGGCTGACTGAAAGGTGAGATGTTCAACGTTAGCTTCAGCGAAACACCTCCCAGGGGCCCGGGCTGTCGTAGATGATTGTTCATGGTATTCGTCTTTGGATCGGCCAACCCCAAATGTTAACATTTAGGTATGGTGGGCGTTAACCATTGGGCAGTGGTTCCCATGTCTAGTTGGGCAACAGAACCACCTGAGCAACTCTTTCCATTGATGTTTATTAGCGACCTCACTAAAACCCATAATGTTTGTGTAGTAGCTTTAAATGGATTCTCTTGAGTTTGACAGGCCTATTTACATCATCTACAAAACATAAGTTGCCTTTTATTTTTATCCCTCACCTCTTTTTTTTCTTCTTGTCTAACTGTGATGGCCAGTACCTCCAGAACAATGTTAAATAATACAGGTGACGGTGGAAGTTCCTGTCTTGTTCCTGATGCTGATAGGAATCTTGAAGTGTTCTACATTAGCTTGAGAGAGACATTGGTATTTACATTCACGTGCCTTCATATTAAGAAAGATTCCATATATTCCCTACATTTCACTATTTCATTATGATGTTGAAAACTCTAGAATAGATGGTGGCTTTTATCAGGTGACCTGGGGAGTTTTTCAAAACATAGGTTTCAGGGCCCTGCTTCATATCTACAGAATCAAAACCTCTGGGATGGGGCTCAGAAATTTATATTTTAGGAAGTTTCCTGGGTGATTCTAATGATCAGCCAGGTTTACGAACCATTGTGCTAAAACCCGGTTCTTTCTCCTAACCTTGGAACACTTAATGATTCCTGTCTAGGCTCTTCCTGGGACAAATGCTCCAAGTGTTTCTCCCTTGAGGAAACTGTGTAGATAAAATAGTCCCGAGGTTATGCTTCAGCCTTTATATGGTTTATTTCTTGTTCTGTTGATGTTTCTACTATATTTCTAACAGTGACAAATATTTTTCAGCTGGGACATTTAGAGGGCGGGGTGAGCATCTCCAACCCACCTCCCTCCTCATGCTCTGCTTCTGACAAAGGGGTGCATTGGTCCAACCCTGTCCCCCTCCAGCCTGTCATTGACTCACAGTGTGACCTTCAGTAAGGCCCTCCTCCCATCTCCATCTGCCCCATGAGGAGCTTGGACCGTCTCAAGTTTTCCAAGGGACATTTCACGGCCCCCTGGGGAACCGACTGGTTTGGCTATCCAGCCGTTTTCTCAAGGAGCACCCATGGGACAGAGGGTCTTTGGGGTGTGTCCCCCACGCCGTCCTTATGGAAAAGTAGGAGACCAGGTTGAGTAATGAGCTTTTCCGTGTGTCTGATCATCCCAGGTTAACCGAGAGGGGAGTGAGGTTTTTCCAGCAGAAGGTGGAGTCTTTTGAGGAGGTGAGCTGCATGGCTGGCCGGGGCTGGGTGTGGGAGGGAGGAGAAGGGGGCGGGCCTTTGCTTCCTGTTGCTGAGTTGAGGGCCCCCTCCTCAGAATTCCAGGATCCCTCGGAGGCCCATCCCAGACTCCAAACGTCTGTCAATCCCAGAAGGCCTCGGGCATTTGCCTTGATATCGGTGGCAGAAGCTGAGGGACTGGGGCACAATGGCGGCCACAAAGGGTTGATCTCTATGAAAGCCTCAGAGAGCTGGCTGCTTCTTCCCAGTATCAGCTGCTCCCCACTCCCACGTTCTAGACACTTGGGTTGCCTCCTGCGGACGTCTGGGTTGATGCTTCTGCACAGTCACGGCCCCAGCTGACTCAGCGCCCAAGTAACACCACCACCAGTCACCATGACAGGAGCAGCTAGCATCAGGCGCTGGCCTGGCCCCAGGAGCTTTGTTCTGTGACTTCACTCCCTCCTGGCAGCTAGGGTAGTGCTTGGCTCGGGGAAGGCGCTCAGTACCCGCAGCTACGAGCATTCTATCGTTAGCATTGCTCTGCGCCCAGCCCTGATGGGCACTTGGAAGATACAGCTGACTCAGACGCAGCCCTCATTCCCAGAGAGATGACAGTCCAGGGTAGCAAACACTGGCTCATGAACAGTAACAGCGCCCTGTGGTGTGCATGCCCCAAAACTAAGCTCTGAGGGGCATCAGGGGGCAGGGCTGGGTGCCCATCAGGCTCCATCCTGAACTTACTGAGTATCCCATCCATGCCCAGCACTAGGGATTCCAACGTGCCTCCTTCAGGTGTCTTGGCATAAGAGAAGGCAAGAGAATGAAAGGAAAAGGAGTTAGAAAGAACCCTAATCGGTTTGGGTCAGTGGATAGAGCGTCGGCCTATGGACTCAAGGGTCCCAGGTTCGATTCTAGTCAAGGGCATGTACCTTGGTTGTGGGCACATCCCCAGTAGGAGGTGTGCAGGAGGCAGCTGGTGGATGTTTCTCTCTCATTGATGTTTCTAACTCTCTCACCCTCTCCCTTCCTCTCTGTAAAAAACAAATCAATTATATATATATATATATATATATATATATATATATGTTAATGGGGGGTCACAAAGAGGAAGAGAACTAGCTCTGCTTGCTTACTGACTTCTGGAAGGTTCCAGAAAGGTTCCCCCTTTTCCACAGTACATCTTTCTAAGCATTTTTACACCCAGAGCCACACTGGATCCTCGCCGTGGCCTGTGAATGTGCATTGCCAGCCCCTTTTATTGCTAAAGCAGCTGAGCCTAGAGCAGGTAACGGGACATTTCAGAGGCCACACGGCAGGTCCAGGTCAAGGGCAGAGCACACATTAGGAGTTAGGCCCAGGAATTCCTCCCTGGGCCTCTGCCTGAGAGCTCTGAGGTAAAAGGAGGGGGGGGCAGGGGGCACCAGGATCCTTACCCTCTTCCACCCTAAACCTGCCCTGTTGGTTGCTGCCAGGTGGCAAGAGGAGGCGCCGATGTGATCATCAACTGCACTGGCGTGTGGGCCGGGGCGCTGCAGCCGGACCCGCTGCTGCAGCCGGGCCGCGGGCAGATCATTAAGGTGAGTGTGCAGGTGAGGGATGGGACCTCCGGCTTCTGTTGCTAGGAAGATGGTAGCTGCCTGCTTATTTCACCTCCAAACATCTGTCAGAGGAATCACATGTGGAAGAAGCAAGAAAGACCAATGCAATACGACTCTCCCAAATGTTCTCTTTTGAGATTTCTTCTTAATAGCAAAGCATGTGTGTTTATATGTACACTGAGTGGCCAGATTATTATGATCTCTGAATGTGTGTGTGTGTGTGTGTGTGTGTGTGTGTATGTGGTATGTGTGTGTATATATTATATATATATATTAGAGGTCTGGTGCATGAATTTGTGCATGGGTACGGTACGGCCAACCTGGCCATACTTGGCCGACCTGCCTCCTGGTCAAACTCCTGATCGAGGGGCCAATTTGCATATTAGTCTTTTATTATTTAGGATATACACTGAGTGGCCAGATGATTATGCATTCAGAGATCATCATAATCTGGCCACTCAGTGTATATGCTTGTGCATATGTGGGAGCTGCTTATACGTGCGAGCGTGCCTATTATTATAACGGAAAGAGGACTTGGTTGTTCCCATCACTGAATCTTTACCACAACCCTTTGAGATGGGGGTCTATTGTATCACCATCGCCCTCTCACAGATGGGGAAACTGAGGCACGGCGGAATTAAGGAAATGCACAATTCCACGCAGCAGTAAGTGGTGGAGCTGGGATTAGAATCCAGGCAGCCTGGATTAAGAGCCTGGGTCTGAGCATCAGTCCACACCACCTCTCAGGGAGTACGTGTGTATGTGTGTGAGGCATGCCTATTTGTGTGTATTCATAGGTATGTAGGTGTGTGGGGATGGCATGTGTGTTCCTGATATGGGTGTGTGTGTGTGTGTGTGTGTGTCTGCACATGTGTGCTGGGCTTCTCTGTGGATATGTGGGTGAAAGTATGCGATGCTTCAGGGATCAGGTGGGCTCTCAGTCGGGGTGCTTTTCCCGCAAGCACAGGCAGCTGGGTGCAGACGGTGGCAGGGGGTCCCGGGAAGTGCCCGCTCTTATCAGAGCACGTGGTCTTGGAGGGGAGCAGGGCGGGGGCCCGCCGATCCCTCTCCCCTGAGGAGATGTCTCCGTCCTCCATCCACAGGTGGATGCTCCTTGGATAAAGCACTTTGTCATCACCCATGACCTGGACAGAGGCATCTACAAGTCCCCGTACATCATCCCAGGGTAAAACGCTGGCATTGTGGGCGGGAGAGGGGCCCTCTCTGTGCCCTCCTTACGCTCCTGCTGCCTGCCCCAGGCCCTTTCAGCTTTATTCTTCAAATATTTTTTTTAAGTGTGGTTGAGTCAGTAAATGCCTGGGAGAGGGCAATAGAGATGGAAACACCAACCACTAAGCCATGCCATGCTTGGACATGCTTTTGGATGAGCATGATGCTAGAGACAATCAATAAAAAATATTTTTTAAATCTATTCTCTTAGCAATTTTCAAGTATATTGTTAACCATGGTCGCCACGCTGTACACATGAAGAGATGCTAACAACGGTGATGGTGGAAGTGGTGGTTGATGGTGATGACAATGGCAGTGGCCATGGTGTTGGTGGTATTGAGAGCAGGGATGTTGATGGTAGGAGTGAGTTAGGTAGAGATGGTGGTAAGGGTTAGCATGGTGATGACCCCCACTCATCTCAAAGGTTTTGATTCCCTTCCTCCTTGGCCCTCCTTACTTCTCTGTAGGATCCAGGCAGTGACTCTCGGAGGCATCTTCCAGCTGGGGAACTGGAGCGAGGTGAACAACAGTGAGGACCACAACACCATCTGGGAGGGCTGCTGCCGACTGGAGCCCACCCTGAAGGTAAGGGGGAGAGGTATGCAGTCCCTGCACCCGGCTCCGATCAGGAGGACAGGTGAGGAGGGGAAGATTCCACCACAGGGTCACTGGGCGAGTTAATTCCAGCAAGGGTCTGTGGTATGAATACACCCGAATTTGATCATGTCCAGGGAAGTCCTACTATGGGCTGATGGAACCAGTATGTCCATGACTAAGACTTACTCTCTGTTGAGGTGACATCCTCAAAACACCTTATTCAGTGTTCATGAGGAGCAGATGTATTTGGTGCAGAAATTTCAGTGTTCACAGGATGCCACCATCTCGCCTGTTAGTAGCAATGACAACACTGACGGTGATGAGGGTGTGACGAGCAGGTGGAGGTAGTGGTTGGTATTGATGGTGAGGAAAATGCTGAGGATGGTAAGAAGGATGGTGATGAGGTGGCGACTGTTGACAATATCATGGTGGATAAAGATGGAGAAGCTGATAGAAGTGGGGGTAACGAGTGATAGCAATGATGTGGGCGACTGCCAAAGGTGGTGATGATGGCAGTGGGGATGAATAAGACAGACAGGGATGGTGTTCAAGGTGGTGGTAATGACAAACGTGAACTCTCTATCCCCTAAAAATGGCAGCGGGGAAAAAATAATAATCCAGAGATGAATTACTAACACTTTTCTTTTCAGGATGCCAAAATCGTTACTGAATTGACTGGCTTCCGGCCAGTACGGCCCCAGATTCGGCTAGAAAGAGAACAGCTTTGCTTCGGATCTTCAGACACAGAGGTATGCTTTCAATGCCATCCCACCCCTAAGAGGGCTCTTGGCAGTGCCGGCTAATGTCCCCTCCTCTGTAAATGAGGCTCAGGGATGGGAAAGGACCCGCTCAAGGTTGCACAGAGGGCAGCACCTTGGTTTGCTGGAACCTGTGGTCAAGCAGAAGGAAATGGGCACCTTGTTGAACATCCGCTTTATGCCCATGACACGAACGACCTTAGGGAATCTCTCCTACGGCTCTTTGAAGTGGGGAATGTCCCCCCTGTGCTTCAGGAGAGCAAACAGGGGCTCCAAGAGGTGGAGTTGATGGCCTACATCTGACCACTGGTGAGGGACAGGCTTGGGGTGTGATCTGAATGGGACTCCAGCCCCTTTTCCCAGGTTCCATTTGTAGCTGCTCCGTTGTCTTTCTGGGGGTCCCTTCTCATGTCCTCTCTCCTAGGGCTTATTGAAATGACGGGAGGTGCTGTCCTGGGCTGAAGGCCCGGACCTGAGTGAGTGGGGATTGGGCTCCCATCAGGAAAGCAATCTTTCCCATCGAGGTCACATGTCCCTCCTTGTCCTGTGGATGTGTGTTCAATCGGGAGAGTCTCGCATGGAGCTTTTAAGTCCCAGCTAACGGTTTTAGCTTTGGAAAGGGCCCCAAGGTCTTGCCTCTGTCTCCAGGATGAATAAGCATGTTCCCCAGACCCCACTCCTAGGGTGCCGCCAGTTTTCTTTCCTCCCCAGGTGGATAGAAGAATCATCTAGTAACACAGGGGGTCAGCAATCCGGGGCAGGGTGGGAACGAGGGAGGTGATTTAGAGAACTTCAAACCATTTTATGTGTGTGTGTGTTTTTGGGGTGGGGGTGTAGGGGTTGGAGGGGATCTCTGACCTCAAGTTCTAGATGATTCTGCAGTTCCTGTGCTGAGAGTATAAAGCAGGTCCATCTCCTAAGTAAAAGAGGAGTTCAGGCCGTGGTCAGCAAACTGCAGCTCGTGAGCCACATGCTGCCTTTTGGCCCCTTGAGTGTGGCTCTTCCACAAAATACTCGCCTGAGCGAGTCTATGTTGAAGAAGTGGCATTAGAAGAAGTTTACGTTTAAAAAATGTGGCTCTCAAAAGAAATTTCAGTCGTTGTCCTGTTGATATTTAGCTCTTAAAAGAAATTTCAGTTGTTGTCCTGTTGATATTTGGCTCTCAAAAGAAATTTCAGTCGTTGTCCTGTTGATATTTGGCTCTGTAGACTCAAGAGTTTGCCGACCACTGGGCTAGGATGTCAACCTCCAGTTCCCCAAACAATTCCCTTACTGCTGTTCCAGGAGACCCCTCCCTCCCGCCAGGGTGCCGAGGAGAGTTTCCATGTCCTCTGGCTTTGCCCAGGACTCTTCAGAAAGTTCCTGAATCTTTCCGGGCAGACCAGGCCACCTCCTCTCTTCCTCTCCCAGGTCATCCACAACTACGGCCACGGAGGCTACGGGCTCACCATCCACTGGGGCTGTGCCCTGGAGGCGGCCAAGCTCTTCGGCCAAGTCTTGGAAGAAAGGAAGTTGCTCAGGATGCCACCATCTCACCTATGAAGGTGCCAATGATCACCACCCCACCCAACCCCCCCCAAGGACTTCCCACTTTCCTCAGCCAACTAATCAATGTGCTTCTCTCTAAGTCATCACTTACCCCCCATCCCACCCCTGGCTCCTGGGCACAAGAAGCACGAGGTGAAGGTCAATTCCTGGAGGTGAGTCCAGCCCCATCTGGGCACTCTTTAACCTTTCTCTCTCTCTGGGGCTGGCCTTGCTAAGGCTTACTCCATGAGTCCTCAGAAGAAAGAAACTCTCAGGAAGTCCAAGAGGCGAGCAGGAAAATGAGGCAGTTGAGGTAACGTCAACTCGATGACAAGTTGCATTAACATATTAAAGAGGAAAAAACATATGAAAGGTTCTGAAAAGTCCTGCAGCAAAGACCCATATCTGATGTTGTGTCTTCCTGAACCTATGGAAACCTTTTGCCCAGCCCTAAGGCCACAGAACAAACCTGGGGAAATGCTGTAACAGATTTCACAGGAAGTTATACGTCGAACTGGAATACAGAGGAGGCAGAGGAGATGAGGCATGAAGCTACCAACATACGATGCCTGTTTCACATCCAGGATTCCAGATGGCATCAACCACCCACTGAGTGGCCCCAGGAGCACCATGTAAATCCTTGAGAAGGGGCCCCGGGAAGGATCATCCCACAAGGAACCCCTTCCCAGAGACTAAACTCACCAAGCACACTCCTTGCTTGCTCAGCATCTCTCTGCCTTCTGGCTGGTACCTTCTGAGATGGCAAACAGGCTTCCAGATGTTTCTGAAAGCCTTTCATGAGCCTAGGAGCCACTCTGGTTTGCCTCTCTTGACCCAATCTTCCCAACCCATCTTCATTGGTCCACGATTATAACGAACCCTAAACTGGACCAATCGGCTTCCTCCCCGGAGGAGTTGGAAGTGGGACACTGGACAGCTGAGTCAGATATGTTTGCAGAGCCGAGCCACGGTGCGTGGAAGCCATGAGCAGGGTAGGCATAGGCAGCGACCACGAGGAGGCACTTGCTGAGGCTGCAAATGGGCGGCCCCTGCACCAAACGCTGGCCTGCGGTGGATTCTATTGGGCTCACACGTCATTGAAAAATGTTTGCCCCGACGTGCTAAAATTTGGAGATTTGACATAAAAATCCAGACTCCTGTCTTGAAAACTGGGAGATCCCATCATACACCCAAAAGAAAAAAATAATAAAACCAGGTACGACTGAGTAGTGGCCGCCCCTTTTCTCCTTGCTCTGTGCTGTCCTTCCCTCTTCCTGTGCTTCTTCATATGAAGTAACCCAAGTCCAATTGCTATTCCTTGCCATTAAAACAGCCTTGATGGGCCGAAACCGGTGTGGCTCAGTGGATAGAGCATCAGCCTGCGGACTCAAGGGTCCCAGGTTCGATTCCGGTCAAGGGCATGTACCTTGGTTGCAGGCACATCCCCAATGGGGAGTGTGCAGGAGGCAGCTGATTGGTATTTCTCTCTCTCATCGATGTTTCTAACTCTCTATCCCTCTCTCTTCCTCTCTGTAAAAAAAATCAATAAAATATATTTTAAAAAACCACACACAAAACATCCTTCATGGGAACTCTGTGGCAAGGCTCCTCTCCCTTACCCCTCATCCCACCATCTTCCTTCTTCCACGCTAACAGAATCCCAATTCTGTTTCAAGAAGATCCTGTGGGAAATAGGTCTTTTTCCTCCTGAGACCTCGGGAAGAATTCATGCTGGAATGGGCATGGGACCCAGGTCTGATCAATGCAAAGCAATGATAAATCTGTTGGAGCGCTTCCTTTTTAACCAAAAGCAACAGACCCGTTTGAAGGAAACCCTTTGGTGGCTGTTCCTTCCCAGCTCTACTCCTCCTTTGAAAACCAATATGATGCCCGGGCCCGCGGGAGTCCCCCCGTGACCAGGAGGCTGCGAATGGCCAACATGCAGACGAGAGCAGGGGAGAAATGCAAAAAGAAGTCAGGTCTTGGATGACACGGTTGAGCTGCTAGGCCTTTCCTAGAACGACTCTCGGCTTGTTGCTGAATGAACAAGGACTATCTTAATGGTCGAAGCTACCATTGACTGGCTTTCCAGCTGCTTGCCGCTCAAGGTCGCCAGTCTTTTGATGTCTGCTTAGTGGTAACTAAGGGAGTCTCTTCATCTCGCCCTTCAAGGCTCCTCTGTTGCTTAATATTACTTAAAAATAAAGGCTGCCCGTAGTCACGTCAACAAGTCCATCCCTAAGAGAGTCTTTCATCCCGTTGCCAACGCCGCCAGGGTCGTGGATGGGTTCCTGAGACTATGAAGTAAGGGGCAGAAATTACGCAGCCCCAGCTACACTGAACGTCCTAGGCCATTTTCTGAAATCTTTCCTAACACGAGGAACAGATGACATTCCCATTAACGGGAACAGGAGCTTTCAGATAGTTCAAAAGTAGATGCAAACGTCCTCTGCAAGAGGCTTGGGCAACTTTGGTGGCAGCTCGTGTGTCGTTCAGGAATATTGATTTGTTTTTGTTTTTTTGGAAAGGGCAAGGGATTTACAATAGAAGGCAAAAAATTTTTTCACTTGCATTTTCTCCAGAAGAGAAAGCTCTCAATCGCAGGTCCTCTCGACTCCGGCCCCTGGAAAACACTTCTGCCCACCCAGCACTCCTTCCCCGCCCCAGCTCCCCCCCCGCCCCCGCCCCGGGTTATTTGAGGGTAAAGGGAGTGGACAGGCTCATCCGGCAGTGTCTGGCCAGCTGGAAGGCAAAAAAGACAAGCGAAGGTTCTGTGTTACCCGGGAGAGCTCAGCAGACCAGAAGTAATCAGAGCTCTAGCCACTCGGGGTTCAAGGGCACCCCCCCCCCGCCCTCCCAGTGCCAGGGAGCGGAAGATCCGCCAAGAGCTGCCCCCTCCCTGACTGGCTGCCTGGGCCGAGGGGGCAGCAGCCGCTATGGTCCAGGGACACTGGATTGTTTGTCGTCCACCTCGGACTTGAGCCTGGCGAGGTCGCCCACACCACTAGGAGCGAGTGTTGCCTCCGACAGACCCAGAGTCACGAGGTTGGCGGCCAACAGGACAGCGTTTCCCCCTTCGGGGAAAGATGACCATATCGGAGCACATGGGAGCGTTGAGATGGCCCTGCATAAGCAGAGTTGGCAAGGCCATTAGGCTGAACTGTCAGTAGGACGTTATGACAAACGGACAGACTTCGTCCCTGGAGATGTCCATCACCACATGTTTTTTATCCTCACCCGAGGGTATTTTTCCATTGATTTGTAGAGAGAGTGGGGGGACGGGGGCGGGGGTGGTGGAGAGGAGACAGAGAGATACATCAACTGGTCGCCTCCTGCATGCGCCCCCATACGCCCCCAACCCAGGACCCTTCAGTCCACAGGCTGGCACTCTATCCACTGAGCCAAACTGGCTAGGGCCAACATGTTTTTTTGTTTTGTTTTTTTAAATATATTTTATTGATTTTAGAGAGGAAGAGAGAGGGAGAAAGGGATAGAAACATCAACGATGAGAGAGAATCATTGATTGGCTTTCCCTTGCACGCCCCCTACTGGGGATCAAGCCCGCAACCCAGGCGCGTGCCCCTGGCCGGAATCGAACCTGGGACCCTTCAGTGCGCAGACTGACGCTCTATCCACTGAGCCAAACCAGCCAGGGCTACGGCCAACATGTTTTAATAAGAGATGAACGAACACATTGGGCTTCCACACAATGTTCACGCCAAGCAGATGCCTCCAGGCAGAGGGTCAAGCTTCTCTGTTGTTGGGACCCAGCCGCCTCCTCCCTCCTCTCCCAGGTCCCCTGCCTTCCGGGTGGGCAAGAGGCTCCTGGAACCCAAATCCAGGAGGTGGGTGTCAGCCCTTCCTTCCCAGGCCAACCCCAAACCCAAAGGACCTTCCTCCTCTTCCTCTGAAAATGTACACGTTTCACATATCTGGGTCCCCGCCCCCCATGGCTCCCCAGCTGGTGGCACCCCCGCTGTGGGTGCGTTGCTGGAATCCCAAGAGCTGACTCTGTGCAGAGACCAAGCCAGCCTTGATAGCAAGGGCGGCAGAGAAACCAGGGGAGAGGATTCCTATCCCCGGACCCCAGCGGGAGGGGGCGATTGGAGAAGCATCATTTGGTTCTCTCCGTTCGCCCGAGCTCAGCGTCCAAACCGCAGAAACCTGAGGTAACTGTCCTCTTCCCCAAGAGTCCCCCCAATCCGCCTGACCAAGGAGCGGGCCTCAAAAGCAGCCCCGACGGGGCCTTCGCTGCTTCCGAGCGGGAGGGCCCTGTTTTGGCTCTGGGCTTGATTCTCCCCTCTCTTTGGCCCCGGTCCCCAACGCCTGGGGTGACAGCTTTCCGGGGCTGCCGTCCAGTGCAAGCCCAGCGGTCCCCATGGACACATCGGGATCCCCCGGAACCAGAAACAGCAACTCCCAAGGAGGCCAGGTGGGGCACGTGGGCTCAAGGTCAAATGCAGGTACGTCTGCCAGAGACTCCAGGAGTCGGGGCCCGCCCGCTTGGGGAGGCACACCGAGAGGCCCCTTCCTCCAAGGGAGTGTTTCTCAAACCCTAGAAAAAGCTGCTCAGGCCACTCCGGCGTCATCTGGGATCTCAGAGAAGGAAGCCGGGGCGCCTGGGTGTCGGAGAAACCTACCGACCAGGTCTGGCTGGTGGGCAGGTCTCCCGGGGGCCGGGGCCTGGACGGTGTCGATGGAGACCTTCTGGCTGTGACCCCGGACGGTGCCTGGCTGGCTGCCAGGGTCCCCGGTGTGGCAGTTTTCCCATGCAGACCCACAGGCGATGGACAGCCCTCCCCCCACACATCCAGAGCCTCCCCCGGAGCGAGGGCTTCCCCAGGAACAGGAGCCACCGGGTTGTGCTCGTGGGCGAGTTCTCGGTGTCGGCAGTGACGGTCGGTGCCCCAGACGGGCGCCGCCTGCTCCCTGCGCTCCGCGGCCTCGAAGACCAGCCAGCTCAGCCCCTCCCCCGAGGTCACTACTCCTGGGAGCCCGAGTTCGACCTGGTGACGCCTGCGCCGTGCGCCCCGCGGCCCACCATCTCCTGGCCCCACTCCCGGTGGCTGGACTCCTGCAGCCCGCGGCCTTTGGTCTCGATGGGCAGAAAGCAGGAGGCCAGGGCGGCCAGGAGGCAGCAGCCGCTGTAAACCGCCAGCGACAGGTACACGGAGGATTCCAACATCACCTGGGGGGGAGGGATGGGGCAGAGAAGATGTGTGTCCGTGAGAGCATCCTTTCCGAATGGACCACCAACCATTCAGACGACACTGATAATTGGTTGCCCCATTTAGTCCTCATGGCAGCTCCATGAGGTAAGTTCCCTGTCCCCATTTCACAGAGGGAAAAACTGAGGCTCAGAGAGGGCTTCAGTATCATACCCAGGTTCACGGAGATACGAAGAATGGGATTGGGATTTGAGCCCAGACCCCAACAGGCCCAAGCGTCTGGATTCCTTGTTTCAACCCTCTCTCCCGGAGCAGTGTCTCTGCTGACTTCCTAGCTCTGTGGTCGGCAAACTGCGGCTCACGAGCCACAGGCGGCTCTTGGGCCCCTTGCAGGTGGCTCTTGCACAAACTACCATGGCCTGGGTGAGTCTATGTGAAGAAGTGGCATTAGAAGAAGTTTACATTTAAAAAATGTGGCTCTCCAAAGAAATGTCAATTGTTGTGCTGTTGCTATTTGGCTCTGCGGACTGATGAGTTTGCCGACCACTGTACCTAGCTCAGCGGCCCCAGGAAAATCGCAGCAGGGCTGAGCCTCGTTTCCTGCATTTGGCAAAGGGCACGAGGGCAGTGTCCGCCTCCTAATGAGAAGATACCGTGGCAGCACTTGGCACGGGGCAGGCGCATGGCAGGCTCTCAACCAGTATTAGTTAGCAGCGACGTACAATGGCCAGACACAGCAGCGCAGAACAGAGCTGCTCGGCTCCAGCCCATGCTGGAATTCCAGGCGCATGGAATTCCGGAACAGATAAGTCCCCGCGGACAGACTGCGGGGGGTGGTTGCCAGGAGAGGGGAGTGGGGAGTGGGGAGGCGCTGCTACGTGGGTACAGAGCTTTGGGGGTGGTGAGAGTGTCCTGGAACTAACCAGGGGGAGGGGGTGGTTGCCAGCATAAGGAATGTGCTCAATGCCACTGAATTGTTGGTGTAAAATGGCCCACTTTTTGCGGGATACAACTTTTGTCTCCATTTTTGAAAAGTGACAAAAAGAGGGAGAAAAGGAATTAGATACATAACAAGTAAAGATATTTCAAAATAAGATCCCTAGCCGGTTTTGCTCAGTGGATAGAGCGTCAGCCTGCGGCCTGAGGGGTCCCGGGTTTGATTCCGGTCAAGGGCACATGCCTGGGTTACTGGCTCGATGCCCAGCGTGGGGCATGCAGGAGGCAGCCGATCGATGGTTCTCTCTCATTATTGATATTTCTATCTATTTCTCTCCCTCTCTCTCTCTCTCTCTCTGATATCAATAACAATAGATATTTTAAATTCCTGAAAATGGGTTGAAATGCTTCAAGATACACATCGGGCTGCGAACTTCTACAATTACATCTAATGACCCAACTTGGAGACCAGGGGCGGGAACATTTGTTTCCTATGAATCATGTTTCCATCCAAATTATTTTTGGCCAAGTCCTATGACCTCGCAGGGGTCTTCCGCGTGGGAGAGACCTGGGTTCGATCCCCAGCTTCTCTACTTCCCAGCTGTGTGACCTTGGGCAAGTCCCGTGACCCTTCTGAGCTCGAGTTTTCCCATCTGCGAGCCGTATTTCTTTTCTCGTAAGATGGGTGGTTGGGATGAAATACGAAAGGCACACGGAGGGCTCCACAGAAGGCTCGGCATATCGTAGCTGCCTGCCACACGCTGGCTCCCGGCACGCCCACCCGCTCTGTATTTGGGGGGACACCCACCTGAGCAATGAACGGAGTGATGAGGGCACCCACTCTCGCCATGCCACTGCAGGTGCCCAGGCCCAGCGCTCGCGTCGCCGTGGGGTACACCTGAAACACAGCCCCCGGATGTGGTCCGTCCTGCTGCCCCAGCTCAGGGATGACGGGACTGACTCCCCAAGGGTGGGCCGGCCTGGCGTTAGGGTGAATTCCTCAGGCGTTGGTGACCCCAGTAAGAGGTGGGATACTGGGGGTAAAGATTCTTAACACAGCCGAAACCGGTTTGGCTCAGTGGATAGAGCGTCGGCCTGTGGACTGAAGGGTCCCAGGTTCGATTCCGATCAAGGGCATGTACCTTAGTTGTGGGCACATCCCCAGTGGGGGGTGAGCAAGAGGCAGCTGGTCGATGTTTCTCTCTCATCGATGTTTCTAACTCTCTATCCCTCTCTCTTCCTCTCTGTAAAAAGTCAATAAAATATATTTTAAAAAAATATTCTTACCCCAAAGGAGTTAGGAAATTCAACTGAGAAAGAAGGCGAGAGGCTGAGCTGCGGGTGGGAACCCAGCAAGGAGGTCCTCCTGCCCCCTCGATGGCCGCCAAAGCCTCCGCCAGGAGCTCCGCCCGGGGTCCAGGGACTGTCCTGCCTGCCACTTCCCACTGGCTGACCTTGAAGCACTCACCGGTCTCGGGTGTTAAGGGCACTTCAGACAGAGAGACTGAAGTGTTCACAGGGCGTCTCGGTTCATAGCCAGGAGTGGCCAGTCCCCGAGGGGCGGGGAGGGGGCGGTCCTGTGCACTGTGAGGGGTTTAGCACCCTCCCTGGCCTCCACCCGCCAGAGGGGGTCCCATGTCTGTGCCTCCCGCCCTGCCCAGCTGCTCCCAGACACCCCTCCTACCTCAGGAGTGTAAACATAGGCTGCTTGGAAGCCTCCAGAAATAAACGCTCTTGCAACGAAGAGTAACAGCGTGAGCATAGTTCTAGGTGGAGGGAAAAAACAAAACAAAACAAAACAAAAAAGACCAACAGGAATTTTTTTCTTTTTCTTTCTGTCAGCTTGGCCTGCTTTTTCCATGTTTCTCATTCTCCAAAGCACCAGGCCGAGAGCTAGAAACACCTGTGTGCCCAGGTTGGGGAGAAGTGATATAAATAATCAGACGCCCAGGAAGGACCCGGTACGGTGGATTATTGAGCCAAATGAGCCAAGGAAAATAAACTTCTGTTCAGTATTTTTAGGGAGAATCCTCTGATCCCCAACCTTCGGTTCTGTTGTTCCCATAAACCATCTCAGAATATCAGCATTTCGTGCCCTACGCTGTATCTCCAGACTTTGCCCAGATTCCTCATCAGGCTTTGTCTGGGGCCTCTCACAGGTCCAAAGAGGCACCAGCCACTTCCATATTTTGAGCCGGAAAGGGAATTATAAATCAGGGCCGATTTAAAATAGTTCCATGGGACACATGACCATCTTAAACCCATGCATAAATCCAACAGGCTAGATGCATGATTTTATTGGGAGATAATATCAAAAGTCTAAATGTGATGGTAGACGAAACCGGTTTGGCTCAGTGGATAGAGCGTCGGCCTGCAGACTGAAAGGCCCCAGGTTCGATTCCAGTCAAGGGCATGTGCCTTGGTTGCAGGCACATCCCCAGCAGGGGGTGTGCAAGAGGCAGCTGATGGACGATTCTCTCTCATTGATGTTTCTAACCCTCTATCCCTCTCTCTTCCTCTCTGTAAAAAAAATTAATAAAATATATATTTTTAAAAATAAATAAATAAGTGTGATGGTATTGGAGGAGAACTTGGACAAACCCCACACTGGGGACCCCAACTTTGGGTCCGATCTTTTGGTCAGTTTTCAGGGAGCCAAGAGCCTCTGATGACCCCCCGCCCCCCACCGTGGGTGCAATCTCCGGCCCACAGGCCACTGCCCGGGACCGGAGCCATCCGCCTGCTGGCCAGAGAGGGCTGGTGTCACCACCCACCTGCCGACACAGATGAACAGCAGGAGGCTGCACAGGGAGAAGACGACGAAGCACAGCGCCATGGTCTTCTTGCGGCCCAGGCGGTCGATGATCCACAGAGTCACCAGGACACCTGGAAGGGAGCAGGGCACCGTGGCGGGCAGCTCCCGGCGTGACCGCCGAGGACCCCCAGCCCCTGGCAGTCACACCCTGTGCGACCCCCTGGAGAGGGGGCCGGCCTAGTGACGCACTTCTAATGGCGAGAGCACAGCACGAGTGATGGAATGTCACTTCTGATGAGGTTAGAAAAGGCTGTGACTGCCCGGCCAGCACGGCTCAGGGGCTGAGCGTCAACGTGTGAACCAGGAGGCCACAGTGAGATTCCCAGTCAGGGGCACGCTCGATCCCCAATGTGGGGCGTGCAGGAGGCAGGAGGCAGCCGATCCATGATTCTCATCCTTTGATCTCTCTCTCTCTCTCTCTCTCTCTCTCTCTCTCTCTCTCTCTCTCCCCCTCTCCCTTCCTCTCTGAAATCAATAATATATATATATATATATATATATATATATATATATATATATATATATATATATTTTTTTTTTTTTTTTTTTAATAAAGGCTGTGACTTGCCGAAATCAGTTTGGCTCAGTGGATAGAGCGTCGGCCTGCGGACTGAAAGGTCCCAGGTTCAATTCTGGTATAGGGCATGTACCAGTAGGGGGTGTGCAGGAGGCAGCTGATAGATGATTCTCTGTCATCGATGTTTCTAACTCTCTCTCTCTCTCTCCCTGGCTCTTCTCATGTGCTTGCCATGTTGGCCACCTGGAAAGGAACTGAAGGTGACCCCTGGCCAACAGCCAATGAGGAACGTGAGGCCCTCAGCCCTACAACCCGGAGGAACCAAATCCTGCCGACAGCCACGTGAATGAGCGTGACAGCAGATCCTGCCCCTCAGGAGTGGTCAGTCATTGGCTGAAGGCTGCTCCCAGGCGTTAGCTCCCTGGCACGTCCGGCCACCGTGCTTGCTTTTGGGCTTTCCCTTCCTCCTGGGACAGCCTTGGGGCACAGGGATGCGGATCCTGGCAGCAGCCAGTTGCAGGATCGGCTTCTGTTGCACCTCTCCCAGCCTTGCGTCTCCAGCCGTCAAAAGGGGATAACTAGCCCTAGCTGGTGTGGCTCACTTGGTTAGTGTGTTGTCCCAAACATCAAAAGGTGCTGGGGCCGAAACCGGTTTGGCTCAGTGGATAGATCGTTGGTCTGCAGACTGAAGGGTCCCAGGTTCAATTCCGGTCAAGGTCATGTTACCTTGGTTGTAGGCACATCCCTGGTAGGGGGTGTGCAGGAGGCAGCTGATCATTGTTTCTCTCTCATCGATGTTTCTAACTCTCTATACCTCTCTCTTCCTCTCTGTAAAAAATCAATTATATATATATATATATATATATATATATATATATATATATATATATATATTTTTTTTTTTTTTTTTTTAAGAAAAGGTGCTGGGGCAGATCCACTGCACTGTAGCATCGCCCTGGCCCCTTCCTCATCATCCCCCTGGGACATGGGGCAGGAGGACCTGCATGAATATGCTACTCGTGCTGTTTGCTGTGCTCAGGAGTCCTTTGTCTCTGCCCCAGGAGGTTCACGTCTCCAGCCAGCACGCACGGAATTGGGCAGCTTCAACCTGATGGCCTTCAAACGGAGGGAGATCTCAGCCCCTTCACCCTCTTGACAATGTATATAGCTCAGGGTGGACAAAGCAATCCCCAGCTCCCCCGGAAATGGAATTTGCTTCCGGGTGGCCCCAGGAATGTGGCACCACCTGGGAATGCAACGGAAATGCCTCGTAATAGTTGGACTCTTTTAACCATAAAAATCTCATCAGCTTCGCCAAAAAGGAGGAAAAATAAAATAAAACAAAGAAGGCGGCGCTGGACAGCCGCCACATTTTCAGGCTTCCTTGCCCCAACCCCACTCCCCAGGTGTCCGCCCCTCACCTGGGAACTCAGAGAGGGTGGTCCACAGCAGGTCCATGTAGTCCTCCTCACTCAGGTACTCGCAGGCCAGGCTGCACTTGGCCTCCACTGCCTTCTTACTGCTGGAAACTGGGAGGTGGGCAGCAGAGGGAGAGGATCAGCCACGTGCAGCGTCTGGAGTCCACGCCCCTGCTCCCCATACCTCCTTCTCTGTGGAGTCTGATTTGGCTGGCATGCTGTGAAAAGCGCCCAGCCAGCCTCAGGAGTCAGACAGACACGGGTCTGACTCCCAACCAGCATTCTATAGCGTCATCTCTCTGAGTGCCCGTTTCCTCAAAAAATGGGGAGAGGCCAAAACTAGTTTGGCTCAGTGGATAGAGCATCGGTCTGCGGACTGAAAGGTCCCAGGATTGATTCCGGTCAAGGGCATGTACCTTGGTTGCGAGCACATCCCCAGTAGGAGGTATGCAGGAGGCAGCTGATCGATGCTTCTCTCTCATTGATGTTTCTAGCTCTCTATCCCTCTCGCTTCCTCTCTGTAAAAAAAAAAAAAAAAAAAAAAAAAAAATCAATTAAAAAAAAATTTTTTTAAAGAGAAGAAGACTTCATTGGCATAAAAATGACATGAAATTCAAATCTGTGTGCACAAATAAGGTTTTATCAGACCACAGGCCATGCTTGTCGTTACACATTGCCCATAACTGCTTCACTGCTATGGTGTTCGAGCCACCCGGCTCCCCATGCCTGCCAGGTCCGCTCTCTGGCCCTTTATAAGAGAGTTGCCAACCCCTGCTATGTAACCTTTCACCGGACCCGCTGCTTGGCTGTAGCAGGTCCACTGTGAGGGGCATGCAATTATGTTCCATCAACCCCAAACTCCAACTCCACCACTGAGCTGCTTCCTCCGAGCAGTTAATTTAGACCTCCACCCCCCCGCAGTGAGATGTGACTCCGCCATCCCACGAAATCCTTATACCAATAAACAAAACTATTAGCGATGATGAAAGCGGCTTACCACCGAAAAAGATAATTGGGCAAGTCCCGCAGACCAGCCAGAACCTGATCCCTTGATCCCCCCTCCTGGGCTCAGTGCTAGGAAGTTAGTATTTTCTTAAGGACTGAACGATTTGAAAGCCCAGGCATCGGCATCTAGACGTAGCTTTTTATTCGTTTCTTTTGTCCGGCCAGCGGTCCCCACCTCCAGCTACACAACAGAATCGCCTGGGGAGCTTTTATAACCCACGAATGCCCGGCTCCAGCCCAGGGATGCTGATTACATTGGGCTGGGCATTGTGTGACTGGCGCTGGCATTGTTGAAAAGCTCCCCAGGCGATTCTCTTGCATGGCCAGGATTGAGATCCAACCTGGTTCTCAGACTTAATGTGCAGAGTCCTAGTGGTTTGACTCAGTGCTGTACTTCATGGAGCTCGGTAAGGTATGACTCTGGCCCGGCCGGTGTGGCTCAGTGATTGTGTCAACCTATGAACCAGGAGGTCATGGTTCGATTCCTTCCCAGTCAGGGCACACGCCAGGATTGTGGGCTTCATCCCCCGTGGGTGGAGGGCCTACAAGAGGCAGCCAATCCATGATTTTCATCCATTGATGTTTCTATCTCTCTCTCCCTCTTCCTTCCTCTCTGAAATCAATAAAACTATTTTTTTAATTTAAAAAAATAGTAACTTCTATAACGACAGGACTGTCAAGATCTCTGTTCAGCATCTTGAAAACCACAGCCCAGATAGTCTAAGCTCAGATTTTTTAAAGAATATATTTTATTGATTTTTTTAAAATATATTTTATTGATTTTACACAGAGAGGAATTGAGAGGGACAGAGAGTTAGAAACATCGATGAGAGAGAATCATCGATCAGCTGCGTCTTGCACACCCCCTACTGGGGATGTGCCCGCAACCAAGGTACATGCCCTTGACTGGAATCGAACCTGGGACCTTTCAGTCCGCAGGCCGACGCTCTATCCACTGAGCCAAACCGATCCCGGCGATTTTTTATTTTTTTTTACAGAGAGGAAGGGAGAGGGAGAGAGAGTTAGAAACCAAACTGAACCCAGGACCCTTCAGTCCAAAGGCCGACGCTCTATCCACTGAGCCAAACCGGTCAGGGCTAGGCTCAGATTTTGCACAAACTTTCTCTCTGGAGTTGGTGGGGTCAAGTCAGTGGGATTTGTGCAAGGCCAGGCCTGGTGAGGGCAGAACCTGGGGTGGACGTGGGCGTGTGTGTGTGTGTGTGTGTGTGCGCGTGAGTAACTGGTCCACGGCTGCCATACTCACTGCTGCAGACGTCCCCTGCCTGGAAGAGCTCCGTGGTGAGCAGGACTAATCCGTAGTAAGAAAACGCATTGGAAAACCTGCCGGGAAGGAAGCAAGAGAGGGAAAGAAATGGGCGTCTGAGGGCTTTCCTGGGCCCCAGGGCAGGAAGAAGGCAGGTGCAAACCACAGTGAGGTGACAACGGGGATTCATCCTGTGTCCTCTGAAAGCTCCAGAGTTGGATTCTGCCACAGACATGCCGCCCCCGAGGCTGTTTACTCAACCGGCAACAGGGGGCACCATTGGGGGAACCAACATTTAGAAGAAAGCACAGCGTTGACACCTGTCTGGGCTTCTGGGTTGAGTTGGTCTGTTGGACTGGGGACACACACACACACACACACACACACACACACACAGAAGCTTTAATAATATACAGAACGGGGCTCCCACTCTCTCCCCGAATTCCTGAGAGCTGAATCGATGCACCAGTCACGTATTAAACACTGCTGTGTGCCCCGTACAGGGGTGGACTCCACAGAATTCACTCGGCTCGCAGGTCAGAACGAGGCGATTCATTCATTCCAGAATGTCCCAAGAACCCGGATGGATTCTGGAGTCTGTAGGGCCGAACATTCTCATCCAGTGCAGTATGTGGGAACCCCGTCACCACCAGACGCCACTGATCCGCTTCCTTGGGCTGCAGTACGTGCTGGCAAACGCAAGGAATTAGACATTGCCTCTACCTCGTTGCTTCTGTGTTCAGCTAGTGTCGGCTCAACAGAATCATGTGCTCTCAAAGGCAGACCCCCTCAGCTCTGTACCCCTCCAAACGCCCTTAACAATCCGACAGCCTGGCCATACGGTAGGTGAGTCCCAAGTGCTTGGTGAGTGGATCCAGCTCTCAGGAAGGCGGGGTTAGTTCTGTGTGTGGAATTCTGTAAATGGGGCCCCCGTTCTGTATATTATCACAGTTTTCCCCTCCTCCTAACTACAATTAACCACTTTCGCTGACACCCTTCTCTCCATCCCCTCCCCCGCCTCTGCTAACTAGTACCCCTGCTCAAAGGTGAAAAGGAAAGGTGAGAACTAATTGAAACAGAACACAAAGCCTGACCAAGGCCCAGGGCCTGCACTGTTGATGTTGTGTGCACGACTGGGCAGAAAGAGAGTTGGAAGAACCGCTGAAATGGGACTGGTTGTAGCGTTAAAAGCCCCACCCTCGCCCTTGTGATTAAGAAAAGTAGAATGGCCGAAGCCGGTTTGGCTCAGTGGATGAAGAGCATCGGCCTGTGGACTGAAAGGTCCTGGTTTCGATTCTGGTCAAGGGCAAGTACCTTGGTTGCGGGCACATCCCCAGTAGGGAGTATGCAGGAGGCAGCTGATCGATGTTTCTCTCTCATCGATGTTTCTAACTCTCTATCCCTCTCCCTTCCTCTCTGTAGAAAAATCAAAGAAATATATATATATATATATATATATATATATATATATATATATATTTTTTTTTTTTTTTTTTAAAGATTTAAGAAAAAGAAAGAAAAGTAGAATGTGATCAGGATGGAACGTTCTAAGAATGCCCATGGCCACCAAATCCATGCTCCCCAAACTAGGGGCCCTGGTGGTACCCAAGGCCATATGAGTGGAGCGGGGAACTGATTACAGCATCAGCATGAAGTCTCATTGTAGAAAAAAAAAAAAATCCCTTTTCAATTTCCTTTCAATTCTTTTGATGGTATCTCTTGTCTTCAGTGATGAGTTACTTATGTGAGTGAGTCCTCAGCACCTCCCGCTCTGTCTGCTTCTCTATCTCTTCAGTACAGCCACTCAGCGCCTTGGCAAGCCATCAACCTGGCAACTACTCACTGCGTTTATCTCTAAGAGTGCCTTCTATCTATGGCCTGAAATTAAGGTGTGTGTGTGTGGTTTTTTTTGTTTTTTTTTTCCTTTAAAGAAGACATATAAAGTTTCCTTTTCAAATGCATTTATCTAGGTAAAAAGTGAGTCCCATGAAAGAAAACAAGTGGGAAAATAATCGTCCGGGCGCTATCTGGGTGAGACAGCGGTCAGGAAAGCGAGGCTCTCACCCCTGGATTTTGCAGACGCTGCCCCAGATCAAAACGCTCCCTGTGCTTTGTGTTCAAACAACACCCCCCCCCCCCCCCCCAACAGGGCACAGACGAAGGGGATCCACGCGTCAACACATGGCTCTTACCATATGAACCACAGCAACAAGGTTGTCCATCTAAAATGGGGCGTGAAAAGGTCCCGCAATTTGCCTCGGTCTTCCTGTGTCAAGACAAAAAAAACCAGGCAGGTGCGTGGGTACCGGCTGGTGGCCGGAGACGGGCGGGCAGCCGTGGCTGAGAGGGAGGTGTCCCGTGAGCTGGATCCTCAGGCTGCAAGGACCCGGGACTCAAATCTCCAGCCCAGTGCGGCCAATTCAGGCCCTCCAGCCGGGACCCAGCAATGTCCACAGGCTTCCCTCCGCAGGATGGGGACATTCTGAACCCCCACCCCAACCTGGAATCCGGGAGCTGGGAAGCAGACCCCTTGGGCTTGGGCTTGGGCCCCCTGACACCTCTTAGGTAATTTCATGGGCCTGGGAGCAGAAAAAAGGGGTGTCCAACCATATCATGTCTCACCCCCAAGAGGACACAAACTAAGGCACCCATCAATCACCAAAAGCCATTTGCCAAGAGACAGATTAGCTAAAGGACCCAGTTGCCAATGCCATGTAATTTGCTAACTTGTCAAATCTTTGCCTTACACATTCTCTTTTAAAAATATATATGTATTCTATGACTGATTGTATGCTTCTTCGATGAATTTAATGAACATTCTTTTTCTTAGTAGCAGTTTGAGAAGTGCTTACTTACTTAAACACAATAAAAGTGGGGGGGAAAATATTATAGGCCACAGGTGGCTTAGTCTCTGAGTATTGCCTTCATGAATAAAAATATTTTGGTAATATATTCTACAATGAAAAGATAGCATTCATTAAATATGCTTACTGGATATATTTGAGAATGCATTCATTGAATATATTTAAGAATATTAGGCAGAATATATTGATGAATACATGTACTCATATGCACATAGAGAAAATATATTCCTGTTTACTAAATATATTTTTTGGTAAATAGATACACTAGCAAGTTAATTCAGGAAAATCTGCTTTTGGAAAACGGGTCTGCCCTTCTCTCCTCTTTTTGCTTGTCTCAAAATTCACCCCCTCCTTGGAGCCTTCCCTGACCATCCTGTTTCTGGAAGTGGATTTGGGTGTGTCCTATGGCCCACGTACCATGCAAAACACCGCCCCTCCCTGTGGGGAAGTTTCATCCAGTTCTTTTTGCATAATATAAAAACAATCACAGCCCTGGCCGGTTTGGCTCAGTGGATAGAGCATTGGCCTATGGACTCAGGGGTCCCGGGTTTGATTCTGGTCAAGGGCATGTGCCTTGGTTGTGGGCACATCCCCAGTGGGGGATGTGCAGGAGGCAGCGGATTGATGTTTCTCTCTCATCGATGTTTCTAACTCTCTATCCCTCTCTCTTCCTCTCTGTAAAAAAAACAATAAAATATAATTTTATTTTTTAAGATAATTTCCCTGTACGGTCTGTTGTTCGCTGAAGGGTATCTGTCCTGTCTGAGATCAGGAACAGCAGCCTTTAACCTGACAGCCTTCTCCCCTCGAACCGCACCCCCCCCCTCCCCTTGCTGGGTGCGCATGTGCATTCTCTCTGCGGTGGGTTCCCTGATGGTGTTGCCATCCAAGCAGCGATGCGCCATCCGTTAAGTGCAGTTTGGCGCCCTGGACCTAAGCCTATCGCGGCCCTTTCTAATGTGGTTTTATGGCCCGGCCTCTGGCGATCCATCACATTTGCTAATCAGAGGTAACGGGCGCTGAAAGGTGACACCGGATCCATTAGCGGGCCCTGCCTTCCACTCCTCTCATCGCGGGTGCGTGCTCCGGGTGGCACTGTCAGGGCTTGGCAGTGAGAACACACCGAGGGCAGCTGCCAGGTTCACCTTGCAGAATCTGCCCCCTCCCTCCCCGCCCCCGGACCCCGACCCACTCCATGGACACCTGCGACCACACACACACACACAGGGGCACCCTGCCCGCCCAGGGGGGCCAGGAACTGACCTGCCTGGAAATGATGAGCTTTCCCAGCGGCATGGGGGCCCCGTTCTCCGTCGCTATCCTCTTCAGCGTGGCCATGGCCTTTTCCTGGTTCCCCGACAGCACGTCATACCTCGCGCTCTCCGGCAGCCACTGTGGGGGCGGGACGGCCGCACGTGGCAGGTTGAGGGGAGGGGGGAGGGGGGAGGGGGGAGGGGAGAGACAGAACACTGGGTTCCAGCCTCACACTCATCTGCGTGTAGAGAGACCTTAAGGGTGGGGGGACTGGCTTCAGAGCCTGGCTCTGCCATGGAGTAGGTTGGCTGTGTGACCTTGAGCAATTACGCACCCTCTCTGTGCCTCCATCTCCTCATCCATAGACGGGATAAAGCGCATGATCTCACTGCGGGGAGGCAGGGGGGGGGGGTGTAGTTTATGCAGAGCTGAGTGGAGATGGAGAGATCATTTGAGCTCCTGGGCCCAGTTTGAGTTGGGATTCTGTCATTTACAACCTAAGAGTCCCAACTATTCTGATACAGTTCCCTTCCGGGTGCATCTTGCCATGGTGGGACCTGGGTACCCCTCCGGCACCCCCCGCTGTCTCCCTAAAGAGCATCCCAGCAGCGTCTGTCAGGAGGAAACCCAGTGCTCCCCACGGAGCCTGCCCCAGGCCCCGTTCCTTGGTCTCCTGTCCTGATTTAAAAAAAAATAATAATCGAAAAAGGTAGCTTTGGTGCTGTCTACACACCCTCCCTGACAAACACAGCGGACAGCAGAAGGTCCGTAGCAGAGGCTTTGGGGTCTCTTAAAGGGGTACCTACAAAACACAGCACAGCGAAGATGAGGAGCGGGACGGCTGAGAGGAGGAGCAGCCAACGCCAGCCCAGGCTGGGCATCACAAACACAGCCAGGGCGACCTCGAACACGGTCCCGATGGCCCAGAACACCTGGACGGAAGAATGGGGGGGGGGGGGCGGCACTGGTCAGCACAGTGAGCCATTCCAGGGTCACTGCAGACATGATAACCCAGGGGGCACGGGGCCCTTGGGGGTCAGCAAGGTCAGAATGGCCATCCCGTTTCCTGTGGTTTATAGGGCTGGGCCAGGGCCACCATCTCGCCCCTGCGCAGTGTGGGACATTTGCAGGGCACCCACGGGAGTGTGTGCATAAGGAGACCAATGCGATCAATATCATGCGATGTCGCAAACACGTTGGTTTTTGTCCATGGACAGCCATCTCCTTTATCAGAACTGCCTCTTGCCCTGACCGGTTTAGCTCAGTGGATAGAGAGGACTCGGGTTCAATTCCGGTCAAGGACATGTACCTTGATTGTGGGCACATACCAAGTGGGGAGTGGGCGGGAGGTAGCTGATCAATGTTTCTCTCTCATCAATGTTTCTAACTTTCTACCCCCCTCCCTTCCTCTCTCTATGCCTGTGTCCTGTCACATATATAAATTGTCTCTTCCCTGTGGGACTGCACATCCTCTGTTTGCTTCTCCAAGTCACTCTCCATCGGTTTTCACCTTGTGTCCACAGGCTCCCTGTCCTGTGGTTCCCGTTCAGTACAGCCAATGGGGACCCTCCCCCCCCAGGGATGGGAGGGAGGGAGGAAGGAAAGAGAGATTGCCTGTTCATTCCTCTGGCTTTCTCTCTGCAGGGTAGTGAGGGGCTGGCTGCATCCCTCAGGTGAAGGTTACAGCTCCCATCCAACAGTCCTACCCAAACTCACTCTCTCTCTCTCTCTCTCTCTCTCTCTCATCAATTGAAGAACTTTCAAAACAACCCTGTTGAAATCAACATAGCTGATCCATTTAAGATCCATTTAAGTCCTTGCATACTAAGTCTATTATATTTTTATTTTATGTTTTTGGTTGCTAATCCTCACCTGAGGATATTTTCCCACTGATTTTAGAGAGAAAAGAAGGGAGGAGAGAGAGAGAGAGAGAGAGAGAGAGAGAGAGAGAGAGAGAGAGAGAGAGAGAGAGAGAGGGAGAAAGAAAGAGAGATAGAGAGAAACAGAGATAGAGATAGAGATAGAGAGAGAGAGAGAGAGAGAGAGAGAGAGAGAGATGTGATAGGACACATTGATTGATTACCTCCTGCACATGTCCCGACTAGGGCCAAGGATCAAGCCTGCAACTGAGATATGTATCCTGACAGGAATTGAACCCATGACCCTTCAGTCTGAGGACTGATGCTCTATCCACTGACTCAAAGCAGTTAGGGCTTTTATATTTTTCTTAAACCCGCTTTTCCTTGTCCTGTGGCTCCAGACACCTGAGAACTTCACACCAGAGCCCGAGAATTCCCCGCAAACCCAGCCACCCTCCTCACCTCGATCAGCAAAATGCACTTGGCTCTGGCTTTCATGGGCAGGAACTCGGCATACAGCGTCACCCTGGGGAAGCAGAGACACAGAAAGGGGGTCAAGGCCAGGACTGAGCAGGAAGATTGCTACCGCTTTCTGAAGTTCTATCCATCTGGTATCTATCTATCTATCTATTTATCATCTATCTATCTGTCTATCATCTATTTATTTATCACTGTCTGTTTCTCTCTCTCCCCACATACATACCATACATCTATATCTATATAGCTATACCCATGTACATGTATTTAAAAAACAACCAATGAGCTCATACCAATACTTTCCATCCCAGTCCAACCAGAGGTCTTTCTAACCTTCCAGTTTCCATGATTGTAAACCCCTTCTCCAAAACTTGAGGAACCTGGGTCACATTATCCTCAATATATTTATGCATCTGGTCAGGCAATTTACTTGTGTGCTCCATGGAACCAACGTCTTAACCGCTCCAGCAGCCTCTTCCATCCACTGCCTCCCCACACCCCTCCCTTCCCTTTCTCTTCCTCAGCCACTGGACAGAGAAGGAAAACTCCTAGACCACGCCCCCACACTGCCTTCCTTGCTGCTAGGAAGGAGACCTCTAGCCCCTCATCTCCCACTGAAGCCCGGCATCCGAGCTACTTGGTGGCCTCGTGTTACTCTCCTGGATCCTCATAAGGAAGGTGGGGGCAGAGGGAAGCTAATTTCCACGAAGCCTTTCGAGGCAGATCAGGACCCCTCCAGAGCTCCTGGAACCCCTTTACTAGGCCAGTGGGCAGTCAGAAGTTATGTTAGAGCCCTAACCGGTTTGGCTCAGTGGATGGAGCTTCTGCCTGCGGACTGAAGGGTCCCGGGTTTGATTCTGGTCTGCATGTGCCTTGTTTGTGGGCACGTCCCCCATGGGATGTGTGCAGGAGGCAGCTGTTCGCTGTTTCTCTCTCATTCATGTTTCTAGCTCTCTATCTTTCTCCCTTCCTCTCTGTGAAACATCAATACAAAATATATATATATTTTTTTAAAGGTTAAATTAGAATTTTCTGCTGCAGAGTGGTAGGGTAACTAACAGTTGTTCAAGGCTCCTGAATCTGTGTCAGGATTTGCTTCTCACACGATAGTTTGGGAATCTTTCCATATCCATATTAGGGGTGTCGAACTCAATCAGAAAAGGGGCCAAAATCTAAAATCCAGCCTAAATCGCAGGCCGAATGGTTTACTGAACAGTCATAAACTGTCATTGTGATGGAAACGCAGAGGAGTGCAGTGATGACAGCGCGGTGCGGGCCACATTGCAAGGCCTGGCGGGACGGATTTGGCCCGCGGGCCTTGTGTTTGACACATGTGCCATAGATCTATAGCATTATCTTCTAACAGCCTCAACCCTGTTGGTCAACATGTAGATGTTTGCCATTCCCTGTTTTGTTTTGTTTTTTGCAACCGATGCCACAAGAAACATCTTTTCCTGGCGTTGTTGTGGCCCCACTTGGCCATGACTCATGGCCGTTGACAATGGAAACGAGCTGTTTGATCTCCATCCAGTGTGTGGTGACTACGATTACAATGACACTGGAAAGTAAAAGAATGAGCAACAGAATCAGCCGCGCCAAGAAGCAGCCGATACTGGCATAAACAAACCCTCGCTGCAAGCCATCGCGTGTGTCTGGTGGCGAGTTGGCCACTGAGACTTGCCATCTGGATCCCAGGCTTAGCAAGAAATGACCTGTGATCTCCGCTCCTCGTTTCTGCTTAAAATGTGGAAGAAAGAGCCGTGCCCAGGACAGGTTTGGGAGCAAGCTGGCTGTAGACACCAAACTGAAGACCCTGCTGAGGCCGATGGCGAGGTGGGCGGGGTGGGCAGCTACCTGGGGGTGCGCACGCATTTTTTTAAGAGAGGCTAAGGAAGGTTTCCATCCAGCCTCTTGGGAAAGTGGCATTTCTGCGGAAGCACACAGCACCCTCTACTGGAAAGAAGGAGTGATGTGCCCCGGTGGGTTCAGTTAGAGGCGATCATCATTTGGGGGTGAGGAGGGTGCTTCTTTACACTGGAATTTTTTTCTAAAACAAAAATGTATGGTCTGTAAGGATAAAAAGGAAGTTACACTGGACTCCCTTGCTTGAATTAAAGTCTCTCTTAATGCTCCTTCATAGACAGAAAATGGAATTATTAGTATCATCCTAAATGTGACTCCTCTTTCCTGCAGTAATTAAAAGGATAGCACCTGGCCAGAGGCTCAGTTGGTCAGAGTATCATCCCAATCCACGAAAGTGGCCAGTTGGGTACCCCCTCAGGGCACGATCAAGAGTCAACTAATAAATGCATACATGAGAGGGACAATAAATCAATGTCTCTCTCCCTCTCTCTCTTTCTCTGAAATCAATTTTTTTTTAAAAAAATTAATAATTAAAAAAATAATACCACCTGCTCAGAACCAACCATTCTCCATTCCCAGAATCCCCCCCCCCCCCCCCGCCCCCCCAAATCAGTACTCGGGCCCCAGGGGCATTATTGGTTTACCGGGACCTCTGACTTGGTACGCTCAGAACTCTTCCCCAATATTTGTTCAAGCGAGAGCTTTGGCATTGGGCAACCCGGACTGGAAGGCCGTGCAGGTCCCCCTCCCTGCACCTACACTTCCTCGCAATGACACTTGGCAGCCCACCCCATCCAGAGCCTATGTCCCCATCCCTCCAGCCTGGGCTCCGTGACTTGCTTTTGATCAATAGAATGTTGCGGTGCCAGTCCCAAGCTTGGGCTCCAGAGGATTTGTGGCTTCTGCTTGCTCTTGGGACCCCTGCCCAGGTACCACGTGACCAGGTGCCTGGGCTAGCCAGCTGGAGGATGAGGGGCTTGTGGAATGCAGAGGAGTCAGCCGTGGCCGTCCTAGCCTAGCCAGCCCCCATTCAATCCACCCGTCAACTGAAGACACATAAGCAAGCCCCACCGAGACCAGAACAACCGATCTGACCAACTGCAGAATCACGAGTTAAAGGAATCATTATTTTTAAGCCCCATCGGTGCTGGGAATGTTTGTTACAAAGCAAAAGCAACTTCCACGCCCCACGTAAGAACCGCCTGGCCCCACGGGTCACTTATGATCTCGGAGCCTCCGTTTTCTCATCTGTAAAATGGGGATAATAGGATTGTCCAATGGACAAGATGAGAGAGTGTGAAGACAGCACCTAGCACTGGTCTAGCACTTGGTAAACATCCTATTAATATCATCGTCATCGTCACTGTTAATGCTAATATTGTTGCTGTCGCCAAGAACTGATGTGAATACATACTTTAAGGGAAGAGATAAAGGAAAGAAAAAAAAAAAAAGAAAGAAAGGAGGGACATAGAAATGGATAGATCAGAGCAGAGAGATGATCTGGCTCTTTATTAATAATATAATTTGGATAGGAGATGATGGGTGCTATCTAAACGTATTGAGGTAATCATTTTGCAAGCTACATAAGTCAAGTCGTTATGCCGTACTCCTAAAACTGCTGTATATTGATTATATATCAATAAAACTGAAAGAAGAAAAAAATTTCAATTAAGACATTTCAGTACTACAACTTGCATTTATACTAAAAACGTAGGGTACCTTATAAGGCCTTCTCATTGTTGGGCCCTTAAAAACTACATAAGCAAAATCCTACCTGCTTGGTTTGGTGAGGTGGTGCAACTGGGTAAAGCTATTCTCAATGAATGGAAACTCTTAGCTACATTTAATTACGTAAAAATATCTTCCACTAAATGTTCCCAAATAATGAGCTTAGGGGAGCCATTTTATAACTAGATAAGCACATTGCCTGATTAAGACGATTATTTCTACGTAAATGGCTGAAGCAAAGGAGCCGGGAGGCCAGTGGCTCTCTCGGGTGGTTAAATATGTCTGCTGTAATTTTGTTGGTGGTTTTTATGCGCTCTCCTCATAGACAAAAGAGTTATAGGACACAGTTAAGCTAAGACGTTTGGAGGAGGATCCAGGGATGTTTACATCTCAGCGCTGCTGTTGAACTAGCAGTGAGAACCCCCGAGGCCCTGACCCGGGGGACGGGCTGCCTGGCTGCAAGGCGGGAGCTGGGTGTTTACTTACGACTGGGGGACCCCTCCGATCCCGAAGCCCACCAGGCCCCGGAGCACCAGGATCCAGCTGTACACGGGCGCGAAAGCACTGAGGATCCCGTAGTACAGGGTCCAGAGCACGCTGATCTTCAGCCCCTGCATGGACGGGAGACACTGAGTCACAAGGATGCTCAGCACCACCAGGTCTCAGGGCCCTCCCCCCATTTAAAGTCACCATAAGGGCCGAAACTGGTTTGGCTCAGTGGTAGAGCATCGGTCTGTGGACTGAAAGGTCCCAGGTTCGATTCTGGTCAAGGGCATGTACATTGGTTGCCGGCACATCTCCAATGGGGAGTGTGCAGGAGGCAGCTGGTCGATGTTTCTCTCTCATCGACGTTTCTAGCTCTCTATCTCTCTCCCTTCTTCCTCTCTGTAAAAATATCAATAAAATAGACAAATAAATAAAGTCACCATTAGGGTCCTGTTTAAGGGGAACCCAAACAACCGAGGGTTGTCTGTGTGGGTGCCGCCCACCCCTAGGCTGTAGGTGGCAAATCTGTGGGCTTTCTCGGTTGTCCCAATGATTGGCATGTATAGCCAGGGCCCAGAAGTGAAAGATGTCCCACTGTGCATGAGACCTAGGAAGACTTGTCCTCCCGGCCAGTGTTGCTCAGTGGTTGAGCATCGAACTGGGAACCGGGAGGTCACGGTTCAATTTCCTTGTCAGGGCACATGCCCAGGTTGTGGGCTCGATCCCCAAGGCAGCCGATCAATGATTCTCTCTGATCATTGATGTTTCTCTCTTGCCCTCTCCCTTTCTCTCTGAAATTAATAAAAATACATATTTCTTTTAAAACCATAAACTAAATTAAAAGGAAATTTGGAGGTCTACTAGCTGATTTCAGGTCTATGGGGACATGACTTTAACTAATAGAGAGAATATTTCAAATAACTGTGAATCACCTTGCAAGAAAGTAATTTCTTCTTCTTTTTAAAAAAAAATACATTTTATTTATTTTTTACAGAGAGGAAGAGAGATAGAGAGTTAGAAACATCCATCAGCTGCCTCCTGCACACCCCCTACTGGGGATGTGTCTGCAGCCAAGGTACATGCCCTTGACTGAAATTGAACCTGGGACCCCTGAGTCCGCAAGCAGACGCTCTATCCACTGAGCCAAACTGGTTTCAGCTTCTTTTTCATTTTAATAATCATTCTTCTGGTGATGGCCAGAGGAGACATCCGTGTGGTGCCAGTCTGTCTTTAACACCTTTTGGACCATCTACCAATCCCTCTTTTTAACCAAGAGAGCAGTGGGTCAATGGTAAGCAGCTAGAACTTAATAACATTATTTCATTTTCATTGTATTTATTTTCGCAGATATTTCCTTGGGGCAATTGTGACTGATTTCCCATTTAAGATGCTCTGTAAAGTTTTTTTTTTTTCCAAAAAAAGAAAATTCATGTCATGAAACTACACACACAATAACTGATACAAATAAAGGTATTGTGTACCTAAGAGAACAGGTAGGACAGGAATTATTCAAGCAGGAAATCCTGGATCTATTGCAATAATAATAAAGCAACAATGCCCTAACTGGTCTGGCTCAGCGGATAGAGTGTCGGCCTGCAGACTGAAGGGTCCCGGCTTTGATTCTGATCAAGGGCATGTACTTTGGTTGCAAGCACATCCCCAGTAGGGGGTGTGCAGGAGGCAGCTGATCGATGTTTCTCTCTCATCGATGTTTGTAACTCTCTATCCCTCTCCCTTACTCAATAAATTATATATTTAAAATAATAATAATAAAAATAATAATAATAATAAAGCAACACTGATGCACCCCTAAGCCCATAACTATGACATCGGTACCTGCCACACACATCCTTAATTCCTTTCCTTGGGCATAAGCTAGCTCAATGGAACCCAAAGAGTCTTGAAATGCATGAGCTTGAGCTTGAAATCAATGCATGATTTCAAGACTCCACAGTGGCCTCAGAGCATTGTCTACTGATAGCACATCGACATGGCTCCTCCAAAGGCCTCCCACTGCTCCAGCAGCATCAGTGTGCTATTTGTCGCCGTCACCACAGAGATAACCTGGGCTAGGGGACAGGCCCTTAGGAGAGAGACTGCCTTACTGTTTTCCTGCCATACTGGTCCGAGATGTTCCCCCAGAGGGTGGAGCTGGACATCATGCCGATAAAGACCACCTGCGGGTGGGAACGGGGTTTCCGTTAGACGGTGACATGGAGCATGGATTGCAGAGAAAGGGATCGACAGATCGAACCTGGGACGTCACACCCTAGCGATAACCATGCATCAGCATTCTCTGAGATCCGGCTGCTGAGGGGCAAGCACGATTGTGTGTGCACTTCACGCTACTGTGGAAACCTCACAACAATCCAAGGGAGTGGGTGCTGTGATTGGCCCCGTTTTACAGATGAGCAAACTGAGACTCGGCGAGGGGAGGCCATTGGGCGGGGGCCACGCATCTGTAAGCGGTGCAGCCCAGGCTGGACTCGGGCAGTATGGCTGCAGTAGTATGGGTTGCTTGTCCTGTTGCTAAGAAAATATCCAAGGCAGCAAGACACAGTTTGGAGAGTAGAAAATCGAAGGCAGGAGGTTGGGATGGGAGCGGAAACCCATTAGAAGAGAAAGCAGTCATGGAGCACTGACTGTGCTCGGGCAAAGCCACTGTTGCAAGGTTAATCCTTGAACAGAGCTAATGAGGTTGGACTCATCAGATCCATTTTATGGAAGGGGAGCCTGAGGCTCAGAAGGGTTAAGAAACCTGCTCAGGCCTGGCCGGCGTGGCTCCGTGATTGAGCATCGACCTATGAACCAGGAGGTCAAGGTTCACTTCCCGGTCAGGGCACAGGCCTGGGTTTTGGGCTCGATCCCCAGCAATGGGTGTGCAGGAGGCAGCCAATCGATATTGATGTTCCTCTCTCATCAATGTGTCTATCTTTCTCTCTAAAATCAATAAAAACTTATTTAAAAAATAAAACCCTTGCCCTAGCCGGCTTGGCTCAGTGACTAAAGCATCAGCCTGCGGACTGAAGGGTCCCTGGTTCGATTCCTGCCAAGGGCACATGCAGGCTCAGCCCCCAGTAGGGGGTGTGAAGGAGGCAGCCGATCAATGATTCTCATCATTGATGTTTCTATCTCTCTCTCTCTCTGAAATCAATAAAGAAATATTTTTTTAAATAAAATTAAAATAAAACCCTCAATCACCCTCCTGTGGGAGGTATTGGCACATCCTTTCTGGATGAGTGAGGTGTATCCGGTCTAAGGGATATGCCAAGGAGCCCATGTCTGGGGACCCCGAGGACTGGGACCCCTGGGTGCAGTGGAGGTGGCTGCCAACCGACCGGGGAGTCAAGGGAGCTGAGGTCACGATGTTTCCATGCAGAGAATTGGACTTTTTTCTGCTGAGCAGCTGGCAGCAGCAGAGGGAGGGGCCCCGCACAGATCCCCCACCCCCACCCCGTGGACCAGCACAGTACCCAGCGGGAGGGCCGCTGCTGCCTACCGAGGTCAGCAAGGCCACCTGCCAGCTGGGGAGCCGCCACTCGCAGTGCAGCTGGGGCGCGAGGATGCTCAGGATCATCATTTCCATGGCATCGGCCATCTGCAGGGAGCGAGCAGGTGTCATGAGCCAGGCCACTGCCTGGTGCCCGGGTGGCTGACCTCAGCTCAGCGCCCCCCCACTCCCCAACTCTGTCCCCGTGAGAGCCTGGACGGCTGACCCCTCACTCAGCGCCCCCCCAACTCTGTCCCCGTGAGAGCCTGGAGAGCTGACCCCTGGCTCAGGGACTCCCCCCACAAAGCCTGGACGGCTGACGCCTCACTCAGCCCCCGCCACCAACTCTAGCGCAGCGGTCAGCAAACTCATTAGTCATCAGAGCCAAATACCAACAGGACAACGGTTGAAATTTCTTTGGAGAGCCTCGTTGTTTAAACTTAAACTTCTTCTAACGCCACTTCTTCAAAATAGACTCGCCCAGGCCGAAAACTGACTTCTGCTCATGGGCCACGAAGTTTCAATCGCACTGCACGTGTGCATCCGCACGTGGTATTTTGTGGAAGAGCCACACTCAAGGGGGAAAAGGGCCACATGTGGCTCGCGAGCCGCGGTTTGCTGCTGTTCTAGGGTGAGCTCCGCAGATGACATCACCATCTCCCTGTAGCCCTGAGCCCCCGGGGACTGAGGGCCGCTCCCTGAGCCAGGAGCTCCCGCTCCTCCTGAGGGCGGTGGCCAGCATCCCCCAGCGCTGACCTTCGTGACCCCCAGGGTCACCCTCAGAACCCTGACAGCTTCACGCCAAGGCTCTCCGCGGGAAGAGCGGGCTCCTGCCTCGTGGGTCACGGCACCCAGGGGAGCGGCCTCAGGAAGGGTTTCTCGGAGACTGAGAGGGAAGGCCCTGCCCCAGGGATACTTGCCCACGCCAGGCCCGTGAGAACAGACAGCTTCCACTGGAACTTCCCAAACCCAATGGCTTCCACCGCATCTTCCACCATGAAAGTATCTGGAAAGGAGAAGGGGGGGGGGGCGGAGTTGTCATAGTGTGGAGGTGTCCCGGGGGGAGGGGGGGAGGAGGGGTGTCCATAGCCAAGCTCCTTAAACGCGGCACATGCCGCTTCTAGAATTTATCTTGGGAAAGCAGTACGGCAAGTGTGGAAGGATACCTTGCTACAAAACCCCGGCAGCATTGGTTACAAAAGGGAAAACGGCCCTGGCCAGTGTGGCTCCGTGGTTAGAGCGTCAGCCGGAGCCCCGAAGGGTCGCGGGCTCCATTCCCGGCCAAGGGCATGTACCTGGGTTGCAGGTTCGATCCCTGGCCCTGGAGCGCGCTCTCTCTCTCTCTCTCTCTCTCTCTCTCTCTCTCTCTCTCTCTCTCTCTCTCCTCTCTTACTTGGAAAAATGGGACTTTTTTAAAACGCAGCGGGACTGTCCCGCCAAAAGCGGGATGTCTGGTCACCTTAATCAATACACTATCAACACCATCATCACCACCACCACCACCACCATCATCACCACCATCACCACCATCATCATCACCATCATCACATCATCAATACACTATCACCATCATCATCACTATTATTATCACCATCACCACCTTCATCACTACCATCATTACCTCATCATCAATACACTATCACCACCATCATCACCACCACCACCACCATAGTCATCACCATCACCACCTTCATCATCACCACCTTCATCATCATCACCATCACTATCATCACCACCACCATCATCAATATATTATCACCATCACCATCATAGCCACCATCACCGTCACCACCATCATCGTCATTGTGCTGTCCTCAGCTAAGTGCTGTGCGATGACGCTGGTGGCGGGGATTGTGATGTAGCCCTCCCTGCTGAAGTAAGCCATGCAGGTCCAGTTCACACTTTCAGTATCACCCCTGGGCCCTCGGGGCCCTCCTACTTGCCTTTTCGCAAGATCCCTCTGAGCATGCCCCCTGGGGAGGCAACCCAGGCACCTCAGAGCCCCCGATTGTGGTCTTGGCTGATGCCCCAAAGGCAGGGCCCCCTCACCGTCGGTGGGATTGGCAAACTCCTTGGGCACAGCTGCCCCATCGTCTAGTTCGACTGCCTGTAGGCCCGTGCGGACCCCTTCGATCTGGACCTCATGCTCTCCCGAAGCCGTGTCGTCCTCTGACCTTGCACTCTCGCCCGTGCGTCGGAATTTCACCACCCTAGAGGACAGAGCAAAGCTGGTCATGAAGGCTGGAACTCCCCCTCAACAGTCTCGCTGCACAGCTCATGTGCCCAAGACAGGTGAAAGGCTTTTTATCTCACGGTCAGGGGAGTTGGATGGGGAGGAGGTTGGCACGTCTGCTGAGTTGGCCTGTGGAGATTGACACCTTCCTAAGTTGAGCATCAGGGCTGGCACACATGGCTGCACAGGTTTGGCACTGCCCAGCTCCATGGGGCTCCAGTCACGTGGTAGGCTATGGGAATGGGGAGGGCTTTATTAAATAGTTTGGGAGCTTGTGTGTTTCAGAGTTTAGACTCATCTCTCTGTAGCAGAGAGAACACTGTGGTCACCTAAGGTTACATGATGCACACATGAAGTTGCCTACATGGTGGTGTGTTCTTTTAAGTGGATGTCACTTTTTTTTTTAATTGAAAGAATTCACAAGAAAAGCAAGACTTCTGATCTCTCTTACAACAGTAGGATAGCTGGCCATCTGGGGCCCCTATCTTTCTAAGGCAGTGGTCGGCAAACTCATTAGTCAACAGAGCCAAATAGCAACAGTACAACGATGGAAATTTCTTTTGAGAGCCACATGTTTTAAATGTAAACTATCTAGCTAGGTACATCGTTATTAACTTAATTAGGGTACTCCTAAGCTGGCCTTTGCTAAAAACTCAAGGGGCCAAAGAGCCGCCTGTGGCTCGCGAGCCACGGTTTGCTGACCACTGCTCTAAGGAAAGAGTACGGCTAGATCTGGGCAGAGTCTCTGTAGCTGAGACATTTCCACTCTGCCACCCACGGAGTCAGGGGTGGTGTGAAATGGGTTCCAGGAAGGGACTCTCTGTCTCCCAGAAGCAACTCCAAAATAAAAGCATAAACAGTCCCCCTCGGTACCTATCTGTACAAGACGAACGCATCAACCCTTATTAGGCTAAGGAAGGACATGAACATTCATGCACATTACCACTTCATCTTCAGGGATGAAGGAAAGGCCCGCGGGTCCCCCTCGACGCTGAGGATAGCATCCGAGAAGGACATGGCCATGGGGCCCGGAAATCTCCCTTGACTACGGCTCTGGTCGCATCCTCTCCTCAAGGGCCGCCTGGGGGTCCCTCCCTTCGGTCTGTGACTGATAGCAGCCCCTGCAACCTTCTGGAAGGCAACCCGTGATAGCTTCCAACAGGTAACATGCTCTGTGCGCCCACCTCGGATGGCGGTGCTGGCAGTTCATTGTCGGGATAGAGTCCCCGTGGTCGGCAAGCCGCGGCTCTCTAGCCACATGCGGCTCTTTGGCCCCTTGAGTGTGGCTCTTCCACAAAAAACCATGGCCTGGGCGAGTCTACGTTGAAGAAGTGGCATTAGAAGAACTTTACGTTTAAAAAAATGTGGCTCTCCAAAGACATTTCAATCGTTGTACTGTTGACGTTTGGCTCTGTGGACGAATGAGTTTGCCGACCCCTGGGGTAGACCCAAGCAGGCGATGATTCACGGCCCATGTAACAGCCGCTGGGGATTCTCAGCCTGCTGCGTGTCAGGCCGAGGGTGTGCGTTTTCCATCGGTGATCTTATGACACCTTCGCTGTCACTGACCTGTGTTCCGGAGGAGGACGCTGGAGCACAGAAGGGCTGGGAGCTCGCCCAAGGCCCCACAGGGGGTGCGGAAGCCAGGCTTCGGCAATGCCACCTGCCCTCCCTGGGCCCCACTGGCAGCCTCTCCTGGTGCTCTTCTCCTGCAGAAGCTCGCAGGAGAAGCTGTTTGCAGCCTTGCATGTGATAATTATTCTCTAAAAGCGATAAGTATGAACAAAACCCAGAAACAATCACCTGGGGAGGAGGAACCAGAGATGATGGCTTGGCCACTTAAGAAAATGTCTTAGAAACTGTAAGTTGATCTGTAGCACAATAGCCAAAGACAAAAACAACTGTGGTCTAAAAGGGCAGGGGACTCTCACGCATTCTGCAACATGGGTGAACTTAGAAGACGTTACACTAGGTGCAATAAGCCTACACACCAGGACAAATACTGTGCCCCTATAAAAGGGGGCCAAAAAGAATCAAATTCACAGAGATAGAAAGTGGGTGCAGCCCTGGCCAGTTTGGCTCCATGGATAGAGCGACAGCTGCAGACTCAAAGGTCCCAGGTTCGATTCCGGTACGATTGAAACTTTGTGGCCCATGTGCAGAAGTTGGTTTCTGGCTCTCAAAAGAAATTTCAATCGTTGTACTGTTGATAGTTGGCTCTGTTGACTAATGAGTTTGCCAACCACTATGCTAGAATATGGTCCCATGATCTAGGTCCTTGCCATGAAGACTTGAGTGTGGTCTAACTGGTTTGGCTCAGTGGATAGAGCATCGGTCTGTGGACTGAAGGGTCCCAGGTTCGATTCCAGTCAAGGGCATGTACCTTGGTTGCAGGCACATCCCCAGTAGGGGGTGTGCAGGAAGCAGTTGAATCGATATTTCCCTCCCATAGATATTTCTAACTCTCTATCCCTCTCCCTTCCTCTCTGTAAAAAAAATCAATTAAAATATTTAAAATAATAATAATAATAAATATACGTAACAATAGCAACTCTCTACAGAGCTCTTGCTGATCGGGCAGCACCTGCTGAGCATGTTACGTCTGTGAAATAGGAAGGATGACGGGCATGCAGGGCCGTCATGAAGTCTCACTGAACCCAATGAATGGGCAGTGGCAGGCAATGAGTCAGTATGAGCTTCCCTCCCACCCGGCTTCACTCAGGCCACCTTTTGGCCTTGAACCTGGAGTTCGTTGACCTTTGTGGAATGTAACCTTGAGAAAGTGGCTTAACTCCCTGCAGTTTTAAACCAGGATCTGCTCACAGTCCTCCTCTGGCAAACACACAAGAAGCCAGGGCAGCGGTATTTATGAACGCATTATTTATTGACGAACACTTGTTTTAAGGCAGACGTAACAGGGACCTTGGACATTAAATTAGACTCAGAAAGCTGGGCCACATTTTGAATGGGTCGGGTTTCTAAAAGTATGTATCGAATGCACCTGCCAACAAGACTTCCCAAGAGAGAAAAAAGAAATATGAAAGAAAATAGCAGTGACATATGTTAAATATATGAGGACTTCCAAGCAGGCTGGCTCATAACTCCCTGGCATTTGTGGGGTATAGATAGCATACAATTCACCAAAATAGTTGGGAACATTTATTTTACATAATTTTGCCGTTTAAAGGAGAGAAGGGCTTGAGGAACTAGCTGTCAACAGTGAAGATCTTATTTGTGCCGACATGAAACTCATTCACCTCGGACCTTCAGTTAGGGTCTGAGACATGATTATTAAGGTATTTTAGACAAGGAAGAGTGCTGTTGTTGTTGTTATTTTTCTCTTTCCATCTGAGTTTCTGGACTTCTATCCTCAGAGATCATGAAGCTACCAGACTAAAAGCTACCAGACTACTGCTCTACAGCAAGCAGTTCTCAACCTGTAGAGCCTAAAACCATCAGAAAACACAGATATTTACATTGCAATTCATAACAGAAGCAAAATTATAGTTATGAAGTAGCAACAAAAATAACTTTATGGCTGGGGGGCACCACCACACGAGGAACTGTATTAAAGGGTAGTGGCATTAGGAAGGTTGAGAACCACTGTCTTAGAGTGAAGTTAGCTACCAAGTGTTGGAAGTAATAAGGTCTGAGTGGCTTTGAACTTGAGGTTGTAAAAGGCTTCGGTGGGTTAACCTTGAGGCTCCCTGTGCTCCCTACTTTTTGCCTGAAGTGGGTGACGTTGGACCATTTCTCCCTGGTCAGTGCTACCAAGGGACTCCTTTTTCAAATTTCACATAGTTTATTTATAAATTATATTTATAATATGTATTATATTATAAAAGTTGTTTCACATACTAACGACATGATTTATGTTTAAAGTGTTTTTTTTTCTGTTCAAATCCTCATCTGAGGATAATTTTCAATTGGTTTTTAGAGAAAGTGGAAGAGAGAGGGAAAGAGAGAGAAACATCGATGTCAGAGAAGCACATCCGTTGGTTGCCTCCCCACATGAGCCCTAAACAGGGCCCAAGCCAGGGAGGAGCCTGCAACCAAGGTACATGTCCTTGACCAGAATCGAACCTGGGACCCTTCAGTCAGCAGGCTGATGCTCTATCCACTGAGCCAAACTGGCTAGGGCTATGTTTAAATTTAAATAGCCACATGGAGCTAGTGATTACTGTGTTATATATTGCAGCTCTCAGTTAGAAGCTTCTCTTATTTAGTTATAGAGTCTCTTGTATCAAGGATGGCGCCCAAGTAAATTGAATAAAGGAATCAACCAATCCATCCATCCATCCATCCATCAATGTAGTCTGCAAAACTTGCTTTCAAGAAATCATTCTAGAAAGGAGAGACTCAGAAAAGTCTAACTTGCACAAGGTCACACAATAAGGCAGAACTAGATTAAAAAAAAAAAATTAAAAAATCTCAGCCTCTGGAGTGTCCTGGAACATAGTCTTGAGCCTGAGTGAACTGCAGGTGAAAAGCACAGGTTGTTTGTGGTCTCAGATGGACCGTCCTGGAGCTATGTGAAAGGAGCTCCAAGTACAGGGAAGGCCTGTTCTCTTAGGCACCCTCATTCCCTCTCCCCATCCCCGTCAACTACTTAGTGGCTTATTATCCATCAACACTTGGCCTCCTGTGCGATAGAGCCTGTTCCAAACACCACTCCTGCCAACCCTCTAGAAGGCACTCTGATTTCTTAAACCGTGTTGCTCTCAGGAGCTCTGCTACCTGCAATCTGTGGCTGACATACACAGGGTGTGGCTTAAGTCCATCTCAGGCGTGATTTGTATCCCGCTCAGATTCACGTGGCCGTTCTTTATTTGTTTTCAATAAACCGAGGTCAACACATTTCAGGGCTAATTTTGACTCCATTCAAATGTCATTTGGGATTTTCCGAGGACAATCTTTGCAAGTCCAATGTAAGAAGTCTATACTGCTTTTATCAATGATTTTCCAGATGTAATAATAATAGTTAATGTGGGTTAAATGTTTGGTGTCCGTCAGGTATGTAGCTTCACAATAACCCCAAGAACCAAGTATGGTTGTGACCCCCATTTTATGGCCAGGGAAACTCAGAATCAGAAAGGTGAAGTCACTTGCTCAAAGTCACATAACCAGGAAGTGGCAAAGTCAGGATTGGAACCCAAGACCGTTACTTAATAGCCAATGCTCTTAATCAGTACACAATTTGGTCTCATATATATATTAGATATTATATATATATATATATATATATATATATATATATATATATATATATATTAGGTATTATCTATGTATATATACACACATATATATGCATAAAATATCAGAAAAAATAGTCAAGAAACATAAAACTAGGGTTTGGGAAGAGAGAGACTTTTAATTCTTGTGCTTCTTTTTGAACCTGCCCTATATATAGATTATATAATGCTTTATCTTATACATTATCATAAAATGAATTATTTTTTAGATTTAAAGAAGTAAAAACTTCCCATTATTTTACCTTTTTTCATTAAGAAAGGACTCGTCACAATAGTGCCCTGCTTGCATACCAGTAAATTAAATATACATGAATCTTTAAGTAACTTGCAAGGTTCACATGCTCTGACATTATTGGAAAATTTACCTCAGTAAAACAGCAGCTCTGATACAAATCGTAGTTATTGTGAGGATCCAATTTCATATGTCAGCCTCTAAATTATTTTTTTCACTTTGGGGTAACAGGTTGGCTTTGAACAGGATACTTATTTTCAATGGGAGCGGTGTGCTTCCCGTGACAGATTTGCACTCAGAGAGGTTCGTTGTTATGTGTTCAGGCATTGACCTTTCGCTGTGATAACTGAGCATCCTTCAGCATTTGTGAAAGAATGCTGAGTTACATAAGCTCTGCTATTTGTGGATCAATTAATGAAAGCCTAAAAGTAACCTTCCAATTAATTAAACACTGGGAATGAAAACGAACGTTATGCTGGTTGAGAAATAAATATTGCAATATCCTTCAGGACTCGGAGTCTCGGAGAGCTGTGTCAGTCACACTAAAAGTCACTTGGGAGAATTCCTCAGTGGCTTAGCAAGAGGAAAAAAAAAATGTCCAAGTCAAGAAAATACACACACACACACACACACACACACACCAACACTATTGTATCCTCCCCAACAACTCCGAATGGTGTCTACTGCTCCCCTCCAAATGGCTGGTGCTTCTAAAAATTAAAACAACAGTCCCCCTTTCGTGTCCTTTTTAATGCCCATCTCATACTCTTGGGATTTGCTTAAGAAATCACCGCCGGCTTGTGGTAGGAGACAGCCCCCCTGCCAGGCCCCTGTCCTTTCCTTTGCTTGGCTGTATTTCCTCAAAGGTCTCACAACAAATTGGGTATCGCTTTAACAGTGCCCATCCGCTGAGCCGTGTGTGGCTGATGTCCCCGAGGAGAGCTGTTGACAGCGAGCCTCACTCGAGCGGTGACAAAAACACCTTCCATTCAGAAGAAGGAGAGAGGTTTCAGCCAGGGTGCAAAGCCCTCTCATTCACACACTTCGTCCACAGCCCAGCTCGGCCCCGGCCTCCCCTCTCGGAAGGCACCTTCGCTTTTCAGACACCAGTTCCCAACATCGGTCATCACCCCCTTTCCAGCTTCCAGGAGACCTTGCAGGAAAATTAGGAATGTCACAGCCCAGGAGAAGGGCTGGAAACACCCCCCCCCCCCCATGTCATTGCATGGGCTCCTGCATTCAGTCCACATTTCACAAACAGCAGCGAGTGCTTTCTTAAAACCCAGACCTCAAACATCCCTTTTAAGGGCTGAGAGCAATGAAGAGGGGAAGCAGAACACCTTGTAGATTCCCCCCCTACGATTCTGACGGATCTGGGGGGGGGGGGGGATTAAAAAATCGAACTGAGTCAGATACAGAGGCTGGGCTCCTGGGGGTAGTAGGAAAAATGGCTTTTCTCCTCCAGGCCTAATGCTCTCCATCGGAAGCAGTTCCCTTTTACAGTCCAGAAGCCACGCAGCGATGCCCCCCTGCAGGGTTTTCATATTTGCAAGGAAAGCCGGCCTGCCTCTCACTCGCCTTCCTCCCTCCCCTTCCCTTCCTGCCCTGCTACTCACGGCAGCTGCCTGAGCTGGTATAAGTCCTCCTCCATGTCCGCGCTGCGCCAGGACGAGCCCTTCTCATGGCCCTTACATGGTGGTGGCGGCGGAGGACGGGCGGCCGGGTTTCAGCACCGGGGCGCCGGACAGCGCCCACGCCGCGCCCTCGCTCCCTCCCGCCGGCCCGGCGGCAGCTGTGTCGGGGGAGGCAGCCCAGCCGCCGGGACCGACCTGCCCACAGACAAAGCCTCCGCCGCCGCCGGGAGACCGCGGCGAGAGTGGGCGGAGAGGAGCGGGCGGAGGGCAGAGCAAGCTGTGCGGGGAGAGGGGGCGGGGAGAGAAGGATTGACTGGCTCTCCGTGGCTGGCTGGTGGGGTTTTACCCGCCTGGGCCATGGCTGTCCAGGTACCCGGGAGCCCTCTTTTATAAAATGTGTATCTGTAGGGAGTCATGAACGTTACTTACAGGTAGACTATTCTGCAAGCGCAGGCTGCTATCACAAATGCAGAATAGAAGGGGACATTTCCCCCCCCCCCCCATTTGTTCATGCATGAAAGAACGGTTTATTGAGCACCTACTAGAATAGGCACTGGGCATCGGGGAGAGAGCGAGTTAGACATGCCATGGTCATCACGGAGTTGAAGGTCTAGTGAGATGAATTAAAAAAAAAAAAAAAAGTAAGGCACGTGTGAGATCGCTCATTCATTTACCCAACAAGCATTGTTACCTGATTTCTACTGTCCTGAGTATATGGCATGCGAATGATGCCTCAATAAAGCTTCCTTTAAAAAAAAATATATGTCTTATTGACTTTTTTTTTTTTTTTTTTCCAGAAAGGAAGGAAGAGGGATAGAGAGCTAGAAACATCAATCAGCTGCCTCCTGCACACCCCCTACTGGGGATGTGCCCACAACCAAGGTACACGCTTTTGACCAGAATCAAAACTGGGACCTTTCAGTCTGCAGGCTGATGTTCTATCCACTGAGCCAAACCGGTTTCGGCAAAACTGTCCTTTTTATTAAAAAAGTAGTACCTTTTAAATTTCTTTCCAATTTTTCCAACATTGAAACAGAGATATTTTTATTTCTTTATTGATTAAAGTACAATATTACATATGTGTCCTTATTCCCCCATTACTCCCACCTCCCATTCATGCCCCTGACCCCCTGTTGTCTGTGTCCATTGGTTAGGCTCATATGCATGCATATAAGTCCTTTGGTTGATCTCTCTCCCTTCCCCCCACCCTTCCCTACCTTCCCTGAGGTTTGACATTCTGATTGATGTTTCTCTTAAACAGAGAGGTTTTTAATGTAATAGGATTATGAGCTTCTTGGGTAAGGAGGTGGGGGGGACAGCATTTCACTCCTGAGTCTTCCTTTCTCTCTGGCCACTAGCAACCTGGTTCCCAAAACAGTCTGCTCCATCCTGTCCACACTGAGGCCAGGCCAGAGCAACCTTTGCACGTTTATATTTCTGCCTCTGCTCTTTGGGGACTCCTACGGTCCACCCCTGAACACTTTGTACATAACAGGCATTGAAAAAGAGAAGTCTTAGAGAAGTAAATTACTATGTAATGTGTTGATTCACTTACAAAATACCATGTTTTCTTGTTTTTCTTAGAAGCGTGGTTGTGTTTTTCTAAAGCACATGTGTCAAACACAAGGCCCGCGGGCCAAATCCGTCCCGCCAGGCCTTGCAATGTGGCCCGCACCGCGCTGTCATCACTGCACTCCGCTGCGTTTCCATCACAATGACAGTTTATGACTGTTCAGTAAACCATTCGGCCCGCGATTTAGGCTGGATTTTAGATTTTGGCCCCTTCTCTGATTGAGTTCGACACCCCTATCTAAAGCAATGGTTTCTTACTTTGAGCTTCCCCCAACGGGCTTGTTAACACACAGGTCGCTGAGCCCCATTCGGAGTTTCTGACTCAGCAGATCTGGGCAGAGGCCTGCATTAGCATTTGTCCCAGGGTCCCAGGTGCTGCTGCTGCTGCTGCTGCTGCTGCTGAGAATTGAGGGTCCCTGCTCTAAAGTTACATCTGGATGACATTATCAGCCAAGAAAAACACGGCTCACATTTTTACACCTCTGATCTCTGAGACATCCTTGGGCAGAGAGGCGTATTATAAAGGCAGTTGCCTCCAGCTAACCACGTTATCCATCTGTCTGGGAAATGAGGGCCTGCCAAAAGCCAGATGGGCTTTATTTCACGGCCGTATAAAGCACCATGATTTCCCCCTCAGATTCTTTTTTTATAAAGTGAACATCTTAAAATAGAGGCTGACGCCCCAGCCAGGTTGTCCCGTTGTTTGGAGCATCATCCTGTTCACCAAAAATGTGGGTTCGATTCCTGGTGAGGGCACATACCTCGGTTGCGGTTTGATCCCCTGTTGGGCATTTACAGGAGGCAACAAGTGTCTCTCTCTCTTTGTCTTTCTCTCTCGCTCTCCCTCTTGCCTCCCTCCCTTCAATAAAAAACCTATCCTCGTCCCTCACCAGTTTGGCTCAGTGGATAGAGCGTCAGCCTGCGGACTGAACGGTCCCAGTTTCTATTCTGGTCAAGGGCACATACCAGGGTTGTGGGCTCGGTCCTCAGTGGGGGGCGTGCAGGAGGCAGCCGGTCAGTGATTCTCATCACTAATGTTTCTATCTCTTCCTCTCCTTTCCTCTCTCTGAAATCAATAAAAATATATATTTTTTAAAACATATACTCAGAGGAATATTTTAAAATTTTTAAATGGAGGCTGAAATAGGGCCTGACAAGCTGCCCCTTAGTCTGAAATACTGAATGTAAAAGGCATGTGCTATGTACAAGCGTTTCTCCAGCCAACTGAATTTTAATCCCTACTTTGTATCAAGACAATATTCTATTATAGTAGTTATAAAAATGGTACCTCATTTTAAAGGTAAGCCCATGGATTTAAACTCATAAAAAAGATTTATCCTTTTTTTTTTTTTTTTTTTTTTTTTTTTTTTGAGAACTGACATTGGATAAAAGACCAAAAGGGGAAACTCAGACTTTGGTGGTAGATCTCTGCTCTGCCAACCGTGCTGGTGGGTCACTGCCACCCGGAGTCCCTTCCAGGTCCCTGGGATTGTGCTGGGAAGTGTAAGTACCGCCTGACTTACCGAGGAGCCGGCAGAAAGGGGAGGCTTGGTTAGGAGGTTAAGCCTTTGTTTGGAAATGCCAGGCATCCCGGCCCGGTGGGTCAGCTGGTTGGAGCATCCTGCACCAACACTGCTGACACCAGACTTGTGTGCGGTTTTACCCCCACACAAGCAACTCTCTGGGACACCAGCTGGGTGTCCTACAATTTAAATATATTTATATATATATATATATATATACACACACACACACACACACACACACATATATATATATATATATATATTATTGTCCTACAATTTAAATACACACACACACACACACACACACTGAGTGGCCAGATTATTATGATCTCTGAACACATAATAATCTGGCCACTCAGTGTATATCCTATATATTAATAATAAAAGGCTAATATGCAAATTGTCCCCTTGACCAGGAGTTAAACCAGCAGGCAGGCCGGCCAACCACCCATGTCCCCTCCCCCTGGCCAGGCTGGCCAGACCCCCACCTATGCATGAATTCATGCACTGGACCTTTAATATATATATATATATATATTTTTTTTTGAATGGCCAGATTATTATGTGTTCAGAGATCATAATAATCTGGTCACTCAGTGTATATATTTTATTGATTTCAGAGAGGAAGGGAGAGAGGGAAAAATAGAAACATCAATGATGAGTCATCGACCAGCTGCCTCCTGCATGCCCCCTGCTGGGGATCAAGCCCATACCCCAGGCATGTGCCATAACCAGGAATTGAACCGTGATCTCTCGGGTCATAGGTTGACACTCAACCACTGAGCCACACTGGCCAGGCTTGATATTCTACAATTTAAGTCAGTTCTGATACTATCTGCCTGGAGATAATGTCATATCCAATCGGTCAAGGGTTCAGTTTCACAAGACAGCTCCCACCCCACCTAAGATGCCAACGTCCAGTCGTAGGTCCTCAGGTCACACACAACTTCTGTCTGATTTGGCTACAAATTGGAGGGTCCCATGATTTTCTCCTCACGTTTGATTAATTTGCTAGAGTTGTTCAGGGGAATTTCCCTAAAACTCAGGGAAATACTTAGGGAAACACTAGAGGGAAGCGTCTGTATCCTTTGTCATATCCTTTAATTAACTTAATGTAATTTACCAGTTAATTACATGTGCCAGTTAATTAAAGGACACGATAAAGGACACAGATGAACAGCCAGGTAAAGAGATACATAGGGTGAGATCGGGGAGGGTCCTGAGTGTGCAGGAGCCTCTGCCCCCAAGGAGTTGGGGTGCCCCCCTCCTGATGTAGATGTCTTTGCTAACCTGGGAGCTCTCCATATGCCTATCATGGGGATTTCTACCTATCTGGAGGAAAATATAGAACAATGATAATTTTCTTTAATATTAAAAAGATTCCCAGCCGGTGTGGCTCAGTGGTTGTGCTTCGACCCATGGACCAGGAGGGTCACCAGTTGCATTCCGGGTCAGGGCACATGCCTGGGTTGTAGGCTCGATCCCCAGTGTGGGGCATGCAGGAGACAGCCTATCGATGATTATCTCTTATCATTGATGTTTCTATCTCCCTTTCTCTCTCCCTTCCTCTTTGAAATCAATAAAAATATATTAAAACATATTAAAAAGATAATTGGATTCTAGATCTTTCTTGTGACTTTGGGTCACACCTCGATCACGATTTCTGAGCTCTTCCTTCTGACACACAGGGCAGCCAGAAGAGGGAGTGAAGAAGGAATACAGAGCTATCTTTCTCTCTCCTTAGGACACTCACTCCCCTGGGGCCAGGGAGAAGACTTCTGAATCAGATTTGAGTTTTAAATTTAAAAAAAATAAAGAGAACACTAATATATCTGTGGAAAGGAGATGAGGCGTCTCTAAACATAGATATAAAAATTGCGTTACAGGGGCCCTACTCCATGGTGTGAAAGGGAGAGGTCCAACTTAGTACACAGGGGGGGCAGCTGGGGAAATGCTGCTTTTGGTGTTTAACCCTCAGGAGCTGAGGGTCCTGAATAAACCATTTAACTGTGGAATCATCCCAGCACCTGCAAGAGCTCTAAGACTCTAAATCGTGTCTGTGTGCTCGCCCTCCGTGCTGCAAACCCTTGATCTACAGGATAAATGTGAAAGCAGGCCCTGCTGGTTCCTGGCTGTGGTATTATTGCCATCGTTAGTAATATATTCTCAATAATAAGAACATCTGTTAGTCAAGGACAGTCATATATCCCTACTGGTTAGAGGAGCAGTGAGGGCCAGGCTGGAGGAGATAGTCACGTCATGAGCGTGAAGTACTGTTATTACTCATGTGGCTGCTGTGAGAATTAAATTGAGATAAGGCATGCAAAGTGCTCAGAAAAACTTGTGAGTTGATTAGCTGTGGATACTCTATGTTATTTAAACTAGTCTGCAATGTAGAGTTCTAAGTAGATCTGTGGATGGGATGGCACGGTATTCACTCAAGAGGCTAAAGTAGAGGGTCTCTCCTGGTGGTATGAGTCAGAGGTTGAGCATCGACCCAGGAAATAAGAGGTAACCAGTTTGACTCCTGGTCAGTGCACAAGTCTGGGTTTCGGGTTAATCCCTAGTGGGGGGCATGCAGGAGGCAGCCGGTCAATTAAATTTCTCTCTCATCGTTTCCATAGCTCTATTCCTCTCCCTTCCTCTCTCTCTAAAAATCAACTTTTCAAAACCATTTAAAGTAGAGGTTCTGCAAGAATATTTGCAGAGCCCTTCCTTGGAACTCTCTTCAGGTGGTTATTGAAGTAAAAACTATTTTCATGATAACAGATATTATTTGCCTTTCCCACTCCCATTCACTCATGGTTGTACCCTGGAATTTTCCAGAAGCTACACAAAATTCGATGAGGTCATGGCTCTGATGTCTAATGGAATGTATGCTTTGGTATTCTTGGGCTTAAATTTTTTTTCTCAGTCTTGTTAAGTGGTTTTCCAGGGACTCGGGATGGGTGGAGGAGTTGACTATAATGGGACAGGGGATAATTTGGTGTGGTGTTAGTTACATGACTACATTTGCCCAAAATTCATAGAACTATACACGAAAACTAGGTGACTTTTACTATAGAGTGTACTTCACTTAAAAAAAAAAAAAACACAATAGTTATTTCTTCATTTTAATTTCTAATACTATATAGATATAACCCACATTAACAAAAGCTTTGATAATTTAAAAGATTAAAAACTTAGAGAATCACTGAGCCTAAAGCATTGATTTCTTTACTAAAACAGTTGCCAGTTGTTAGATTTGCAGTTGGGGAAAATGATTCTCTCTGGCTCAAATGCCTTATAAGCCAGGGCAAATTCTCTCTGGCTCAAATGCTTTATAAGTTGCGCTGTCCAATATGGTAGCCACCGGACATGTGTGGCTATCGAGTGGCTGGTCCAAATTGAAATGTACTTCACACACACACAAAATGTAAAATATCTGTAACAATTTTTACATAGAATTGGCATTAGTTTGGTCATATTGGGCCAAGTAAAAAAAATTGTTCATGGTGTTTTTTTTTTCTATTTTTGCTTATTTTATTTGAAAACCGCTATACTTGACGGCCGATCTTGTTTCCATCAATTACAAGCTGTGTCAAAAGACATTACTTCTCTCAAGCTCTTGGGTTTCCTGGGATGTAAAATGCAGATCATGTTCAGGTTGGTGTGAAGGCGGCATGTGAGTGAAATATGCATGTGACATATTTAGCAATACACCTAAGCAAAAAGCAAATTTGGAGGCTATTATTAAAGCCTCGGTTTCTCTATTGATGCCGTCAGAGATGGGCCACATGATCATTCAACAAGGCCCTTCCTCTGCGACTTTAGCAATTCTAAGCACCATAATAACAGGCTGCCCGAGGCCATACTCCGCTTTCGGGAGGGGCCGTCCTCTGCACACCAAAAAAAATAAAAATGACACGGCCTCCCTCCTGGAACAGGGGCATTGGTGTTTATGAACGGAGCCCTGGCAAAACCTGAAAACAAAGCGTGCTCCGGCTGCACGGCTCCTTTAATAACCGACGCCAGGGCCCATTGCCTCCAGGAGGAGGGAGAAAAAAAATAAAAACAGGATGTGGTCCGTCGGCTTTTCCCCTCCGGGTGCGGCTGTTTCCGGTCCTCTCGGGAGCCGGTCCTTCGGTATCCCTTCCCCTGAGGAGCTGGGACTTGCACCGCGGGTTCCGCCGCCACAGGAGCCCTGGGAGACTTCTGTCCGTCAGCGGCGGGGGCGACGGGGGCACCGGGGGCACCGGGCGGCGGCGGGCCTTCCGCGCGGCCGCGATGCTGAGCTCCCGGGCCCGGGAGGCGGTGAGCGCGGCTGACAGGGCCATCCAGCGCTTCCTGCGGACCGGGGCGGCCGTCAGGTGAGCGTGGGGGGGGGGCGGGCCGGGGCGGCCGGGTCCAGAGTCCCCCGCTCGGGCCTCTGGCGGCCTTTGCACGTCCCAGTCAGGGTCCCCGGGTCCGGAGCGAGCATTCTAGAGGCTTCTGCGTCCTGCGGGGTGGGCGGCCCAGGCCCCGAGGCGGGAGGGGGGCGACGGGCCTCCGGGGCCAATGCTGTCTGCACCCCCCAGTTCCGCTGGCGCCCCCAGATTTCATTGGCGACGCCAATGCTGTCTGCGCCCCCTCCCCGGATGCCCCTGCCTCCTCCAGGCCTGTCATGGGCCCCAGAACTTCTGGAAACCCGCGGGGTTGTCAAGGCTTCAGATCTCTCAATGCCCCTCGTCCTCTCAGGCCCCCCAGGTTCCCTTAATCCTTTCAGGATCTCCCTCTTCCTCTCCCCCCCCCCCCCCCCGCATCCTTATGGGTTCCCAGCCATGTCAGGCCCTGGCCTGCCAGGGTTCCCCAGCCTTGTCAAGCTCTCCTCCAGCCCTGCATGGTTCCAATCCTGCAAAATGCCGGGTGCATTCCAGCGCGACCCCCGCCCCCTCCCCCCCCCCCCCCCCCCCGTTCCTGTCAGTCCCTGTCCCAGGTATGCCCGGATCGCGTCTTCTGTCTGGGTCCCCCGTCTTATTAGTAACTAATTGTCTTGCAAGGGGGGGGGGGGTCCCTACACCAGCCAGGACCCCTTTACCTATTAAAGCTCCCAGTTCTGCTAAGGTCCTGCCAGGTCTCCCACCTCCACCACCAGTATTGCCCCCCCTTTTCAGACCCCCTATTTCCCTCCTCTTGTCCACTCTCCACGGGCTCCGGGCTTCAGAGCTGAGCCCTGCTCCCTCCTCAGTCCTGTCCCTGAATGACCGAGACCTGTTGTTCAGGTCAGCCTCCTGCCTCTGGAACTGGAGCAGGTCTAGAGCTTACAGCCGGCCGGGAGCCATCGCTGGCTCTGCGGTGTCCCTCTTCTGAGATGGGAGACGTGTCTTGGGGGGGCCTTGGCCATGACCCTGCAACCAGCCTGAGCTTTTCACTCACAAAACCAGAGCTTTTCACTCGCAAAGCCCATCCTCTCCTCATGCTGTCATTTTGCAGAGAAATGGCGTTTCCAGTTTTCTTTGTCCATGCCCGGCCTGCCCTCCCTGCCAAGCACACGGTCAAGTTCTCTGTCCCACCCCTTCAGTGTCCCTTGTGGGCTTGATGGTGTGAAGCACGGGGATGGCAGCCTGTCAGGCCGAAGTTCAGAGCCCACGGCCTCGCCCTCTTTGACCAAGTTGGCTACTTCTCTTCGTTTCCTCATTTGTAAAAAAGGAGGCGGTAGCCGAAACCGGTTTGGCTCAGTGGTAGAGCGTCGGTCTGCGGACTGAAAGGTCCCAGATTTGATTCCGGTCAAGGGCATGTACATGGGTTGCAAGCACATCCCTGGTAGGGCAGCTGGTCGATGATTCTCTCTCATCGATGTTTCTAGCTATCTAAAATCAATAAAATATATATTTTTTGCTGAAACCGGTTTGGCTCAATAGATAGAGCGTCGGCCTGCAGACTGAAGTGTCCCAGGTTCAAAGGTTCGATTCCAGTCAAGGGCATGTACCTTGGTTGTGGACACATCCCCAGTAGGGGGTGTACAGGAGGCAGCTAATCAATGATTCTCTTTCATCGATGTTTCTAATTCTCTCTCCCTCTCTCCTTCTCTCTGTAAAAAATCAATAAAAATATTTTTAAAAAATAAATAAATAAAAATAAAATCAATAAAATATATATATATTTTTTTAAAAGGAGGCGGGAATGGGACCCCGTTCCATGGAGTTGTTTTGGGGGTGAGCTAAGATGATCACGGTGCCCAACACAGAGCACGCACTGGGAAATGTTAGTGTTTGAAAAGGGGATTTGGCAGCCGATGTGTAAGCGCTTTACCATTTCAATGCCGGTCCTTTTTCATCTTCCCAGGCCTTTGTGAATACTCTTGTTTTGTAAAAGTCAGCACAGCGGTGCCTTCGGAAACTTTAAAAATAACTTTTCTTCTTTTTAAAAAATATTTTTAAATATTTTAAAAATCAATAAAAATATTGCAATCAATATTTTTATTGATTTTAGAGAAGAAGGAAGAGGGAGTGAGCAATAGAAACATCTATGATGAGAGAGAATCATGGATCGGCTGCCTCCTGCAAGTCCCCAAATGGGAATCGAGCCCGCAACCTGCACGTGTACCCTTGACTGGAATCGAACCTACGACCTTTCAGTTCGCAGGCCGATGCTCTATCCACTGAGCCAAACCAGCTAGGGCAGTGGTTGGGCAAACTCATTCGTCAGCAGAGCCAAATATCAACAGTACAATGATTGAAATTTCTTTGGAGAGCCACATTTTTTAAACTTAAACTTCTTCTAATGCTACTTCTTCAAAATAGACTTTCCCAGGCCGTGGTATTTTGTGGAAAAGCCACACTCAAGGGGCCAAAGAGCTGCATGTGGCCCGAGAGCCGAGGTTTGCCGGATACTGATCTAGGCACTCGGGATCTGTCAGTGACTAAATAGACAAAGGTCCCTGCCCTCAGGGATGTAGCGTTCCATCTCAGAGAGACGGGCAGTAAACATAGTGAAGAAGTGAATGTTATGTTAGAAGGTGACAAGCAAAAGTCAGCCTGGGCGAAAGGAGCCAGGAGTGCAGCTTCTGATAGTCAGATGTGGAGGGGAAGTGAAGGAGTGAGCCACGCAGGGGTCTGGGGGAGGAGCTTAGAGAGAGGGGGCAGCAGTGCAAAGGCCCTGAGGCGGGGTGATGGGCAGTGTGCGGGGAGTGAGGGCAGAGGAGGGAAAACCTGGCTTCTCCTCTCAGTGAGATGAGGCTTTTGTGGTCTGACTCAGGTTTTAAATCCTAAAGTCTAAATCTGCTGATTTTCAAGACATAATCCTATGCTATATGTTACTTTATTTATTTTTTTAATATATTGATTTTTTACAGAGAGGAAGGATAGAGGGATAAAGAGTTAGAAACATCGATGACAGAGAGACATCAATCAGCTGCCTCTTGTACACCCCCTACAGGGGATGTGCCCGCAACCAAGGTACATGCCCTTGACCGGAATTGAACCTGGGACCCTTGAGTCAGCAGGCCGATGCTCTATCCACTGAGCTAAACCGGTTTTGGCGCTGTGTTACTTTAGTTTGAAAGTTAGGTATTTGGTGGGCCAGTGGGTGGTTATTATTATTATTATTACTATTATTTTAATATTGATTTCAGAGAGAAAGGGAGGGGGGAGAGAGAGAAAGAGACAGAAGCATCAATGATGAGAAAGAATCATAGATCAGCTGCCTCTTGAACGCCCCCTACTGGAGATGGATCGTGCAGCCCAGACTGAGAATCCACCCATGACCTCCTGGTTCATAGGTGGATGCTCAACCACTGAGCCACACGGGCCAGGAGCCAGTGGATTATGTTGAGGGAATGTCATTTCTTCATATGTCTGTATACACCCAGAATGTGTTTGTGATGAGGGCAGACAGTAAACCGGTTTTCTTTCTCAGGTATAAAGTCATGAAGAACTGGGGTGTCATAGGTGGACTGGCCGCTGCTCTTGCAGCAGGAATATATGTGATTTGGGGTCCCATTACAGAAAGAAAGAAGCGCAGGAAAGGTAAGACTTAGACCTGGCAGCATGGTCTATAGACTTGACCCAAACCCTTATGACCCCAAACAGTACAAAAAGGGAGACCATTTTGGTTCTCTTGTATCTTCAGTTTTTGAACAGTACTTGTTGTTGTTGTTGTTGTTGTTGTTGTTGTTGTTGTTCTTCTTCTTCTTCTTCTTCTTCTTCTTCTTTTCAATATATTTTATTGATTTTTTTACAGAGAGGAAAAGAGAGGGATAGAGAGTTAGAAACATCGACGAGAGAGAATTATTGATTGGCTGCCTCTTGCACACCCCTGCAACCAAGGTACAATACATGCCCTTGATCGGAATCGAACCCGGGACCTTTCAGTCTGCAGGCTGACGCTCTATCCACGGAGCCAAACCGGTTTCGGCTAGTACTTTCTTTTAAACAGAAGTTTGTTTGGGTTTTTTTTGTGTGTGTGTGTTTTGTTTTGTTTTTTTTTGCATCATACTAGTGATGACATTAGGATAATGTTGGTAGTTGTCAGAGAGAGTCCCTAGTATCATCAGTAGCTGAGATCAAAATAGTATTTACCTGCTCCAGATTTTATGCCCTGCAGTAAAAGTGGCTGCATTGCCTAGTGTCCTCATTAATATGGCAATTATGTGTTTTAGTAGCAGAACTGACTAATTATGTACCGCATGTGGGGCTTCGCTGACTAGCTGGTAGTCACTAGTAAATGTTTCAAGTTTCTTCATTCACACAAACGTCTATCTCCTTCTTTGTGAAAATATGCCCTTTTGTAAATGCAGCTCTCCTTCTGTTGGTTAAAAGTCAGCTTTGAGGGGGGCGAATAGATGTAGCAAAATGCTGATCTTGGTTAAATCTGAGGATGGTTACTCAGATTCATTATATTTCCTCTCTTCCTTTGTGCTTGTTTGAGAACTTTCATAATAAAAAGGTGTTGTTGTTGTTTTAATATCAGCAGCAGAGGGAAGTGTGCCAGGTTTTGTTGGTCTCTTTGCAGAAAGACTGACCAGAATTGCTGTCGTGTCTTTCCCACTGATTATAAGAACACAATCATTGTCCCAGGAGCGACAACAGAAGAATTGTTTTCCTCTGTGCTGAGAAACATTGCTTTTTTATCAAAGGAGAGAGAGAGGAGGAGGAAGGGCAAGGGAGACGTTACTATAGGGTTTTGTACACTCAGTGTTAACCAAACTGTACTGGACGCTGCGGTGGGTTTCAAAAGTAACACGGACGGACTGGGACCTGTCCGTCTGTCGCTGCAGCCCCCTGAGGGAGCAGGGCTAGGACAGGGCTCGGCCTGGACAGAATGCCTGGCTCCGGATCTCTGTGGCTGAGAACTTTCTCACATTCAGATTTCAAATCCGAGGCCGAGGTGCAGAAACTCTGGGTCACGTGTGGGAGGGAGTAAGAGGGCGGATCCAAGGTGAAGTGCTGGTCTCTCTCCCCCCGCCCTTCCCTCACTTCCAGGGCTGGTGCCTGGCCTCGTCAACCTGGGGAACACCTGCTTCATGAACTCGCTGCTGCAGGGCTTGTCCGCCTGCCCCGCCTTCATCCGGTGGCTGGAAGAGTTCACCACGCAGTACGCCGGGGACCAGAAGGAGCCCCCCCGACACCAGTATTTATCCCTGACACTGCTGCACCTCCTGAAAGGTATCTAGCTGGGAACGGGGGGGGGGGGGGGCTGTGTGCATTTTCTTTTTTTAATATATTTTATTGATTTTTTTCACAGAGAGGAAGGGAGAGGGATAGAGAGTTAGAAACATCAATGAGAGAGAAACATCGATCAGCTGCCTCTTGCACACCCCCTACTGGGGATGTGCCCACAACCAAGGTACATGCCCTTGACAGGAATCGAACCTGGGACCTTGCAGTCCGCAGGCCGAAGCTGTATCCACTGAGCAAACCGGTTTTGGCACACTGTGCATTTTCAAAGCAGCAGCTCGGTTGATAGACAGAGGGTTAGTATTATAGCCTCTGTGTAGGGAAAGATCATACCGGTCATGATGGGAAAAACCACGAAGAGCCCAACAGATACAAACAGCTCCTTTAAAAATCAAATCAAATATATCACCACCTGTTCTAAAAATGATCAGTTTAGTAACAGATTTCTAGGGAAGATGAAAACCCTTTGTTACATAACCGTTTTGATTATCGAATACCCTGGTTTCAAAAACAATGAAGTGTTGTTTTTTTAAGTATGTTAGCCTAGGAAGGAAGGAAAATAACACAAATTGTATTTCGATAGATAAAAAGTGTATCTGACACTCAAATATGCATCTTAACTGACATGAAATAACAGCGAAGTACCCTGGGTTGTTGGTGTCGTTTTTTTGTTTTTGTTTTGCCTGTCAGCAAGGATTGAAAAACAAATCCACGGTCATGACCGGCTGTGGGATGACATGTTCCTGCACACTGCTGAGGAGGGAGGGGACCTTTCAGGAAGCGCTTTGGTTGTCTTGCTGAATGTTCCACAATTAGACTTAGCAGTGCCTTGTCTGGAAGCCTGGCTTAAGGAAACAGTTAGAAATGTAGAATAATGTGGCTCAGTGGACAGAGCGTCGGCCTGCGGACTGAAAGGTCCCGGGTTCGATTCCGGTCAAAGGCACGTACCTTGGTTGCGGGCACATCCCCAGTAGGGGGCGTGCAAGAGGCAGCTGATCGATGACTCTCTCATTGGTGTTTCTAACTCTCTATCCCTCTCTCCTCTTCTCTGTAAAAAATCAATAAAAAATATATTTTTAAAAAAACATTTCTTGTAATACTAGTTTGATTAACTCCTTTTGTTTTTTCTTGTCTGGGAAACCCTTTTTCTCCTTGTATGCTGTATGCTAAATGATAGCCTTGCTGGATAGAGTAATCTTCATCGTAGGTCTTTGCTTTTCATCACTTTGAATATTTCGTGCCACTCTCTTATTGGCCTGCAAGCCCAGTATACTTTTATTTTTATTAGGTTTGATTCTATTTAGGATTAAAAAGTAAACAACTCAGCAGGCTGCTACTTGTAGCTTGATTTCTTTGCAGTGATAATGAGAAACTCACATGCAGACAAGTACAAGTGAAGGCCATGGGAGAGGAATTAAGCACTGAATGTGGGGTTGGACGAGATGAGTGGTTAAGGATCCCCTGAGTTAAAATCATTTTATTCAGTAAGAATCTGCAACAATACATTTATTTATATTGATGATAATTCAAGTAAGTCACTAAAAAGCAATTGCTTTATTTAAATGCTGCAGCCTTATGAAAAGTCACATTCATTCAACAAACACCACGCGCCTCATAGTGTACTAAGGTTACAAGGAAGAATGAAGGAAGAGATATGACTCCAAGGTGAATTTTACAAATTTAAGTTCATTAGCTTTGGTATGTTGTGCGGTGCAGGTTTTCTGGCTAGCTGTTAGGCTGATGAATGTAATGATTACGTGACCATCTCTGTTTCCAGCTCTCTCCTGCCAAGAAGTGACAGATGACGAGGCCTTGGATGCAAGCTGCCTGTTGGACGTCTTAAGGATGTACCGCTGGCAGATCTCTTCTTTCGAAGAGCAGGTGAACACAACATTCAAAACAGCTTTATGTTTAGAGCCTCCTTCCCACCAGTGAGCTCTCCGTCTGGGGAGGGTCTTCATTGAGAAAATGGCCAGGAGGGAACTGTTTTCATTAAAGGAGCTGGGCCCTGAGAAGGTGGACAGCAAACCCTGCCCACGTTAGCCGGAGGGGGCTGCCTGGCGGGCCACACGGGGGTGGTCCTGATGCTGACCCCGGCCTCCTCGGGCCTCTGAAGAACGCTTTGCCCTTTGGCAGGATGCTCATGAGCTATTCCACGTCATCACCTCGTCGTTGGAAGATGAGCGGGACCGCCAGCCCCGGGTCACGCATTTGTTCGACGTGCATTCCCTGGAGGTAAGCCATGAAGGTTTCCAATGCACTGCATGTGGTTCGTGCACGTGTCACAGGTGAAGGGACCATGGGTATAATCTTCGTACAAGTTTAAGCTCACAGTCAGACTCAGGAACCATCGGCAGTGGGGTGGGGCCGGGAGAGGGTCTTTGCAGGCAGTGACCAGGAAGACTTCAAAATAATTCCTGGCTGCAGTTTGTGTTGGCTTGGAAAAGGAGAAAAATCCATGTCCCCCCTTTTTTATACAGGGGGACACAGAGCCCTGGGAATGCTAAGTGAGTCTTCGTGTCCCTGAACCATTATAAAAGTTAACGGGTACCGGGGGGGGGAATATTCCCGAGAGAGGGACTGTGTTCTGATCGCATCTGATGAAGGAATAGGCACAGTGGCCAATCAGAGGGCGTGATCCAGGCTGCAGGCTGCTTCCAGAAATCTTTGGGAAAAGCTGGTTTCGTGGTGCAGTCAGCACAGAAGCTGGTGAGGTTGGCAGTGGGCCGAGGGGGAGAAAAGGGTTGCAGGAGGGTCTCCAGTCTGTTTCTCTTTCCCTTACAGCAGCAGCCGGAAGTCACTCCCACACAGATAACCTGCCGCACAAGAGGTAGTCATTGTCCACTGAACTGCAACACATAAGATGGGTACTTTCTGGATATGACAACCATTTGCTCATTTACATTTTTTTTTTTTTCTGGTGACATCCAGCTTGAACTGTGTGTACTCCCAAAGGATTTTGTGTTTTGGAAACAGCTGTAAATGGTTCCCTCTGTGAACATCTTGAATTATTCCTTCCCATCTTAGCCTGCTCAGTTTCCTCCAACGGACTTATTTCAACTACAAGAGAGGGTTTTATTTTGACCTTCTTTTAAAATATATATATATATATTTTTTTTTTTTTTAATTGACTTCAGAGAGAAAGGGAGAGGGAGAGATAGAAACATCAATGATGAGAGAGAATCATTGATCAGCTGCCTCCTGCACGCCCCCTATGGAGAATAGAGCCTGCAGTCCTGGCTTGTACCCCAACAGGGAATCAAACCATGACCTGCTGGTTCGCAGGTTGAGGCTCAGCCACCGAGCCAGGCTCTTTTTACCTTGCTGAAGTGATCCTGTGAGGAACTCAGTAAGCTGAAACCATGTTCTCAGCATTTCTACCTTGGCCGGCTTACTACAAATGATCACAGTCCTCCTTAGAAGGGAGAGATAGAAAAATCAATGATGAGAGAGAATCATTGATCAGCTGCCTCCTGCAAGTCCCACACAGGATCGAGCCCACAACCTGGGCATGTTCTCTGACCGGGATCAGGATCGAACCTTTGACCTCTGGTTCATAGGTTGATGCTCGACCACTGAGCCACGCTGGTGGGGCAAGGCTTTCACAGTTTGATTCCTGGTCAGGGCACATGCCTGGGTTTTGGGCTTGATTCCCAGTAGGGGGTGTGCAGGAGGCAGCCGATCAGTGATTCTGATCATTGATGTTTCTATCTCTCCCTCTCCCTCCCTCTCTGAAATCAATTAAACATATTTTAAAAAATAATCAAGATAAATAAAAAGGAGGTGGCAGATCCAAAGATGTTTTGTGTTGCAGGGTCACCTCATCCCACATCCAATCACTGGAAATCTCAGCATCCTTTTCATGGGAGACTTACTAGTAACATGGTCTGCAAACACTGTGAGCACCAGGTAAATACGACGCCAGTGCTTTGTATTTTCTCGCGATGTTTTCTTTTAAGTTAAGATTCGTGAAGGGTCAGAAGAAGAATGTGGACTATCGTTGGTATATGCTGTTTGTGATTGCCTGTGGACAGACTGCCCCGCTGCGGTCAGTACTACCCTGTTTCCCCGAAAATAAGACAGTGTCTTCTATTAATTTTTTCTCCCAAAGTTGCGCTAGGTCTTATTTCCAGGAGATGTCTTATCTTTCCACGCGCTAGGTCTTATTTTCGGAGGATGTCTTATTTTCGGGGAAACACAGTAACATGGTCACTGATCTTCAGGAGGCATCTTCTGAGCCAAGAGCCTCAGAACCCCTGTGGGTTGCAAGAATTCAGGTCCTGAGTTTGGGTCTATACTGATGGTGGACACAGCAGTTTCTAGGACTGTTGTTTTGTTTTTTGCTTTTGAGGTTTTAAATTTTTTTTTTTTTTACTTGGAAACTTTCCAAGTAAATACAGAAATAGAGAATTGTACAACTATCACCTCAAACAATTTTAGGATATTTTCATTATCATCCACCCTCCAAAAAACCTGGATCTATTATAGCAGTTACTCCCCATTTCTTTTTCTCTCTCCCCTCCCCTCTGCCTTCTTCTCTCTCTAAAATCAATAATGGGTGAGGATTAAAAAAAGGTCCATAACTTAAAATTCTTATGTCTTAAATATATTTTAATCTATAACTTTCCCATTTATCTTTTACTTTTTATTGCATTTTATTTGTATTTTGATACTTTTGTAAGTGGGATTTTAAAACCTTTTTCTAATATATGGAAATTCAATTGTATATTGACCTTCTATCTTGCGTTCTTGTAAAAACTAATTTATTGATTCCAGAAGTTTTGTTGTAGATTCCTTAGAATACTTTTTAGATTTTGTTGTAATTTCTCTGTTGGCTTTTAGCTGTCCTTTTTAAGTTTGGGGGGGGGGGTTATGATGAAATCATGCAATTTTAAGCATTTAGAGATAATATAATATTGCATAGGAAATTTATAAATATAGTTCTAGTCCGCATCCTTTGTATGTTATTTTTGTCATATATCACAGATCCCATAATACTGACATACTTTTTGCTTTACATAGTTAAATATATTTAAAAGAAAAAACAAAACAAAATAGTTTTACATTTGCTATTTTCAGTTTTCTTCAGCCCTTTCTGTAGACCCAAGAATATTTGATGGTTTTTCCATTCAGCCTAAAAGGATTCCTTCATCATTTCTTGCAGATCTATTGGCAACAATTTTACTTAGATTTAATTTGTATGAAAATGTTTTTCGTTTGCCTTTTTTTTTTTTTTTAAGAATAGTTTTGCTGGGTATAGAATTTGGGGTTGCTGTTGTTTCAGTTTCATTTGGTTTATTTTAAATTCATCCCTTTATAGGCATTGTTGTCTTCTGACATGCATTTTTTTCTAATGCAGAGTCAGCATCAGTCATTTCATCCCTTTGTGTAGAAAGTGTCGCTTTTTCTCTGGCTGTTTACAAGATTTCCGCTTCATTTTGGGGGTTTCAGTAGTTTGCCCATTCAGTGCATAAACACCATTTTCTTTGTATTTGTTTAGAGTTTGCTGCATTTCTTGAATCTGTGTCTTTGTTTTTCACCAAATTTGTACATTGTTTTAGGGAGACCTTCAGACAAAAAGCCACACAATGCAAATCTCACCCACGGAGCTCCTATTTTTCCAAGACATGACTTCTCTTCCATTTCTGCCTGCTTTTGCTAGCTCTCCAGTCATTCCTATAGTTTTGTTTTGTTTGGATACAGATTCTACAATTGTTATCTCAGGGAAGTTCATCTAATCAAGCTACTCTGTCATCACCAAATGCGGGAACTCTTACCCTATTTTAGCATGTTTTTTTTTTCATGTTTGTAATAAAACACACATCTTTCCACATAATCACACATTCTTATACTACTCTATTTTTAATGTAGTATTCCACTCCATGGACATGATTGAATTTATTTAATCATTCTGTAGAAATTTCAGTGATCACATTTTGCCATGATCAATAATGCTCTGATGAGCATCTTTGTAGTTATGTCCATGATTACTTCCTTAAGATAAAACCCCAAAATTTCTGGGTCAGCCATGTCATCTTAGTGTTTCAAAGCTGTTTAGTGTTATTGTATTTTGTGTTTACAAGGTTGTTTTCAGTAGAATTTGCTTCTGGGTAAGTACATTATGTTTCATTATGTTAGTGTTGAACTTCTAAATATTAAACTTCAATAAACATGTATTTTCCCTTCTATAAAGTTTTGAACTGAACTCCAGCCCTTTCTGGGTTTTCTGCAATCTTTGTTTCAGAGTCCTGTTCGATTCGATACCTTTGATAGCCTTTCACTAAGTATTCCAGCTGGCACCTGGGTATGTACTGACCTGTGGTTCCTTTGGGGTCTGCTTCGGGGACATTTGAGTCTGAAAGGGTTTTGGGGCATTTTGTGTAGCTCAGGGGCCATGGGTTCCTCAGATCTGTGATTGGTTGAACCTGTCTTAGTTTTAATGTCTTTAGTACCATGACCCGATTTGTGGGGAGAGGAGGTGGACGGTTTGCAGAAATTTTGACTTTTATTTTAAAAATATACACACATTAATCTCAAGTTCAAAAATATCTAAAACAGCGTGGGAGTCCATCATCATCTGCAGCATTATGTCCTCATACCCTGGACTCCCTCGCGGTAGCCAGTCTAGGGTGCCGTGAGCTCCGTGTTTGTTCAGAAGGCAGCCGGTTGTGTCTGTGATGCTTTTTTTTTGCCGTTCACCATGTCAGTAGCTCCCCTTTGAATTGTGACGAAGCGTCGTCTTCTTGTGCCGTAGGGTCATCCCCTGACCCTGGACCACTGCCTTCACCACTTCATCTCGTCAGAATCAGTGCGGGATGTTGTATGTGACAACTGCACAAAGGTAGGCCTTCAGCCCCGAACGTCGTCTCCCCCGTGGTCTGTGTGCCCCGATAGACGCCTCTCACCCCATTGGCCCCGGGATCCTTCCCGCCACTGCCATTCCCACCTCAGGTTGGGTTCCTGGCAGCTGATGGAGCACGTCTCTCTCCCTGATGAGTTTGGTTTTATCCACCAAATATTGAAAGAAGTTAGATACCATGGTTTGAGATTGGACATGCCCTCTCCGGTTCGCTAGAATCCCCTCCATTCCTACTTGTCTCACACCCGCCTTACCTGTGCCACCTGCCTAACTCCCTAAGCAACTGAATTAAGAGGGACTATGTGGAACAGATTTTTAAAAAAAAAATATATATATATATATATATTTTATTGATTTTTACAGAGAGGAAGGGAGAGGGAAAGAGAGTTAGAAACATCAATGAAAGAGAAACATCAATCAGCTGCCTCCTGCACAACCCCCAATGGGGATGTGCCCACAACCAAGATACATGCCCCCTACCGGATTTGAACCTGGGACCCTTCAGTCCGCAGGCCGGCGCTCCATCCATTGAGCCAAACCGGTTTCGGCTGGAACAGAGTTTTTAAAGACAACAGAATAGGTTAAATGCCAGTCTCAGAGCTTCTTTTTATTTTATTTCTCCTGCCTCCACGGTCGCTGGTACTTAAGAAATAAAACACTGACAACCCACAAGTAGTTGGGCAGCTGAGTTCATTTCAGCAGGTAGTAGTCAAGTGCCAGCTGAATGCAGGTGTAAACACCCACCTGATGGCAGCTCTCCAGAGATGTCCTTTTAAGAATTTCAGCCAATGGACGCGGTTTCTTCTATTCCAGATTGAAGCCAAAGGGACGTTGAACGGGGAGAAGGTGGAGCACCAGAGGACCACTTTCGTTAAGCAGCTAAAACTGGGGAAGGTGAGCCCACGCCGCACACCTTGTTGGCTCTGCTTTCGAGGCCTCTCAGGGCCCCCTCCCCACACTCAGCACTTCTGGTTTCTCCCGCCCGCAGCTCCCTCAGTGTCTGTGCATCCACCTGCAGCGGCTGAGCTGGTCCAGCCACGGCACGCCCCTGAAGCGGCATGAGCACGTGCAGTTCAATGAGTTCCTGATGATGGACATCTACAAGTACCGCCTCCTCGGACATAAGCCCGGCCAGCACAGCCCCAAACTGAAGGAGAAGGCGGGGCCTGCACTGGAACTGCAGGACGGGCCGGCCGCCCCCAAAGCAGGTGTGTGGCCGAGGAGCTGACGCAGCGCAGAGAAAAGGGGTTTGGCATCACTAGCTTCTGGGGCTTTCTGCCTTGAAGGCTTGTCCAGTGGTTGCTGAAATTCTTGAAAACAGCAGGTTTGGGGCTGGAGGGATAAGGTTTCTTAAAAGAAAAAAGTTAAAATTATATAGTAATGAGAGGTATAGTTTTTGTTGCTGTTTTTAATTGATTTCAGAGAGGAAGAGAGAGAGAGAGAGAGAGGAACATCGGAGATGAGAAAGAATCATTGATCAGCTGCCTCCTGCACGCCCTGTATTTAAAAATTAAATACATGAATGAATAAATAAAAACTATCACAGTTGAAAAAAATATAGGAAGAAAAGCTTAAGATTTCTGTCTGGTCTTTTGACTGTAAGCAGTAATTGGTTCACATATCATTCCAGTGAATTTCTTCTTCTTTTTTAATTTTAAATAAATATTGATTTCAGAGAGTCAGAGAGGCAGGGAGAGGGAGAGAGCAATGGAAACATCAATGATGCGAGGGAATCATTGATTGACTGCCTCCTACAGGCCCCACACTGCTGATTGAGCCCACAACCTGGGCAAGTGCCCTGACCGGGAATTAAACCGTGACCTTCTGGTTCATAGGTCGACACTCAACCACTGAGCCATGCGGTCAAGCTTTTCTTTTTTCTAAATGCTTTTCCTGTTGGTGTTAAAACAGGGACAAAAGGCAGGAAGCTTGACAGTAACAAAAAGAAATACTATGTGTATTTTCTTTGTCGGGTAGTTACATTTCAGCATAATAAAAAACCATGTTTTGCTTACCCACACCCGTTGCTAATTGTTAACTGCCTCGGGCCTTTTTCTCTTGCAGGTCTGAATCAGCCAGGGGGCCCCAAAGCCCAAATTTTTATGAATGGTGCCTGCTCCCCGTCTTTGTTGCCCACCCTGCCAGCCCCAATGCCCTTCCCCCTCCCGGTGGTTCCGGACTACAGGTGAGTGGCTCTCCACCGGCAGCCTTCCCCGTTGGGGGCTGCTGGTTTTCTGGGATTTTCCAAAATTAGCTCCTCACGAAGTGAATGAATGACAGTGTGAGGTGGCTGTCCTTCATTGTAAGGTGGAACTTCACTATTATGCATTCCTGTTTATTTTTGTCCGAAATGGAAGTCACTATAAATATAAGAATTATAAAATTTAAATATGTGTTATGTGTATGTGTGCATGCGTTTGTGAGTGCATGTAGGAAAAGCATAAGGCAGAAAATTTTTAATATCTTGGGCCACTACCTAGACCACCAGTTAAGTCCTTAATGTCTTCCACTCTGTAATGTGTGTGAGGGCTCTCATATAATCACTCAGAGAATGGACATCGTGCCAGTAAATATAGGCCTGTATTTTTAAAAATATATTTTATTGATTTTTTTTTTTTTACAGAAAGGAAGAGACAGGGATAGAGAGTCAGAAACATTGATGAGAGAGAAACATCGATCAGCTGCCTCCTGCACACCCCGTACTGGGGATGTGCCCGCAACCAAGGTACATGCCCTTGACCGGAGTCGAACCTGGGACCTTTCAGTCCGCAGGCCGACGCTCTATCCACTGAGCCAAACCGGCTTCGGCATAGGCCTGTATTTTAACGGCTGTGTAGCATCCCCTTGTACGGATGTACCATTGTACCAGCCCCCTCTCGTTGAATATCTAGGATTGGTCTACTTTTTGCTTTTGTAAACCGCTGGCATTTGTTCCCACCGGCCAGCTCCTCCACGTACCTCTTCCGGCTGATGGCAGTCGTCGTCCACCACGGAGACATGCACTCGGGACACTTCGTGACTTACCGGCGGTCGCCCCCTTCGGCCAAGAACCCCCTCTCCACCAGCAACCAGTGGCTGTGGGTCTCCGACGACACTGTCCGCAAGGCCAGCCTGCAGGAGGTCCTGTCCTCCAGCGCCTACCTGCTCTTCTACGAACGCGTGCTCTCCAAGATGCACCAGAGTCGGGAGTACAAGTCCGAGGAGTGACTGTGCCCGGCCCCAGAGCTGGACCTGAGGGCCCTGCCCACGCCGTAGGGAAAAGGACGGAGCCAGGCCGCTCGCGTGCGGTGTGCAGGCAGCCCCCCGAGAGTCCTCCCGCCTCCTTGTGCGTCCTAAGGGCAGGTTCCCCGGGAGCAGGTGGCCCCAGTGCCAGCCGGTCCGCCCTGAGCCGCTCTAGTGTGCACCGGAAGGCATCCTCGTCATGTCAGCAGAGCACTCGTATGTCTAGAGCATCTGTGTGCTCGCCCGATGCAGGTGATTAAAAGAGATCGAACTCCAGAGACATCGTTGTTATATCCTGATAACGCTAGGTGTTCTCAGAGGGGCGTTAACCCTGTCCAATCCTCTGAGGTCTCGGCACAGATCTTTTATCTTTAATAAGCAGGCCCATCCAGAAATGGCCGACTGGAGTGCGTGAAATGATCGAAGGCAACAATGAAGAAGGAAAAGTGCCTTTCACTGCTTCCGGTTGCTTTTGTGGCCTGTCCGTTCTGGAAAACACTCTTTCTCTAAGGGTCGTAGCAACAGTCTTGGGAAAGCTCTCTCCCAGGTTTCCCGGTGGCTGGCTGGAGGACAGGGAAGGGATGCCCACAGAACACCTGCCTTTCCGTTTGTACGTCTTTTTCTAGCCTCCCGCTCCTTCGTATCCAGCGCAAGCGCATCTGCCAAATCTGCCCCTCGGGGACCCCGTTCACGGCCGCGTCGGTGCTAGTGACCGGCTCACTCATTGCTTTTACCTTCAGGATGGGACCGGGCGGGCTGATCATCCCACGTGGACAGCCAGGCCTGAGCGGTGTGGGCTCCCCTGCCGACCCCTCTGCTCTGGAGAAGACACCTTTCTCACCCAGAGGCCCCGTTCGGACCGTTATTCTCTCCTATTTATTTATTGCTGGGGCGGAGCTCGCCAGACTTCCAGGTGGGGCCGGGGGCCGGGTAAGAAGACAGCCCTGCCTGGATGTGAGAGCCTGACCCGGAAGGAAAAGCACTGACCCCGGGGCTGCCGTCTCCACGGACCCGTTTCCTCTTCCTAAAGTGAAGGGTTAGACTCGGTGACCATCCAAGGCCAGGCTTGTCCACAAAGAAAAGAAGTCTAAGTTATTTTTTAAACACAGAACTACAGCTGACAATAACAGTAGTGTCCTTCTGTTAAAGGTCCATGTTTTAAACCATCTGTCCCCAGCAGCCTTACACAGAGACACCACGGGGAGCATGCTCTTCCCTCTTCAGGTAAGTGGCATGAACACAGACCAGGCCGAGGGCATTTTGATGACACAGGAGTATGTTAGCGAGATTTATGTATTTTCAAAGAAGACAAAGGATACCAAATTCGTGTGGACTCTTCAGAGAGAAGACCTGGAATCGGACCTGCCCAATTGGCCGCCTGAGGTAAGTCTAAGAGCCGCCCTTCCTCCGGTGGGGGCAAGCAGGCGGACCCTTCTAGAAGATGCCTCGGTGTCAGCTAAAAGCTCAAGAGGCCACGCTGCCACCAGGCCCAGCTCGCACCTGGAGGACTCAGACACTGGACTCTCGTACCCAATAGCACAGACTGTGAAGGCTCTCAAGGTCCTGGCTGGCGGGGTGAGGGGCAGCTGGAAGCGTCTGGTCGAGCCACTCACTGCTGCTCCCCCTCACCCCCCCACCCCCCACCCCAATTCCGTGGCAGAGCCTGGCTTTGATGTTGAAACGAGCGTGCATACCCGTGTTACCCGAGGCTGGTGGGACAAACACCCCATCGTGTGACCTTAGACCGCACTGCACACCTGTCGCTTTGAGTAGCTACTGCTCCTCTCTGAAGTCTCTGCCGTTACAGAGAGATGCCGGGCACGGAAGGGCTCATCCTTTGAACGCGTCCTAAGCAGATTGTTGGTCAGAGGCCACGGTTGTAAATGATACCGTGCAGTCTCTCAACCTGACTTTCTCGTTTTGTAAATTACCAGGCGTTACGCAGCGGCCAAATAATCTTATTTCTAGTTTTAAGTTATTTACAAAACAGCTTCTTTTTGCAAAAAAATCTTAAGCTAAAGTAGTCGTTTCTGCCACATTAACTGCTGATTTATGTACTTGCTAAAGACACCTTTTGTATCTGCTCTGTATTATAGCAATAAAAGAATCATTTTCAGGAAAAAAATAAATCAACTGGTATTCTTTCATAATTTATTTTTTAAATCCTCACCCAAGGACATTTTCGTTGGTTTGGAGAGAGTGGGGCAGGGAGGATGAGAGAAACATCGATCGGTTGCCTTCTACACTTGCCCTGACCATGCACCCAGCTGGAGCCAGAGATCAAAACCGCAATCCATCCATGTGCTCTGGCCAGGATCGAACCTGGGACCTTTCCGTGTATGGAAGTACGCTCCTGCCGACTGAGCCAAGAATAACCTTTCCTTTCCCTGTTGGTAAAGGCTATGCCAGCTCCATCCTCGAGCAGAGAGGCAAGGAGACAACAGAAGTACTAACGGAAAAATATTTTCACTTCCTAGTAGGCAGGATTTTGCGAAAGGTCAGGTTGACGCGCGGAGCCAGGACCTTCTTGCGGACGGGGAGGCTGTGATACCAGTGAGCGTTGGTCGGGTGGTTCATCATCAGTAAACTCCCGTGGGCCAGCGGCAGCCTGACCGCCTCCAGCCTCCGGGAGCGGCTCCTCCCGCGAGCGTCTTTGTGCCGGAAGAGGAAGTCCCTGCAGGCCCCAAAGGAGACGGAGGCGATGGGGCTCCCAGGAGCCAGCTCTCGTTCGTCATCTCGGTGTTCCCCGATGTGGTCGCAGCCGTCCTTGTACCTGGGATGAGGAAGCGGGCACAGCTCACGGCACAGCTCGCTCCTGCGTGCCAGCACTGGGCATCCTCATTTCTCACCCTGTGAACAGCTGCTCCCAGCATGCCGGTTTCTTACCTGGTCCCACAGGTGAGCCACGCCTAGAGCTTTCTCACTGGGTTACCCAGTCCCTGTCAGTCACGTGCTTGAAAATTCAACAACCAATAGAAACCAAAACATGTTTTCTAGTTCTCCTGGTTCACATATGTAAACCTTTATCATGAAAAGATCTCTCCCGCCGGGACCAGTTTGGCTCAGTGGATAAAGCGTCGGCCTGTGGACTGAAAGGTCCCGGGTTCGATTCCGGGCAAGGGCATGTACCTTGGTTGCGGGCACATCCCCAGTAGGGGGTGTGCAAGAGGCAGCTGATCGATGATTCTCTCTCATCGATGTTTCTAACTCTCTATCCCTCTCTCTTCCTCTCTGTGAAAAATCAATAAAATATATTTAAAAAAAAAAAAAGAAAAAAAAGAAAAGAAAGAAAGAAAAGATCTCTCCCTGCCCCGCCAGAGTTTAGAGTGTCAGCTCTTGCACGGAAAGGTTGCAGGTTCGATTCCTGGTCAAGGGCACATAACCTAGGTTACAGGTTCAATTCCCAGTCCCGTCAGGCACATGCAGGAGGCAACCATTTGATGTGTCTCTCTCACATCAATGTTTCTCCCTCTCTTCTCTTGCCCTCCCTCCATTCCACTCACTCTAAAAATCAATGGGAAACAATATCCTCGGGTGAGGATTAACAACAAAAAAAGTCTCTCCCTACACCTAGATAAAATCCATATTCCTTCCACCGGGACTGGGCAGTGTCTGGGGACGTTTCGGTTGCCATGACTACGGAGGGTTGCTACTGGCATCTAGTGGGCGGAGGTCAGGGACTCTGCTCTCAACTTCCTACAATGTATAGGACCGTCCACACCGCAGAATTACCCGGCCCCCCAAAAACATCCTGTGAGAAACCCTGCCCTGAACCCAGACCCCTTCCTGCTGCCCATTCTTGGTCAAGTCAGCCAGACACTGATCAGCGTCTGACAGGATCTCATTCAGCTGTTCATCAGTGAGTCACCCCTCCCTTCCCCTGAGGCAGGAGCTCCAGGAAGACTGGCTGCTCATGCCACTCGGCCACCCACAGCCCTGGTGCACTAAGGGGTTACCCGTGGTGCCAAGGAATCAAATATGGAGGAAGCCTAACCTCTCCCTCCTGGAAGAGGCAGAGATTGGTAAAAGTCAGTGCCGGGGCCTAAAACAAGAGTAAAGTGTCACCTGTTAACGAGCACGAAGTTGAAGGTGTGCCCAGTCACCGAAGAGACACGGTCTCGGACCCGCTCCAGCACCGGGACCCAGGGTTTGGGGGACAGAGTGAGGCCGGAAAACGTGTAGGTCAGCCCGGCGTCGCCGTACGTCGCCTGCTTCCTGGGCACGCTGTGCCACTTGCCAAACACCTGCACCTTGGCCAGCGCACCTGTGCAGACGAAGCATGCAGCTCAGAGAACGGGCAGGGGGTGCCTGCACACTCACTACCTGAGTATTCAGGATAATTTTAAAAAGACACGGAATGATATTAGAGAGAAGGAAGGAGAGAGGGGTGGGGGGAGAGAGAGAGATTTGTTGTTCCACTTACTTATGAATTCATTGGTTGGTTCTTGTATGTGGTCTGGCTCAGGATCGAACCCGAAACCTCAGCGTATCAGGACAAAGCTCTAACCCCGTGGTCGGCAAACTCATTAGTCCACAGAGCCAAATATCAACAGTAAGACGATTGAAATTTCTTTGGAGAGCCAAATTTTTTTAAACTTAAACTTCTTCTAACACCACTTCTTCAACATAGACTCGCTCAGGCCGTGGTATTTTGTGGAAGAGCCACACTCAAGGGCCCAAAGAGCACCAAGTGGCCTGCGAGCCGCAGTTTGCCGACCACGGCTCTAACCAACTCAGCTACCCAGCCAGGGCAGGAATGACTTAATAACCTGACCAAGGACCCCTCCTCAAAAGTCCTTGTGGCTTGCCCAAAGTTTTCATTTAAGAACAGTGATTCTTGCCTAGCTGGCGGGGCTCATTGGTTGAGTATGGAACTAGGACCCAGGAGGTCATGGTTTGAGTCCTGGTCAGGGCACATGGCAGGGTTGTGTTCAATCTGCAGTGTGGGGCATGCAGGAATCAGCCAATCAATGGTTCTCTCTCTCTCTTTCCCTTCCTCTCTGAAATCAATGAAAATATATTTTTTTAAAAACAAACAAAAACAGTGAATCTTGTCCTGCACTTAGAGAAAATGGTCCTAGTCCGATTATTTTAAGAACACCATAACTTAATCGCCTTGACTACAGTAGGAACAGAAGAAAGAGGCCGAGATGTGAGCGAGATAAAGTTAGGGGTGATACACGTGGGGGTGATTTTGCCCACTGTGGAGACCAAGGGTCTAGGGCCCCCTGAAAGGTGGGGCTCACACAGCTTAGTCTGTAGGCTGGGGCCCCCAGTGGGCTTTCCTGTGCCTCCTCGTGCTCTGCCACCTTGCTGGTTCTCAATGTGAGGTACCCCACTGCCTCTATAAGACTTGACAATGCAGACACTGGTCTGTGGGGCGGGGCCCAGCCACCGGAGTTAACACAAACAAAGGAGTCCTCTGGTGATGCTGGGAGCACTGCATGATTACCGGCCATTTGCCTTCTCTCCCGGGCCAGTGGTCCCCAGCCCTGGCTGCAGGTTGGATTCACCGGAAAACACTGATGCTCAGGCTCGCCTCCAGCTACTCTGATTCCACTGATCTCGGTCAGAACTCAGTATCTTTTTCTTTTTTCAACTTCCCCAGCTGATTCTCCCAGTGGAGATTCACTCTAGCTGTCTGTCAGCTCCCCCGTGGGCAGGCAATCCTGTTTTTTGTTTTTGTTTTAAGTTTTCACCCCAAGCACCTCGAGAGGATCTTGGCCCACAAGGGGCCCAGAGAAAGTGTCAAATCAATTAACAAACTCATCAGCAATTAATGGCTCCTGAGTTCCGATTTCTCTAAACATGGACTCGTTCTATTGAACAAGCCTTCCACACACAGCCTGCAGTCCTCTGCTTACCTGTAAAATACTCCACTTCTCGCTCCAACTCTTGGAAAATCTCGTCCGCCTCGGCTTTGCCAAACAGGACTGTGTAATCGCAGTCCAGGCCCTCAGACCGAATGCGTCGCCAGCTGAGGCCCGCCAAGCCAGTGCCATTCCCGGGGCTTTCTGTCCTGGGCCTTTTCCTGGTGCTTTCCTCGTCTTCTCCCGACTCGGCTGAGCCTGCTCCTGTCTGCTCCTGCTCCCTCTTTCCCACAGGGCTCCCCAGAGCCCTCTTCTCCAGGAATCTGTCCATCCTGTCTCCACAGAGCAAAGACCTGGGAGTCAGTGGTGGGGCACGGCCCAGGCTCTGTCCCAGATGCAAAAATGAGCTCTACGGCAAAGTGATCCAAGCAGCATTCCTCCTTGCTGTCTTCAGATTGTCATTGGAAAGTTTAACGCCAAGTGCTAGGAAGGAAGTAGGTGGTTAAAGCTGCGATGATCTGGTCTAGCCCAGGGTCTCGCACACCTGGCCATGCTGGAATCAGCTGGCTAGCTTGCAAAAAAAAAACCCAAATGCCTGCACTCCTCCCGCAAGCACCTGAAGGTTTTTTAAAATAAACTTTTATTGATTTCAGAGAGGAAGGGAGAGGGAGAGAGCGATAGAGACATCAATGATGGGAGAAAAGCAGTGATCGGCTGCCTCCTGCAAGCCTCTCACTGGGGATGGAGCCTGGAATCCCTGCATGTGCCCTGACCCGGAATGGAACGGTGGCCTCCTCACTCATAGGTCAAAGCTCAACCACTGAGCCAGTTGTCTGGGCAGGCACCAGTATTTTTATAGACAAGCCCCCCCACCCCCACCGCCCCCAATTCACACTGTACAGGCAAATTTACAGATGGGGAAGTAACACTAGGAGAACGTAAGGGGCTTGCCTGCCACAAAGTCTTCAGAAAAGCAGTGTGTCTATCTTCCTTTCACCCTAGCCGCCTGCCCTGCCCACACCAGTATTAAAATAAAGTGATACTAAAATACTGAACTAAAATAAACAAGTATAGTGATCCTCAAGTGGATAGGATTTTTTTTTTCTTTCTCTTACTGATTTCAGAGAGGGAGAGGGAGAGATGGAAACATCAATGATGAGAGAGAATCATTGATTGGCTGCCTCCTGCACGCGCCCCCCCCCCCCCCACTAGGGACTGAGCGGGCAACCCCGGCAGTGCCCTAGACGGGGGACCCTTCAGTCCGCAAGCCCAGGCTCTATCCACTGAGCCAAACCGGCTAGGGCTGGCTATGATTCTTAATCTACGTATAAACAGTTCAACGTGATCCATAGGCAAGTACTGGAATTCTGATAAGAAATAACCGTAACACCTGCGTGAAGTGGGGTGACTAGTGTTCTCTTTAAAATCTCAGCATCTGCGCAGCGTCCGAACCCCCTCAAACACGGTAGATGAGGGGGGGGTGGGGGAGAAAACACTCACCCAGGACCGCAGCAGTACTTCCGGGTGGATTTCGAGGAGCAAGCTGGGAAATGCAGGCAGAGCTGCCAAACAAGGCCGGGGGCGGCCTCCGAGCGCCACCTGTTGGCCTCCTGGGCGTGTTGCAAGTACTGTCCGGCCGTGTTTTTTGAGTTTAGAATCTGCTCCATGACTGTTGAGGATCCTCCTGTGGTTAGGGAGCTGTTACTGGGTGCACCTCTCCTGGGGACTCACCTGGGAGCCCGACAGGGAGTTAGTTGCTGTGTGGGTAAATGATTTTATATTATGAGCTCCTCTCTTACCCTTCAAGCTCCTTGTTCTAAGCACTGAAACACATCTGTTAAGAAGAATACAGTCCCTGCCCTCACTCAGGTTATATTTTGGCACTGCAGACAGAAATAAACAAGGAAAGAATACACAGGATAATCTTCGGTAAAACAGAAGCTGTAAATAGAGTGACCCAGACTGGGACCTGAAGCTTCCAAGTAGGGAATGCTGCCTGCAAGGGTGTGAATGCCACACGACCAACAAGCTGGTCATGTTCCAGTGAACGCCGAGACCCAGACTCAGCCATGCCACCCTCGTAGGGGCTGTCAGAGAGGGAAGCAGCCTGGCCAGCAGAGGGACAAGCTGGCATCTTACGCTAAGCATACTTGGAAACTGTAATGTGAAATTACTAATAATTTTGCCTTCCAAACAGATCACTTGGTAGGAAAGATGTGGCCAGCTGGAATTTTGGCCAGTAGAACGAGAGGGCAGCGGTTGAATTCAGGCTTTATTTTTGGAGACAACCAATTGGACCTGTTGATGGCTTGGATATGGGGAGGGAAGGACAGGCAGGTGTATTGGGGGGCGAGGGGCAGGGGTCCCCTACAGAGGATGGCTATTTTGGAGTTCAACCTTCACGCCTTTAAGGTCTTCCCAAAACTCACAGGTAAGGCACTGTGTTGTCAGTAAAATGGGTTGGGAAAATTGGACAAGATAATGTAGTATCTAAGAGCTCAACAAATAGTATTTTTTTAATTTTTAATATATTTTTATTGATTTTTTACAGAAAGGAAGAGAGAGGGACAGAGAGTTAGAAACATTACGATCAGCTGCCTCTTGCACACCCCCTACTGGGTACTACCAAGGTACATGCCCTTGACCGGAATCGAACCTGGGACCTTTCAGTCCGCAGGCTGACGCTCTATCCACTGAGCCCAACCGGTTTCGGCAACAAATAGTATTTTAATGCTAATTTCACTCCCACTTTACCTGGCAGGTACTTTTATCTCCTTCCACTCCCCCTCCCCCACTTAGCAGGCAGAATGCCGGGACTTGCCCCAAGGCAGAGGAATGGGGGGGGAATACCGAGCAAACCAATGAATGGATCCACCGAAGGAAACCCTGCCCCCAGCAGCCCCTCCCGCACATGCGCACTAGGCCCTCCGCCGCCCCCCGCCCAGCCCACCCCCTCGGTGGGAGCATGCGCGCGCGGCTTGGCGCCAATTGCGGACCGCCACTGCCAGCGCCCGCCTGCCCGCCGGACCCCGGGCGGCGCGCCTCCGCTTCCCCCAGCCTCGCGGGCCCCCGGGCGGCTTCGGGATGATCGGCCAGAAGACGATCTACTCCTTCTTCTCCCCGAGCCCCGCCGGGAAGCGACGCGCCCGCAGCCCCGAGCCGGCCGCCCCGGGGACCGGCGTGGCGGCCGTGGGTGCAGAGGTGAGGCGCGGCGGGGACCGTCCGCTCGTGGGGCCGGGAAGGCGGGAGGGAGAGGGAGAGAGAGAAAGGCGGCGGGGACCGCGCGGCTTAAGAGTTTGCAGGAACGCAGCCCTGACTTGGGAAACGTGGGAGTCTCGTGTCTCTAAAGCTGCCTTCACCCTAATTCAAAACAACCGCGGCGTTCCCCGCCATCGGCGGCCTTGCTGAGGGGCCAGCCAATAGGGGCGCACTTGGGAGCCCACGGCGCCAATCAGAGGCGAGGGGACCGCCCTTCTCGCTCGCGTCCAATCGGACGAAGGGAGGGGCGGGGTCTCGGAGAGTTTTTTGCCGCGAAAAGACCACGTGGGGACGCGCAGTGGCGGGTCTGGCGGGGCGGGGCGGGGCGCCTGGTTGCAACGGGGCTTCCCCTGCAGCGCACCCCTCCATTACGCCCGGTTATTCATACCAAACACGAAATTTTTGGGGGCGTCGGCCTGCTAAGCGCGGGTTCCCAGAGTCCGGTTTTGCACGGATCCTCCGGGTGGGGCTGAAGCCCACGGATGGGCGTCCTCTGCTATGGGCCTTTGGGTCGGGGGTGGAACCTGCTGGTGCCCGGGAGAGGTCGGCTGTGGATCCTGACCCGCCTCCGCGGGGACCACTCGCAGATCAGCCCCGCCAAGAAGGCCCGGGCGGAGCAGGAGGAGCCCGGCACACCGCCCTCGTCGCCGCTGAGTCCCGAGCAGCTGGACCGCATCCAGAAGAACAAGGCCGCGGCCCTGCTCAGACTCGCGGCCCGCAACGTGCCGGTGGGTTTCGGTGAGAGTTGGAAGAAGCACCTCAGCGGAGAGTTCGGAAAACCGTATTTTATAAAGGTAAAACGAGGAGGCTGCGGGCCCGTAGTCTTGTTAGCATATAGCGGGCCGAGGCCACACGTATAGGCTATTGCTTTCTTAGTCTCCTGTCTTCCCGTTAACTATGGTGTCTTGAATCTGCACATTTATATTCGTCTCTAAACGACTTAAGGTGATATCTGATATCGTGACCTCTTTTAACCCATCTAGTCAGTCTGCTATCCAGGAAAGAGTAGCAAAGTTAAAACCACAAACCCGGCAGCTTGAAACCTGGCTCCGCCTTTTAAAAAAGGAAGGGGGTGGGGCTGGCATTAACAGGAAATCAGAGCGTCTAAGCCAATCGACTTTGGCCCAGCCCAAAGAAAGAGCGGGGTTGAAGAGATGGTGCAACTTCGGTGGGGAGGGAGCAGGTACTGTTTTTACTTGCTGGTTTTTCTTATAAATTATTCAGATTTATTTATTTATTTTTCTTACTGATTTTTAGAGATGTGCCTTTACTGGAGATAGAACCTGTAACCTTGGTATATGCCAGGGCAAAAAAGAATTGGGACATTAAACATAGCAAAGAGTTAGATGATGCTTCCGTTAACTTTCTTACTGAATTCATACGCTTTTCAGTGAGAATCTGATTTTAAATCTAGTTTCTTTTTCAATCAGCTGATGGGATTTGTTGCAGAAGAAAGAAGACGTTACACTGTTTATCCGCCCCCACACCAAGTCTTCACCTGGACCCAAATGTGCAACATAAGAGATGTAAGTACAGGTTGTGGGTGAATTTTTGCACAAGAAGAGTGGGAGTCAAATAGTATTTCTTAATTAGGGACACTGGAGTTAAAACACTGTCCACATTTTAACAAAATAAAATACTAAAATTGTGAGATTTGTCAGGCTATATTTTAACCTTTTATTTTTGACATAGACCGTTGTGTCTGAGTGCGCTCCTTTCTTGTATTTTACTTAATCCTGAACCCAATCCCAGACCAGTGTTAAGTGTTATTGTGGGAGCAATGGGGAAACTGAGGCACGAGGGAGTTACTCTCTTCCACCTGGTTATAGTCGACCCCACCTTGACGTGAAGCTCGGTGTTCTTTCTGTCTGACCAGACTGTCCTTTAGTCTCTTAACTTCTGGCCCAAACAGCTCTCCCACCCGGTTATGTTACCAAATCCCTCTGTGTTGGTTGGTTGTACAACCCGCTGCTGCCTGGGGCTCTAGTCACATCAGTCTCCTGTTCAGAAGCTGGTCTGGCTTCCCACTGCCTGAAGCTGCATGCACGTGGCCATGTCCTACTTAGCCAGCCTTTCCTCCACCACCACCTCCACCTCCACCTCCCACCACGACACACACACCCCCCATCCTACTTAGCCAGCCTTTCCTCCACCACCACCTCCACCTCCACCTCCCACCACGACACACACACCCCCCATCCTACTTAGCCAGCCTTTCCTCCACCCCCCGTTCTTTTACATCAGAATTGAACGCTGTGGCAGGCCTCTCCTCGCTGCTGTCTTTTAAAACCAACCACCTCACTGAATCCCGTTTTCCACCTCTGTTGTGATCTGGGGGTTTTCCTCAAAATCCCCCCAAATACGCTTAGTGTCTGCTTACACGGGAGGTTTTTACACTTCCTTCTTACGCTTTTCCCTCCCCATTTGTAAGTTGAGAGCAGGAATCCCGTGACTTAGTAAATATCTGTTAAGTAGAAGTGAAATAAGCCATCCTGATAAGGCTAGTATGCCTGATACTTAGCCAGCTTCACAGTTTTCAGTTTAGAGTCAGGACTTTGGATGTAGCTTCTTGTTTCTGAAGTTAGGAGAGAAAAAAAACACACAAAAAAACAAGTTATAATATTTTAAATTCACTACTGTTTTGCCCCTTGGTTGAATCGGTGTTCTGGTTGGAATACCGGTAATTAATATAAGTAGGGAAGAAGAAAAGAGCCTGAGGCTGGGGATCGGGTGGCCCGGAGTGACCTTACACATGAGCATGTGGCGGTTCAGGGAGGTCACCTGGCTCCTCCAACCTGTCCCGTACCCAGCTTGCGTGCTGGGACAGGTGGCTTCCGGCTGGGGAGAGTGTGAGCACCAGCGGCAGGGAGGGAGAGACCCGGGAAAGCTTCCCGCTGATGGGACTGTCTGAAGCCGGACTTTGGAGGATAAGGTGCGTGTCAGCTGGGGAAGAAGATTCCAAGAAGGTGGCCCTTGAGCAGAAGCATGAGAAGGAAGAAGAGGTGGGCGGCCTCCCGGTGCCTTCGCCCAGCCCGTGACAGTGACCTAGTTCCTTCTCACTGCGTCCCGCCGCCTCCTCCCGTGGCTCTTGACCCGACCTCTTTACCTTCTGGTTTCCTTCCTTAGAAGATCGAGGGGAACAGGCCCCTTCGAATGCTGCCGGTGGGGAATTCCAATTGCTTCAACTCATTGGAAATGAAAATGAGGATGGGATAGGATAACTGGGAGATGACTAACCACTTTGTATCTTTCTGGATGGTTGTACTTGTTTTCAAGGTGTATTTACTTTTGTCATTTGACAAATGAAGAGGATGAAAGCAAAGTTGACCCTAACTTGTTTCCCATCCCTGGGTAGTGTGGTAGAGTGGTTGAGTGAAGGAGAATTTGGTAATGGAAAATAAGTGAGATACCAGGCCATCTGCTTTCTTCGGGGGATTCCAGTTGGGGAGGCGGGGTGGGAAAGGGGGTCGCTTTTCTCATTATCCTATCCCTTTGTAAAGGTCAGCAGTCAGCCCCGTGTTCATTACACTGCCTACGCTAGAGTATTGTTTAATTTGCCACCTGGCATTCGCAGGTGAAGGTTGTCATCCTGGGACAGGATCCATATCATGGACCCAATCAAGCTCATGGGCTCTGCTTTAGCGTTCAAAGACCTGTTCCGCCTCCGCCCAGGTACGATTGCTTTATGGATGGCTCAGGGCCCATTGCAGGCGTGGGCTCTTTCAATCCGCGGTCGCCAACCTTTTGGACCTCACGGGCCACCGGTTGGTGTCCGCTGTTTTAAAAATATATTTTACTTATTTATTTATTTTTACAGAGGGGAAGGGAGGAGGGATAGACAGACACATCGATGAGAGAGAAACATCGATCAGCTGCCTCTTGCACACCTCCTACTGGGGGTGTGCCCGCACCCAAGGTACATGCTCTTGACTGGAATCAAACCTGGGACCTTTCAGTCCACAGGCCAACGCTCTATCCACTGAGCAAACTGGTCAGGGCAGAGAATGCTGTATTAACTGATTGGTTCGCCTATTTGGGGGACTTTCGCTAGCCTATATTTTTTTTTCCTCGTTGATTTCAGAGAGGAAGAGAGAGAGAAACAATGATGAGAGAATCATTGATCGGCTGCCTCCTGCATGCCCTCCACTGGGGATTGAGCCCACCACCTGGGCATGTGCCCTGACTGGGAATGGAAGCGTGACCTTCTGGTCCATAGGTCCACGCTCAACTATACTGAGCCATGCTGGCCGGGCTAGAGGGTTTTTATGAGTAAACGCAGAGATACAAAACTGTAACTAAGCATCCATCGGGAGGGAGATTGTAACTCCTGGGCTAATGTGTGCTTCAGTTTTCCGAAGTGCTGTTCCTTAAACCCAAATACAGACTGACAATGTACCCGTCAGCAGGAATGGCTGGCTTTACCCGCTGTAGTTCACACGCCTGCTGGAGGTTGCTGAACTTAACGAGTTTGTACTTAAGATTGCTTTTTTCCTTCCGGCTTGCTTTCAGCTTGGAAAACATTTATAAAGAGCTGTCTACGGACATAGAAGGCTTTGTCCATCCTGGCCATGGAGACTTATCTGGCTGGGCCAAGCAAGGTAAACCAACCACGGTTACATGTGCTGACGTGACTGAACTTATCTACGTCAGAAAATGAACATTCGTTGTACCCTCAGCCAATGTTTCCTCCTTTTTCTTTTTCTTTTTCTTTTTCAAGTATTACATATGTCTCCTTTTTCCCCCGATTGACTCCCAGCCCCGTTCTTTCATGCTTTAATCATAATTTTAAAACTGCGTTCCCCTTTATTATTATTTTGTCCTCACTTTTGTTATTTCCACATAGGTGGTGGTGTATGTATTTAATACCTATGGGTTTCTTAAAAAAAAAAAAAAAAAGCTAAAATTTTCCTTTGATTTATTTTTGTTTTTGTTTTTTTGTTTTTTAAAGAGAAGAGGGGCCGAAACCGGTTTGGCTCAGTGGATAGAGCGTCGTCGGCCTGCAGACTGAAAGGTCCCAGGTTCGATTCTGGTCGAGGGCATGTACCTTGGTTGCAGGCACATCCCCAGTAGGGGGTGTGCAAGAGGCAGCTGATCCATGATTCTCTCTCATCGATGTTTCTAACTATCCCTCTCCCTCTCCCTCTCTGTAAAAAATCAATTAAAAAAATTTTTAAAAAAGAGAGAGAGAGAGGGAGAGGGAGGAGGGGAGAGGAGAGAGAAACATTGATGTGAGTGAAGCAACTATCAGCTGCCTCCTGCAGGCCCCCTACCATGGATGAAGCCTGTAACCTAGCCCAGCCAACTGAGCCACACCAGCCAGGGCTTTTCTTGCTTTTTTTAACAAATAAGTTACAACCAAGATAAGGAAAAAGTATTTGCCCTTTGGTTTCTTTTTTTCTTTTTTTTTAATATACTTTATTGATTTTTCACAGAGAGGAAGAGAGAGAGAGTTAGAAACATCGATGAGAGAGAATCATCGATCAGCTGCCTCTTGCACACCTCCTACTGTGATGTGCCTGTAACCAAGGTACATGCCCTTGCCCAGACTCGAACCCGGGACCTTTCAGTCCGCAGGCCGACGCTCTGTCCACTGAGCCAAACCGGTTTCTGCAACCCTTTGGTTTCTTGAGTTAGATTTTTTCCCCCCCAGTAAAACACTGTGGCCTCCTTTTGTTATTTTCTGGAGTTATTTAATATCACGATACTGTTTAAAAACAGTTCTTTCTGATGATCGACGGTGTCTATGCACATTACTGTTGCGAACTTGCAGAGGTGTTGAAAGTGCAGAGGTGAAAGTTCAGTGCCCTCTGGTAGCACCAAGAAGTGCCCAGCGGTCCGTTGAAATGCTTTCTCTCTGGCCGAATTTCAGCCGGCCGCTCGGTCCCATCCGGAGGATGCAGACCTTGGCTGACTCGTTCCATCCTGCCTTTAACCTCTTTCTCTGGTGGATGTCCGTAGGTGTTCTCCTACTCAACGCTGTCCTCACCGTCCGCGCGCATCAGGCCAATTCTCACAAGGAGAGAGGCTGGGAGCAGTTTACCGACGCGGTCGTGTCCTGGCTGAATCAGAACTCAAGTGGCCTCGTCTTCTTGCTCTGGGGCTCTTATGCTCAGAAGAAGGGCAGTGCCATCGACAGGGTATGTAGTTTTTCACAGTTTAAACCGGTGAGGATCTAGGCATCCTTGCAGCGTGGTCCTGGAAAATCCTTGCCATAAAAGGAAGCTTCTTTTCCCTGAAGACTGGTAATTAGGGTTGAAAATGGAACAAAATTTAGACAAATTACGGTAATGAGGAGAGTGGCTAGCCAATTTAGGATTTACTAATATAGGCATAAACTTGCCGTATACGTAGGAAAGAACACAGATCCCCAGCTACCATTTATTTAGCAAATAGTACAATAAGTCAGCAGTTTTCAACCCGTGTGCCGCAAGAATTTTTAAACATGGCAACACGAGGGGGCGCTGGCCTCTTTTCTCTTACATTGTCAAATTTAAAAATGACAACAGCCAACACAACCATAGCCATCTGGTGTGAATGAATCAAAATTATACTTTTGATTTTCTTTGTCAGATCAGAAAATACATTATTTGGTGTGCCATCAGATGAGAAAGGTTGAAGATCGCTGATCTATCCAGTTGTCCAGCCAGAAATCAAATCAGATATCATTCGTTATACCTCCCTACCTCTTTTCCCTTTCTTCCTCTCCCTCCCCCATCCCCCTATCCAGTCTGTCATTCATGGCCCAAGTTCTCTCATCTTTCTCTTTTTTTTTTTTTAAATATATTTTTATTGATTTTATACAGAGAGAAAGGGAGAGAGATAGAGAGTTAGAAACATCGATGAGAGAGAGTCATCGATCAGCTGCCTCTTGCACACCCCCTACTGGGGATATGCCCGCAACCAAGGTACATGCCCTTGACCGGAATCGAACCCGGGACCCTTCAGTCCCCAAGCCGATGCTCTATCCATTGAGCCAAACCGGTCCCGGCAAGTTCTCTCATCTTTCAAAAAACGTCCCCCTCCCCACCCCAGATACCTTTGCCCCTCTGATCTTGCCTGGAGCATTCATGCCTTCTCCCTGAAGGCCTTGACTTAGGCTGATAAGCTGGGGTCTGGGACATGGCCCTGGTCTCAGCCACAGCTTGTTGCTTCTCTCTCCACGCCAGGCTGCCTGCAGGCACGTCTTGGGTTTGTTTCCTGTGCCCCACTTTGCTGGCCTCTGAACGCCCTGCTCCTTTGTTCTGCGTGGAGAGGTCTCTCTTCCCCAGAGGCTAAGCCATCCTCCCGAGCTCAGCACAGCTCACATTTCCAGGGGCCTGGACTGCCTGCCAGACAGGGTGCTCACGAGCACTTGACCTCAATTACTTCTCACAATATTCTCCGCACACAAGCTAGACCGCTGCTGATATTCGCAATGTACAGATGAAAAATTAAACTCGACTTCCCTGTGGCTACCCAACTGAGGGGTGGAGACGGGACTTGAACCCAGGCGGCCCCACCTTAGGCTCTGTGCTCTTAACCACAGGGCTGCCTGGCTTCAGTTAAGGACCCTCCTGGACTGAGCAACTTGAAGGCAGTGATGTTTGAAAATATTTGTTAGGTGGTTATAATTCAAATGCAGAAAAGAATAAAAAGTCTAATCTTCCTGTTCAGTTAATGACTGTTGGAAATTTAAAAATCAAAGTAGTCCCTTTTTTGTTGTTTATCCTCACCCAAGGACATTTTTTTCTATTTTTAGAGAGAGTAGAAGTGGGGGCTAGTGGGGGCCGGCGGGGAGAGACGTCAATGGGTTGCTTGCTACACACACCTCAACAGTGACGGGGGCTCACATGCTTTCCACTAGTTCTTTTCCCTGAAGGAACTACTACAAATAGTGTTTTTGGGTAATTTTTTTCAAAAAAAAAAAAAAATTTGTAATGCAATTATCCCTTTTTTAAAAAATTGATATATTTTGGAGGTCTATCAGCGTATGTAGCTCAGCCGTATTCTAGTATCGGTGGGGTGTTTCATTGTAAGAACTTGAGGATAATATTTTTAGCTCATTGCAAGACACTGAATTTATATTGGGTTTTACCTGGAGAAGCAGTGCTGCCATGAACCCCCTTAAACCTGCATCTTTGTGTGGGTACCTGCATCAGGGTGTCCTTTAGCAAATATATTCTCAGCAGTGGGTTCCTGGCTCATCAGGCACTTAAAGAGATTGCATAGACGGTGCCACGTTGGAGTCTGAGACTGGTCCTCGCAGCCTCAGAGCCTAGCAAAGCTTGTTGCCCCACAAGTGAGTGCACTGATGCCCTCCTGTGAACACCGAAGGCAAATAAATACACTTAGCAAAGTGGGAGGATTTAGAAAGCGCAAAGGGGAGGGCACACTGTCTTCAGAGGCCCAGCCGTGCCAACTCTCGGTCATTCTCTTTCTCTCTCTCCAGAAGCGCCACCACGTGCTGCAGACCGCCCACCCCTCCCCTCTGTCGGTGTACCGAGGGTTCTTTGGGTGCAGACATTTCTCCAAAACCAACGAGCTGCTGCGGAAGTCCGGCAAGGAGCCCATCAACTGGAAGGACCTGTGACCCTGAACTGGGGCGGGGGGTCCTCCGGGCAGCTTCTAGAAGCTGCCATTGAAGTATCTGTCATGACGAAGTCGGATTGAGAAAATAATTTCCCCGGTGATCCCTCGGCACCATGCACGCCGGGAGAACGTTTCGGTAGCGCGGCCGTCCGCCAGGCTGCCCAGGAGCGGCGGCGCTACCCAGCAGAGACTGTCCCCTGCGACCATGTGTCTGTCTCAGGAACTTGGCCTTGGCTTAGAAAAGACACGTCACAGTTTGGGGAAAGAAGAAGAGTTCGAATTCTCTAGACTCTCCTCGGTTTCCTTTCTGGTTAGAGATGGTGGGACAAGCACCTTTTCAGTGTCTGAGCCAGCTGCTAGTTGCTTTCACCGGTAGGTTAGACGTTAGGCTGTAAGTGTTGGGTGGTTTTATGTAGGAAGGCCCGCTTCGCACACGGGCCGGGTCCTTACAGAGCCCCCCAGGCCCCTCCTGGCAGGAAATGGGGATTTTATTTTGTTTTATTTTTTGCCAGTTCCCAGAAATTGGGGGTCAGTTACCTGATTGGAGCCCAGCAGAGAATTCCTAAGGAACAGTTCCCGCTGTGAGCCCTCAGACTGGCAGAGGCCGGGAGAAGTGGGCTGGTTGTTCTCTGGGTGTTTCTAGGAATAGGCAGTGGAAGGAGGGAGGGGTTTGGTTTTGTTTTAAGAAGGGAAATTGTTTTCTCCCGTGTGTATCTTGCACTGGGAGAAAAGGCAGCATAATGCCAAATGCTTTTTTTTTTTTTTCTTTTTTTCTTTTTTCTTTTTTCTTTTTTTCTTTTTTTTTCTGGACAGAAGTCACATAGTTTTACCATTTTCTGGAACATTGGAGAATTTCACTCTTTTTAAAAATATCAGTACTTCTGTGCCTGGCTACGTGGCTCCATGGTCCAGGGTCAGTCTGTGAACCAGGCTGTCACGGTTGGATTTCTAGGCGGGTGTTGTTTGTTTGTTTGTTTGTTTTTTAATCTTTTAAAAGACCATCTTCATTAGGGCTGAGCCTCCATCCTAGGTCCGTTAGGGATGCTCCCGTTAGCGGGGCTCAGAGTTAAACCTGCTGGAGTTTGGGAATAAAAGGTTGTGGAAGTTTCACTTTTTGTGCTGTGCCCTTCATGCTGCTTACTCTCCCACCCCCGCACCCCCGGGCCTGGCCATCCGTGGAGGCCTTGGGCTGCCCTTGGACGGTGGTTGCCATGGCAACTCCTGCAGGCAGGAAGGGCCGCCCTCGCTCTTGCCTCCGCCCCTGCACCTCCCCCCTCAGTCCGCCCCATGCCCCATGGAGCCGCCCACCGGTCTGCGGGGCTTCGGTAAGCGTTGGGCGGGGTTCCAGGGAGGGGCTGGGGGCTGGGGTCAGGGTCAGGGACCTTTTCAGCTGGGAAACATTTCTGCAGAGACCTTGGCATTGCCTGTCAGGGCTGCGTCCTGCCAAACCTTGGGACAGTGCCCCGGCTTCCCTCTGCTGGTGTCTGCAAACTTTCCAGGAAATCGGAGGTTGCGGTGTGAGGCCAGGACACTGGGAAAACAGCCCGAGCCCACTGACCTGCCTACAGAGCTGGAGAGGCCGGTAGCCCATCCAGACAAGAGGCTGGCCCTGGCCGGTTTGGTTCAGTGGATAGAGCCTGGGCCTGAGGACCAACGGGGTCCCATGTTTGATTCTAGTCAAGGGCAGGCACCTGGGTTGCAGGCTCCTCTGGGGCCAGAGGCAACCAATCGGTGTGCTTCTCTCACACCCATGTTTCTCTGCCTTCCCCTCTAAAAATCAATGGGAACATGTCCTTGGGAGAGAATTAATAACAACAAAGATGAGGGACTGGGTGGACACTCCTGGTGTGAAATGAAGGAGGAAAGTAAAGGGTCAGAAGGGCTTGGTCACCCATTGCCTATATTTAAGAGCGTTAGAAAGAATGTATCCAGCCCTAGCTGGTTTGGCTCAGTGGACAGAGCTTTGGTCTGCAGACTGAAGGGTCCCAGGTTCGATTCTGGTCAAGGGCATGTACCTTGGTTGCGTGTACATCCCCAGTAGGGGGTGTGCAGGAGGCAGCTGGTCAATGTTTCTCTCCCATCAATGTTTCTAACTATCCCTCTTCCTCTCTGCAAAAAATCAATAATATATATTTATTTGTTTATATATATATATATATATATATATATATATATGTGTGTGTGTGTGTGTGTGTGTGTTTTAAAAAGAATGATCCAGCAAGAGCACAGACATTTCTTGGGAAAGCAGGGCGTTGGGAACCTTTCACTTGAGAATCTTTCCCTCCGAGTCTTTGGCTGAAGAGAAGGGCTTGCGATCCCAGGTTCTGCCATCAGCCAGCAGGCAGGACAAAGATGCATTCTTCCTCTGCCCTCTGGTGACCTGGGGTCCTCTGGGCATGACAATGGGTCCCCTGAGCCGAGGGAGGAACAAGGGGAGGGGCTCCTATTTCTGTGGGGCTGTGAGAAGGGTGGAAGCAGGAAGCTCTGAGTTGCCATAAAGGATTCACAAAGCAAGCTCCTTTTTAAAAACCTAGTGAATCGTCTCCCAGAAAGAAACTCACTGCACACTGATTCATTTGCCTTTCAGCATAAAAAAAAATAAATAAAAAAAAGCTGATTCTGGCCATGGTGCTGCCCTCACACTGAGGCATGCAACACCATGTCACTAGAGCTCAGAGTCCCTGCACAGGTTAAGGCAGGTGGACTTAACCTGAGATCTTGAGACACCTACGGAGCCCTTGGAAAGAATTCAGACATCCTTGAACTTCAAGGGGGGAATTATTTATCAATCTATATCACTAAACACAGCTGAAATTTAGCATTTTCCTCAACTATGTAGGCAACAAAAACATAGTAGTACTAGATGTATCTGTATCAACAAAAACATCACAGATATTTTCTTATTTAAAAAAAATATAGTGAACCTCCTAAGTATAGTGCTTTTTAAAAATATATATATTTTATTGATTTTTTTATTTATTGATTTTTTTTTTTACAGAGAGGAAGGGAGAGGGATAGAGAGTTAGAAATATCTATGAGAGAGAAACATTGATCAACTGCCTCCTGTATACACCCCCTACTGGGGATGTGCCCGCAACCAAGGTACACTCCCTTGACCGGAATTGAACCTGGGACCCTTGAGTCCGCAGGCCAATGCTCTATCCACTGAGTCAAACCGGTTTTGGTCAGATAGTACATATTTAAGCTTTATGGCCATCCAACCTCAGGCCCACTCTGCTACAGAGGAAGCCACCACATGCAGAATGTAAGCCAACGGGTGTGGCCGTGTCCCAGTAAATGTTTATGGACCAAAATTGGAATTTAATAGGATTTGCATGTGTTGTGAAATCTTTTATTTTTTCCCAAGCATTTCATCAATGGAAAAGCCGCTCTTAGTTCAGTAGCCACAGGACAACAGACAGCCCGGGCCATAGTTTGCAGCCCCCTGTTCTAGGGGGTCATACTCAGACAGCAGCAATGACGGAGCGTAAGGGCTGTGTCCTCCCAGGCGGTGCTGTGCGGCTCACGGGAGAGAACCTGGTCAGCAGTGATTCCTCTCTCCCCTCCGAGGCGAGGAGAGGATCTGCGGAGGGCTTTGGGGAACACAAGGAAGTCAGTTATGCAAACTGTCCTGGGAACCTCAAGTTATAAAACAATCATGTCAGTCACTTATCTGTGATCGGAGTCCAGAGGGGCAAGGTAGGGGTATGGGAATTGTTTTAGTCAGAGGCTTCAGCCTGGTGTTAATTCGCTTCTCTTTAATTAAGATCATCCTTTTTTTCCCCCTTTTGAAGTTCCCTTTCCTGCTGCTGTTTGCTCCTGGCATGAAAAAGTCTTAGGAGCCCCATCCGGTTTGGCTCAGTGGATAGAGCAGTTTGGCTCAGTGGGTAGAGCATCAGCCTTTGGACTGAAAGGGTCCCAGGTTCGATTCCGGTCAAGGGCATGTACCTTGGTTGCAGGCACATCGCCAGCAGGGGGTGTGCAAGAGGCAGTTGATTGATGTTTCTCTCTCATCAATGTTTCTCTCTTTCTCCCTCTCCCTTCCTCTCTGTAAATAATCAATAATAAAAAAAAGTCTTAGGAAGGGTTTTGGATTGGAGAAGTGAACTTTTCAGTGTGTCTGGGTGTGGCAAACCTTAGAAATGCATGAGGTATGAGCTCTGGGCTACTTTGGAGGGTCCTGGGGTGGTGACTGGTAGTGACTCCAGCTGAGAAAAGACTGGAACAAACCTGCTGGGAAGGTCTCTTTTCCTATTTAGGGTCCTGCACGTAAAAAATATATATATATATTTGATTTCAGAGAGGAAAGGAGAGGGAGAGAGAGGTAGAAACATCAACGATGAGATAATTATCGATCAGCTGCCTCCTGCATACCCCACACTGGGGATTGAGCCCCACACCTGGGCTTGTGCCCGACTGGGAATGGAACTATGACCTGGTTCCTAGGTCGAACCTCACCATTGAGCCACGCCAGCTGGGCAGGTCCTGACACTTTTCATCTGCGTCTCACAGCCCCTAAAGTCACCTGTTGATTCGATTCTCTCAGCGGACATTTGGAAGCATGTTTGCAGTTTGGAGAGTGAGACAGACCAGGCGATCCGTTCCTGGCATTCTTGGCTACTCAGAGGTGTGTTTCCTGTGTCCTTGAATTTGGGGTGACGGAGAGGGGGGTCTGGAGGCTTCAAACAAACCATTAGTGCTCCTCAACCTCCACTACAGAGTCACCTGGCAGGGGGGGAGGAGGAGAGAGGAAGAGGGAGGAGGAGGAGGGGGAGAAGGAGGAGGAGGAGGAGGTTTGCAGCAGGACTGGCAACCTCTTTCCATGTGGCCAGGTGATTTTTTTTTAATTATTATTATTATTATTTTTTTTGCAAATGATATGTAAGACTTTCTGAATCTGTGTTTGAAGGAATACATTTTTCTACTCATGTTCTTATGTGTGATGGGGAAAGTTGGTGAATAACTGGTTTCCAGCTTTCCATTGTCTTCTAAAAAACACCTGTGCCTTAGAGAAAGCTTGTCAAGAGAGAGCTGAGCCACCAGCAAGAATTCTTCGTCTGAGTGTGCATGCATGCCTGTGTGTGTGTGTGTGTGTGTGTGAAATGTTTCTAACCTTTCCTTTTTTCCCTTTATTGGTTTATTTGTTGAGGGTATTTTTTCATTGATTGTTTTAGAGATAGTGGAAGGGAGGGGGAGAGACAGAGAGAGAGAAACATCGATGCGAGAGAGAGACACACCAATTGGTTGCCTCCTGCAAGCCCCTGATCAGGGTGGGGGATGGAGCCTGTAACCGAGATACATGCCGCCCTTGACTGGAATCTAACCTGGGACCCCTCAGTCTGCAGGCTGACGCCCTATCCACTGAGCCAAACCGGCTGGGTCTTTCTCATCTTTTTTGATTCGATTTGACGAAGCGCCTGCTGTGAGCGAGCCGCCGTGCCAGCCGCTGGCTGCCTATTGTTTCATTTCATTTTCCCTCCCGTGCGATGAAGTGGTTGGATGAGGACACCGGCTGGGCCCGCTGCCCAGAGCCACAGGTAGCACAGCTCAGATTCAAACCCGCGGCAGCAGCCCGATGTCACAGCCCAGTCGTCTCGTCGCTACTGACGCTCTGCCCAGACGATCGCTCTTTGCCGTCCCTGGGCATGTAGATGGAGCCTGAAGGGCTCCCCTCGGCTCGCAGATGGCTTTCCCGGGAAACGCAGGGGGACGCGTCTGTGGCTGGAGAGCTGCCTCTCTGAAGGGGCCGCAGGAGCCACAGAGAGGGAAGCGGCCTTCCTAAAGAACCGCACCTCACCGCCGTCACAGGGGCTGCGAGCGATCAAGAACTCGGGGACCCCCGGTGCTTGACCCTCAGCGCCCCTAAAACGGACGTGGCACTGTTCCAGGTGGCAGCGGACGACCCCGCGGCTTCCGAGGACCCAGGAGGCTTATCAGTGCCGGGCGGCCCATCCCACGAAGTCCGCTTCTCGGAAAACTAGCCACGAGCGAACGGCCGTTCCGGGCGGCACCTGGCCCGGCCACCAGGTAAACTGTCTTTGCAGGAGCTCGGCTCTTACGGCTGTTTCCCCCCCACGCGCCTCCCGGTTCACAGAGGACAATGCCCTTTTGTGCGGCCTCCCCGCGGGCTCCGGTTTGGACCTGAGGCTGACCTTTGTCCCACATGCTGCTGGGACATTCTGTAACGGCTGCGGATGCTGGGCTGCTCCTCCCGGCCCCAGCCAGCCCCCGCCGGCCCCAGCCCCCCACAGGAACGGAGCTCTTTGGGGTTTGTTTTTCTTTCCCTAAGTCCCCCCCACCCCCCAAACAAAAAATGGGGAACGTTTCCTTGAGTAGCATTTGCATGGAGAAGGTTGAACCCAAATCTTCCCCCTCCTTCCTGTCCCTTCCTTCTCCCCGCTCCCCCTCCGCACCCTGGGGAGAGAAGCCAGGTGATCTTTCCGTCCCCTGAGCCCATTCTCGGGGCTCAATCCAGAAGCCCTGTCTCCAGGGCCCGGCAGCCTGCGTGCGGCTGTCCGAGGAGGGCCGGCTCGGCTCCGCATTGCTTACGCCAGCTTGGACTTTCGATCCCTCCCTGGCGGCTCCGGCGCCTGCGGATTTTGAAGCAAAAAGCGGGCGGAATGGCCAGGGGGATCCCCTCCCGCTGCTGTGCCCGGCCTGTCATTGCTCTTCGGTGCCTTGAAGGTTAAGTGCGCCCGCCCGCCCGCCCGGGATATTTTTAAACTGGCCGGGGCCGGTTCATCTAAAAGTGACATTTGCAGTCACGGCGGGGAGCAGCGGGCCATGCCGCCGGCTTAGGCTCCGGGGGGCCCTTTGCAAACAAGAGCCAACCCCGGGGAATGTGAGCCTGAGCCTGAGCCTGAGCACACGCGGCCGGGAGGACATGGGGCCAGGAAAGGCCCGGAGAGAGGGGTAAGTGAGCGCGTCCCTCCCTGGGGTCAGGGCGTCCCCGAGCACAGGGACGGCGGCCCCCGTCGGGGCGCACTCGCACGCGGGCTCCCCCGGGCAGCGGGTCTGTCCCGCGTGGGAGAAGCTGGTCCCGAGGGCCCCGAGGGTCACAGGCGAAGGAGAGCGTCTTTCTCTGCGTCTATAAATGGTGATGTTGCCGGGAACCCGGTGCTTGCTCATCCGTGCCACGTGCCGAAATGTGTTAGGACTCAGGGTTACCTAGAAGGCTGTTCTGTGGTTTGTGTATTTATTTATTTTGTGTGTCCCCCCCCCCCCCCAATCTTCTGTTTGAAAAGATTGAAACCGAACAGAGGAACTCGGGGTGTCTCCTTGCCCCGTCCTCCACCCCGAGGGAGCTGCTGTGTTAAAACGTCCCAGACCTGGTTCCCCCAGAGGCCTCTGGTTCTGTGCATTCGTCTGCTGCATTAACTATGTCTTTCCCACGGACCCCGGTGATTGTTTGGACCTAAAGGGGTGGCCCAGCACCCAGATTTATCCAGCATGGAGGGGACTTCCCAGGAAACGGGTCTTTCCATAAAAAAAAAAAAAAAAAAAAAGCGGTGAGGTCTAAATGTTTGAGAAATGTTTTCCTTCTGCCGGGCTGGTATGGCTCGGTGGTTGAGTGTTGACCTATGAATCGGGAGATCACGGTTCAATTCCCGGTCAAGGATTCTTTCTCATCATTGCTGTTTCCCTCTCTCTCTCCCTCGGCCTTCCTCTCTGAAATCAATAAAAATATTTTATTTATTTTTAAATATATATATTTTATTGATTTTTTTTTTTTTTTTTTTTTTACAGAGAGGAAGGGAGAGGGATAGAGAGTTAGAAACATCGATGAGAGAGAAACATCCATCAGCTGCCTCTTGCACACCACCCCCGCTGGGGATGTGCCCGCAACTAAGGCACATGCCCTTGACCGGAATCGAACCCAGGACCTTTTAGTCTGCAGGCTGACACTCTATCCACTGAGCCAGGTTAGGGCAAGATGTGATTTCTTTCCTGGCTTCTCCCAAGTTTTAAATGGAAAGACCCAGCCAGTTCTCAGCCGGGGTAGTCTGAGATGCACGCACGCCCTATATTTGAAACGCTCGGGGGAAGGCGCCTGGTGTTTATGCAGAGGCGTTCTATTTGCTCCCGCCCAGTTTGACCACCTTTAGATCTGAGGTAGGAACGTGTTCCGTTACACGAGGCATTCCATCTTTGTGGCGAAATAAACATTGTCCCGGAGATGGAACTTTTCAGACAATCTTATATTCCCGTCCAAACGCCGGGGTCCCTTCTTCTCACACTTCTTTTTTTTTTTTTTAATATATATATATATATTATTGATTTTTTACAGAGAGGAAGAGAGAGGGATAGAGGGACAGAGAATTAGAAACATTGGTAAGAGAGAATCATCGATCAGCTGCCTCTTGCACACTCCTTACTGGGGATGTGCCCGCAACCAAGGCGCATGCCCCTGACCGGAATCGAACCTGGGACCCTCCAGTCCGCAGGCCGACGCTCTATCCGCTGAGCCACACCGGCTTCGGCCTCGCAATTCTTCTGAATGTTCACTCGGGGATCCCGGCCTCGGAGGAGCCTGCACCTGTGCCCGGGAAGCCCGGGAGCAGGGCCAGAAGCCTCGCGTCTTATCTGCAGGCTCGGTGCGCATGCGAGCTGCCATTCCCGCAGAGCCCTCCCTGTGTGCTACCAGGGAACGACTCACCCCCCTGGCTCCAGGGGCCCTGTCCCTTTGTCCCGGCATCCAGAACTCCTTGTACCGAACAGGCCAGGCGGCAGCAGGAAACCTGAGGTCTGGAGTGTTGAGAAGTTGGCACATGCCAGGCGTTTACACACGAGGATGGTTTTGGGGGCGGGGGAGAGGGGGGGATTGCTTACTCCACTCCCCAGACCAGGAAGGAAATCAAAGTTCAGGGAATCTCCGTGATAGGCCCAGACCCATCAGGTGACAGACGGCAGAGTCTCCACCCTCCCAGGCTAGCCTCACGCCAGAGGTGCCGCTCTGGACCTCGCTGGGCCCAGCCACCTGAGCTCCCTCCCCTGTGCTGGGCCCCGGACACGGCCGCACGCCAGTCACTGAGGCTTTGTGCCATGTTGGTTGGACTCACTGAAGCACCCCCTCCCCTCTTTTCCAATCAGAGTAAATCATGGTTAAGAGTGATGTGAAAGGCCAACCCCAACACGCCCTTCTTTCTGTTTGGAAGTAAGTGGGTCATGAGCCCTAGCCAGTTTGGCTCAGTGGATAGAGCAGCGGCTGTCGGCCCTTGGACTGAGGATCCGGGTTCGATTCTGGTCAAGGACACGTCCCTCACGCTTGTTCTCACACTGGCAGGCTCTATTCCTGCCCCGGTTCATGTGTTTCTCTCTGTGTATCTCTCCCCCTCTCTTCCGCTCTCTCTAAAAAGTCAATGGAGCCCTAACCGGTTTGACTCAGTGGATAGAGGATTGGCCTGCGGACTAAAGGGTTCCAGGTTCGATTCCGGTCAAGGGCATGTACCTTGGTTGCGGGCACATCCCCAGTAGGGGGTGTGCAGGAGGCAGCTGGTCGATGTTTCTCTCTCATTAGTGTTTCTAGCTTTCTATCCCTCTCCCTTCCTCTCTGTGAAAAATCAATAAAATATATTTAAAATATGTATATTGAAAAGTTGAGTTTGAGGCCTGTCCTGGTTGCTCAATTGCTTAGAGCAGCAGTTGCCAACCTTTCAGAGCTCACGGACAACCGGTTGGCCACTGCTGGCTTAGTGTCATCCCCAAGGTGGTGGGTTGGGTTCCTGGTCGGGGCACCTACAAGAATCAGTCAATGAATGCATAAATGACAGAACACATCGATGTTTCTCTCTCTCTCTCTCTCTCTTATTCTCTCTCTCTCTCTCTCTCAAATTGGTTTTTAAAAAACATGCGATTTGGCTCCCTAGGCATTCATTGAGCACCTCCAGTGTGCCAGGCACGGCCCAAGCGCACCTTTCTGGGCCAGCACTTCCGGAGAACCGGGGGCCTTGGTGATCTGAGCCTTTTTCCAAATCCACAGGCTTCCCTCCTGTGTTATCCTCTCCAACGTTGTTTCCACTCCCAGGGCCCCTGCAGCCGCACACCCGCTGGGCTCTGAGGGCAAGCGGATTTGGATCTGGCATGAAAGCGGGATTGCTTGCTTATGCAAATAGCATCTGCTGGGCTTCTCTGCAGACCCAGAAGCTCTGACACGTGCTAAGTCTGAGAACTGCTGGCTCTCCCCGGGTCTTGTTTCTGGGCTTCTGATTCCACCCACTTAAGAGGATAGCCAGTTAGTCCACGGGGTCAGCAGCCTGGTCACCTCCCCCTGAGCCACATCCTGGCTCCGGAGTCCGGCAGAACAGGTTTGGCTCTTCTGTCCCTCCGGGCTGTGTGACTTTGAGCGGGTCACTCCCCTTCTCTGGGCCTCGGGTTTTCTGATGCCTGATTTTCGAACTAGGATAATAATAATAATAATAATAATGTGAAGGAGATGAGATGAATACTTCCCTTGTAGGGCTGCTATGAGGGGTCAATGAGATTCTGGGTGAAAGAACAAAATAAATGAAGAAATAAGACAGAAGCAGACGCACAGACTGACTGTTGGCAGAAGGGGCGGAGGGCTGGCTGGGGGACTAGGTGAAAAAGGTGAAGGGATTAAGAAGTACAGATGGGCCCTAACCGGTGTGGCTCAGTGGATAGAGCGTCGGCCTGTGGACTGGAGGGTCTCAGGTTCGATTCAGGTCAAGGGCATGTACCTTGGTTGCGAGTACATCCCCAATAGGGGGGCGTGCAGGAGGCAGCTGATGGATGTTTCTCTCTCCTCGGTGTTTCTAACTCTCTCTTCCTCCCTGTAAAAAAATCAATAAAATATATTTTTAAAAAAGAAAGAAAGAAAGAAAGAAAGAAAGAAAGAAAGGTCAATGATGAGAGAGAATCAGTGATTGGCTCCCTCCTGCACACTCCCCCCTCCCCCCTCTAGAGACCAAGCCCACAACCCGGGCATGTGTCCTGACCGGGAATCGAACTGTGACCTCCTGGTTCATAGGTCAACGCTCAACCACTGAGCCACGCCGGCCGGGCTGTACGTCCATGAGCTGAGGAGGCCCCCTCAGCAGAGACCACACTCCTGATCGCCCGCCTCGCCCTCTCCCCTCGGACGCACCAGAAGGGGAGCGTTGTGATCGGGGACTAACTGGATCGTGGTTGATCCCGTAATCCTGCGAGGCGGGCGAGCTCAGAGCCGTGGCTGAGATGAGCCCCACTCAGCGCCCTGTGTGGGCGCTGGCAGTAACCTCACCGTGCAAGCTGTGCCCTTATCTGACTTTGCGGATGAGTCACCGGAGGCTGGAGAGGGCATTGAACTTGCCCCAGGCCCACCCCGCGTGTGGGCGGCGGAGCCTCCGTGGGAACGAGGGTCAGTTTCCAAGGCCGCGGCCGAGGCGCCCGGGGACGGTGGGATTGGCTGGGATGGGCGCCTCGGTGCAGAAGGAGCCCGGGGACCCCGGTGCTGGGCGTGGCTGTGTCACTCACTTCGCGTGTGACCTCTGGCCTCTGTTCGCCTGTAACACGGGGACGCCGGGCTTGCCAGGGGCTCCCCCTTTCAGGCTGTGGGTTGGAGAAGGCGTCCTTTTGGGAAACACTGACCCGTGACTCCGCTGGCTCCCGGGGCCGGAGGACAGGTGCAGGGAGCAGCTGCCAGTCCACCTGTTTGTTCTCTCACCTTCATTACCTGGGAATTCGTAGAAGGCCTTCGGCCACCACCTGCCAGCAGGAAGGTCCCTCACCACCTACTCTTCCTCCTGATGCTTTTTAAAAATATATATATTTTTTTGCCGAAACCGGTTTGGCTCAGTGGATAGAGTGTCAGCCTGGGGACTGAAGGGTCCCGGGTTCGATTCCGGTCAAGGGTAGGGGTGTGCAAGAGGCAGCTGATTGATGTCTCTAGCTTTCTGTCCCTCTCCCTTCCTCTCTGTAAAACATTAATAAAATATATATATTTTTTAAAAAAAAATATATATATTTTTTATTGCCTTTTTCATAGAGAGGAAGGGAGAGGAATAGAGAGTTAGAAACATCATTCCGCTGCCTCTTGCACACCCCCTCCTGGGGATGTGCCCGCAACCAAGGTGCATGCCCTTGACCAGAATCGAACCTGGGACCCTTGAGTCTGCAGGCCGATGCTCTATCCACTGAGCCACACCGGTCAGGGCCCTCCTGATGCTTTTGCTTCCCTTTCCATCATGCCCAATTGGCCAAACCCAGGGCCTGCTGAGACACCGCCCCTCCCCCCGCCCCACAGGCAAGTGTCTGACCCAAGGAGCCTCGGTCTGGTTCCCCTGTCCTCCCCGGGCGCTCGTGATCCCGGGGGCGATTTACTTCAGCGACAGACGCAGAGTTGGGCAAGGGGGCTGGGTGATTGCATGCGCTGAGAAGTAGGCCTAAGTACAGGCATGTGGCAAGCCGGAGGGAGGTGGCGCCGGGAGCCTCTTAAGCACCTGAGCCAGCCGGAGGCCAGGTGAGGGCTGCAGGGACGGGTGACAAACGGGAGCATGTGCGGCCCAGCTGACGGGGGAGAAAGCTGCCCCGGGCTGGGCCACCGGCCGGCCAAACCCCGCCCCCGTGGCCTGATGCACGCCACCGGCCTCCTGCTGAAAGGTGACACTGCGTGGGCCGGGCTCCCTTAGTCACAGCGGGCGCCCGTCAGGCCCGGACGGGGTGCAGCTGGTGGCTGCGTCCCCGGCCATGGTAAGTGGCAGGCAGCAAGCCCCGGGAGGTCATCTCGGTGGGAGGAAAAGTCCGAGCGGGAGCTGGGAGTGCCGGCCGGCCGGCCGCTGACACTCTCCCCTTCTCCCTCAAAGACCTTGCCAGGGATTGGGGGGGGGGGGGGGGGCGGGGGAGGAGAGCTGGAAACCTTCCTCTCTCTCTCTCTAGCCCTCGGCTGGCTGCTGGCCAGCACTGCTTGGAGCCGGGCCGTGGCCTGCATTCGCGTGGCCAGGGCCAGGATTGCTCTGGCAGCCGGCAGCTGTTGCTTCGGGTCCGGCTTGCAAGAAGTAAAAATAGCGTTGGCCAGCTGGGGCTGGGTCTCTGGGTCAGCGGGGTGTTCTCAGAGGAGGGCCTCAGCAAGGCATGGCGGGGCCCACGGCGGTGCACGGGGACCCTCTCCCGCCCGTGGACTCAAACCGCAGGCACAGGGACCCCACACGGCAGTGCTGGTCGCCATGCGGCTCCTTCTTCTATGCAGCAGACAGGTGTCTGATTTTACGATCGTAACCATGTGCCCGTTGTAAACTCTCCATTTTATGGAATTCATTTACATCCAGTGTTGGGGTGGGGTGGGGCAGGGGGAAAGGTGTGGGCGCTGGGCTTGGATGTGAGCGACCTCAAGGCACTGGGCTCCCCCGTGCCTCAGTTTACCAGCAGCGAGGTGGGACTAAGGTTGTGGCGGCAGCAGTAACAGTTCCCAGCAGTAACTGTTCTAAGGATTGGAAGCCGGAGGGCACTCTCTCCTCGCGATGGTTTCTGTATGTGTCAGGGCTGTGCGTGTTTATGTGTCATCGGAAGAGCAGCTGTGAGGGGGCGAGAATTGGCGTGCCCATTTTGCAGACGAGGAAACTGAGGCTCAGTTTCTCCAGGAGCTTTCTCAAACAGTTTCCCCCTTACTCGTGTGGTGGCCTTGGGGTCCTGCCATTGCTCCCCAAAGGAAATGGAGGGGCCCTGGGGTTTTTTGTGCAGGTAGCTCTCCCAAGAAAGGGTTTGGGGTGTCTTAGATTTGCAGAGTAAGAGAGGGCGCCAATGTAAGCTTGGCAGCTTCCCCCCCATCCATCCCCACCGCCCGTATGTCTCTGCCCATCTGCCCGCCCACTCACTTCCCCTCTTTGCACCCACCGACCTATTCATCCTTCTGCCCACAGTCCCGGCCAGGATTTCCACAGCAAATTCCCTAAGAACTTGCCTAATGCAAAACTTGGGAATCCATGTAAAGAATGTGTTCTCAAGCCCGGCCAGTGTGGCTCAGTGGTTGAGGGTTGGCCACTGAATCAGGAGGTCACAGCTCAATTCTCGGTTAGGACTCATGTCCGGGTTGCAGGCTTCATCCCAGGGAGGGGGGAGGATAAGAGGAAGGAGGGTGGAGGGTGCAGGAGGCAGCCGATGGATGATTCTCATCACTGATGTTTCTATCTCTCCTTCTCCCTTCCTCTCTGAAATCAATTTTTAAAAAAAGTTTTGGTTTTTTTTTTTTTTAAAAAGAATGTATTCTCAGGATTCCCAAGCCCCAAGCCCCCTTGTAGCACATGTTTTCCCTGATGCTACTCTGTAGCATTTCAACTTCATGCACTATTTCCACTGTGTCTTGGCGCTCACAATTTCAGACACGAGCACTTTAAATGCGCCTACACTTGGCCGCGTTGGGATAAGGTGTCCTGCTTGGCGTTCCACTTCAGAACCGCCGCTGAGACACCCAGCTAGTTCCCGGGGCGGTCCTGACACAGCCCCAGCCACGGGGCCCTACAATCCAAATCCCAGCTCACTTCGGGCCTGAGTGTGTGTGTGTGTGTGCGCGCACGCACAGGAATTTGTCATTCATTCCATACACACGACTGGGCGCCAAGGACCGAGCTGGGCACAAGGGTCCAGAAATGAATGACAAACGGTTCATATCCCCAAGGGACAGGGGATTGGCCGGGGGAGACCAGTGACTGTGCGTCGTCCGTGTTACGAGGATGGAGGTCTGTGCTGAGCAGAGAGCCCGTGGGGGTGGGCTGGGGCGTTGTGAAGGTGCTTGGCCAGTGTGGCCGGCAGAGGGCGTGGGGGGGGGGTGGCCCTTTTACCCCAGCCATGCCCTCGGGCCTAGGGAGGAAGTGGGCAGGAGTGGGCAGGACTGCGACCTGCTGGAGCCTCTGGGGAAGCCAGGAGAGCCTTGGCAGTGTATTTTCTTGGTGATGCCATCTGCCAGTTGCTAATTTCAAAATTTGTCCTGAGGCCAATTGTAAGCCTGCCCTTTCAGGACTCTGACGTTTCTCAAGCTTTCCTTGAGGACTTAATTCTGTGTGAGAAATGAATAAGAAATAGTCTCTGTTCCCAGAAGCTCCAACCTCCACTCAGGGGCTGGAGTGGGAGGGAGGGGAAGGTGGGGAAATTTAGACCACTGATTCTCACCTGAGGGCCATTAAAAAAAAAAAAAAGTATTTTAATTGATTTCAGAGAGGAAGGAAGAAAGAGAGTGAGAAAGAGAGAAACATCAATGATGAGAATCACTGATCAGCTATCTCCTGCACGCCCCCTACTGGGGACTGAGGTGGAAACCCGGGCATGTGCCCTTGACTGGAATCGAACCCCGCCCAGACCCTTCCATCTGCAGGCTGTGCTCTATCCACTGAGCCAAACCAGCCAGGGTGCCTGAGGGCAATTTTGTTCCCCGGGGATTTTTGGTTGTCAGAGCTAAAGGGAGCGAGCTACTGTCCTCTCGTGGCTGGAGGCTCGGGACAGCCTCCTCCACAAAGAATCCTCCGGCCCCAACTGTCGGTGGTGCCAGGGTGAGGGCAAGGCTTGGGCCTCCGAAAGTGGGAAAGTTTATGCTTTGAACACGTGTGTGTACACGTATGTGTGTGTCCCTGTTCTCGGTTCGTGGGGAATGGAACTAGTTGAATAGCGGAGGTGAGCATGGTCACCCCTGTCTTATTCCTGGTCTTACGGGCAAGCATGGCCCCTTTCACTATTGAGTGGATATTAACTTTTCATAAATGCGTGTTGTGACTTTGAAGTTCCTTTCTGGTCTTAATTTTCCGAGTGTTTTAATCAGGAGAGGCTGCTGGGTTTTCTTAAACGCTTTTCCGGTTCCACGGAGAGGATCACGTGTTTTTCCCCCCTCCCTCTGTTCTACTCGTGTGGTTTGTTCCATTGGTTGATGTTGAACCGCCCTAGTCTCGCACATGCGTGTTTATGATTCACAGCGAGCATGCGTTAGCATACCTAAATTAGAGGTGAGCAGCCCTGAGCCTGAGGGCTAAGGAATGCACCCAAGACCAAGCACGTGATGGGCAGGAGCTGGGAGGAGGCCCCTTCTCCACTCGGTCCCTGGCTTCTCTCCTCTGGCTCTCTCCGCTGAATACCCAGATTCTCAACTGCCTCTCATCCCACTCGATCCTTTAGGAGAGAAATAACTTGCCCTAGCTGATTTGGCTCAGTGGATAGAGCGTCCGCCTGTGGACTGAAGGGTCCTGGGTTCGATACCAGTCAAGGGCACATACCCAGGTTGTGGTCTTGATCCCCAGTGGGGGTTGTGCAGGAGGCCGCTGACCCATGATTCTCATCATTGACGTTTCTATCTCTCTCTCTCCCTCCTCCTTCTTCCTTTCTGAAATTAATTTTTTAAAAAAAGTATATATATATATGAGAAATAACTCACTCTGGTCTCTCTGGTGGCTCAGTTGGTTGACTGTCATCCTGTGCACCAAAAGGTCACTGGTTCAATTCCCAGTCAGGGCATAGCCCAAGTGGCAGGTTCAATCCTGGTCATGGTACATGCAGAATGCAACTGATTGATGCTTCTCTTTCACATGGATGTTTTCCTCTCTTTCCCTCCCCTTCTCCTGTCCTCTCTCTCTCTCAAGTCAATAAAAAATATATTTTTTAAAAAAATTAAAAGGAGAAATAACTCAAAGCCATAGATACTAAAGCACCTCTCTCTTCTCCTTGCAGGTTTTCTGAATGACCTTGCTGCTTTGTCTGTGCTGTCTGATTTTCTCCTGCCTGACCTTTTCCTGGTTAAAAATCTGGGGGAAAATGACAGACGCCACACCAGCCGCCAAGAATAAACCGGAGGCGAGCTTCGTGCCGAGCCAGGAGCCCCTTCCAGCGCCCAACAGCTCCGAGGAGCCACCGCAGAAAAACGGGGACAGCGGCCCTTTGCCAAAGACCCCCAACCAGGAGGAGCCCGCCTCTCAGAAAAGCCCCAAAGATGCCGACTGGCAAAGGACCTCCAGGCCGCCCCGGCACAGGCACCCCTCCAGAAGCCCCCTTCCCTCCCGCGATGCCTCCCCAGCCAGTGGGATAAGGACCCCAGGCCTGGAGGCCCCAGACGCCAACGGCCTGTCCTCGCCGCCGGCCAGGCCCCAGGCCCGAGTCAGGGCCCTGTCCAAAGAGGACCAGAAGCAGGCGCGCCTCAAGAGGCAGCTGATGACCAACTTCATCCTGGGCTCCTTCGACGACAACTCCTCCGACGAGGATGCGGGGGCCGGCCCTGGCCGGGAGTCCTCCCGCAGGGGCAGCCGGGCCAGCCTGGGGGCCCTGACCCTGGAGGCTGCTCGGGCCGCAGGCGACTCGGAGGCCCTGGTCCCCGCGATGAGGTAAGGTGCCCCCCTTTCTGTCCTCGTAACCGGGAGGGCGGCGGGCGCAGAGTGAGGGAGTGGTCTTCACCCTCTCCCCTCCTCCCCGCACTGCTCCGTCAAGCCATCCTTGGATGCCAGCGCTTCCAGGGTAGCTGTGTGAAAAGCAGATGTTACCCTTCTCTGCCTCCTTCCTTCCTTCCTTTCAAAAATCGTCTCTTACACACCTGCCGTGTGAATGGGAAGCTGGCTTCCTAGGCAATCCCAGCCTCGCTGGGGAAGAGGGCTCCGCGTGTGACTCGTTATAATTTAAGCCGAACGAGCTGAAGCCACGAGGGATGGCGGGAGCCTGGAGGGCAGGCCAGTTTCCCTGCCTCCTAAAGGGACATCCCTCTAATTTGTGCGTCTGTCCGGTCAAGGGCATGTACCTTGGTTGTGGGCACATCCAGGTAGGGGGTGTGCAGGAGGCAGCTGGTTGATGTTTCTCTCCCATAGATGTTTCTAGCTTTCTATCCCTCTCCCTTCCTCTCTCTAAAAAAATCAATAAAATGTATTTAAAAAAAATTTTTTTTTTTTTTTTTTTTTTTTTTTTTTTTTTTTTTTTTTTAAAGAAGAAGCTGAGACCGGTTTGGCTCAGTGGATGGAGCACCGGCCTGCGGACTGAGGGGTCCCGGGTTCGATTCCGGTCAGGGGCGTGTACCTTGGTTGTGGGCACATCTCCAGTGGGGGATGTGCAGGAGGCAGCTGATCGATGATTCTCTCTCATCGATGTTTCTAACTCTCTATCCTTCTGTCTTCCTCTCTCTAAAAAGTCAATAAAATATATTTTTAAATAAAAAAAGAAGAAGCTGAGGGCTGGAGAGGTTCAGGGGTCTGTCCGAGGTCTCCCAGCAAGATCTCCTTAGGCCCAGAGCACCACTTGAACCCGGACCCTCAGCAGAAGCAGGTTAGAAACTGGTCTGAAAACTCCCGGTATTGATGTGGCCACCTCACGTGGGCTCCACCAAAGGCACCTGCTCCCTCCTTCTAACTGTTCTTTCCCTTTAATGGAAGAGGGCCAACTGATCAAGCACGCATTCCCCTGTGTGCTCCTGGGGAGGACACCCCCTGCCCTCTCTGGGCCCGTCTGGATGCTCCGAGCTCCTCTCTGGCGCTAACGGTCTTGGCTTTCGCGTCTTTGTGTGTGGAGGGGTCGGTAGGGGCTGGGAGATGGGGAAAAAGAGAGGAGCTGGAAAATTGGAAAAAGCACGTTCATTGATAACCATCTTCTCCTTTGCTAATTACCGCAGAGGGTCTGGGTTCCGGGCGAGCTGGGGACAAGCTAGGAGACGAGATGGTCCAGGGCGGTAGCTAAGGTGTGTCCCCCGCCCTTCATTGGCGTGGGGGCTCTTTTTGCAGCCCTGCAGCTGGGTGCCAGGCGCCGTGATTGGCACCGCGGACGCATAGACAGTGAGACCTGGCCCCTGCCCTCCGGAGGACGGGCTCAGGAAGGGCTGAGCGGCCGGGAGCCCGGGACATTGCCCTTGATGGGTGGAGAGAGCTGGGGGAGGGGCTAAGAGCACTCCCGCTGGAGGCCAGCTGACTGAGCACCGGCCTGCTGACTCCTCCACCGGCCGTCATGTGACCTGGGCTTGAGCTGTCAGCTTTCTGTGCCACAGCGCCCTCTCAAATGAGGCCACAGTGGCCCCTGCCTCACAGGGCCAGAGCCCGGCTCAGGGCAGTCACCATGAGCACAGCGCCTAGAGCAGGGCCCACCGGGCACTCAGTGTCATTCAACGCAAAGCACGGGGTCACAGTGCGGGCCCAGGTTCAGATCGCAGAGCAGCCCCAAGACCTCTCTCCGAGCTGCCGTTCCCTTCTCTGCCGAAGCAAGCGGGATGAGACCGGGCCTCCCCGGGAAGTGCGCTGAGGAGATCCCACGGGAGGAAGGGCCGGGCGTGGATGGCGGCGGGCTGCCTCGGTGGCCGTCTGTCGAATGGGCATCTTACAAAGCTGTTACCGGTGGCGATGGCTGTCCTCACGGCACACCTCGGCTTTCAGGGAGGGCGGCAACCTGTGTCCACGGAGGAGGAAGGGGATGGACACGGCAGGGGCAGTGTCCCTGCGACGGGCTCACGTACCCACTGGCCCGCAGGTGCCGGGGGTTAGCCCTGCCTTTTTCCAGAATGCTCGCTTCCATGTGGGAGTCTGAGAGGGTTGCAAAGCGCACCTCGGACCCTGGGGAGGCGAGCGGAGTGAGGGTCTGTGGGCTGTGGACATGATGGAAGGAACCCGGCCAGGAAGTGAAGGTGCAGCGGAAAGGAAAGGGACCCCGAGATTTGCATCCCCCCATGCCCCCCCCGCCTCCCCCCCTCCCATCCCACATAGCATCCGGGTGAGCTCAGCCTCTCCTCTTCAACAGTTGCCATCCATCCCTTGTTCATCAGTTCTGAGTAGTGAGCGGCTCCTAAAACTTACAACTCTGTACATATTTGTATCTCTAAATGGCATGCAATGGATCTTTCTAAGATATCTGAATTTGTGTATTCATGTGCTAATGTAGGGGAGGGACGGACAGACCCCGCCCCCTTACCCTCCCATTTTCACCTAAGATAGTCTCTGGGAGCCCGGGACAAGGGGATCCCTCTCCTTTCAATGTTCTATTGTGGAATGAATGCTGAGGTCCGGGGGAGGTTGGCTATTCTCTCAATACAGGGTCCAGAGTACCACACCTGCTGTCTTTCACCTTTCCCTTACGCATAAATAAGCATCCTGTTTTAGAAAAAAATCTTTCACTTCTGCTCTATACTTTTCTGTAATATTCCCTCCATCATATATTAATTAAAAGGGATTATTTATTTATTTATTTATTTTTTCACAAAAGTGCATATTATGCCCATGATTTTCCAGAAGAGGAAGTGGAGAGAACCGGTTTGCTCAGGGTCACACAGTGCCGCCAGCCAGTCGCATGTGCGTTTTGTGTGTGTGTGTGTGTATTCGTGCTGTCACCAATCTGGGCTTTCTGCAATATCAACAACTTAAATTTAGCCTCCGATAAGTCTCCGGAGCAGGGCGTTCAACACGGGATTGCAAGCACAGCCAAATGTGAACAGCTTCATTGAAAATCACAAGCACTGATGCCGGCATAATGGTGGTGTGTATAGGGGTGCCTCTTACTCTTTCCTTCTCGTCTTTTATTGGATAATCACGCAGCAGAGAAAAGCCCAAGCCGCCGTCCCTCTGATTGATGACAGGCTAAGCCCAGCCATCTAAGGGAAACCCCTCTTTGAGAGCCTGGGCGAAGCCCCGTGTGTGAGGGCGGGTGCGCAGAGAAGTTAGAATATCACACGGTGTTATATAATAACAGCGAGTGTTGGGGATTGTCCATAGAATAGATAATAAAAATGGAGAGCAATGGAAGGAACCTGCTGAGAGTTTTTGCTGAGAGTTCTTGCTGATCTGGACTGACCTGGGTCGGGTAGGGTGTTTTGAAATACCTTCATTTCCTGATTTTAATTGTTTTCATAATTTTGAGGCAGTTACATTTAAATTTGGGTCGTTGTGGGTTGGGGTGGCGACTAGGCGAATACTTTTAGGTTTTGGTTTGAAACTTTAAAAAAATCAGCTTAAGGTGATTTTTATTTTATTTTTTTATTTTATATATATATTTTTTTAGGGATTGAAGGTAAGGCCAGAAAGAAACTTTGAAGAACTGGGAATTTTGTTCACCTGTGTTATTTATTTTTTAACCTATTGGGGGTTTTTAATTATTATTTTATTGGTTGATTTTAGGGAGAGGAAAGAAGAGGGAGAGGGAGAGGGAGAGGGGAAGGAAGAAGGAGAGGGAGAGAGAGAGAGACATCAATTAGTTGTTCCACTTATTTATGAATTAATTGGTTGATTCTTGTCTGTGCCCTCACCAGAGATCTAACCTTGGTGTATCGGGACGATGCTCTTAACCAGCTGAGCTACCTGCCAGGGCCTGTTTATTAAACTCGTTGAAACGTTGTTTAATATCTGGTTCAAGTACAACTAACCCGTGCCCTCAGGCAGGGCTGCTACTCCACCTCCAAGGGAGGTCACGAGCCTCTGCTGGTCATGCAGATGGTGCCCCCTGGAGGTGTGGCCCTGGCTATATTTTTTGAAGGGAATCATTTGCAAACACATTATTTTTTTTTTATTTTTGTTTCTGTTTGCTACGAACATGGGCTACATTAATTATTGGTGCAGTATTTTTTAGGCACTGTTTTGGATTCTTTTTATTTATTCTGACTACTTGGAGAAGCATTCATTCATTCATTCTGCCTGGGTTCACGTCACCAGCTGTCACCTTGGGCAGCATTTATCTGCATGATGGGAATAAAAACGGTAGGATTGCTGCAAGGGTTCAATGGACAAGGGCACTGAAAAGCCCAATAAATGTTCATCTTACCAGAAAGGTGAGATGAAAGGATCTTATTTAAGGTTGTCTGGGGTCTTCCGGGTCTAGAAGGCCCTCACTTTATTTTCAATACATTTTTATTAATCGATTTCAGAGAGGGAACATCCATGGTGAGAGAGAATCATTGATTGGCTGCTTCCTGCACGCCGCACACTGGGGATGGATCCCACAACCTGGGCATGTGCCCTGACCCGGCACTCGAACGGTGACCTCCTGGTGCATATAGGTCGAGGCTCAACCACTGAGCCATGCCAGCCAGGCAGGGGGCCCTCACTCCAGAAGGGGACCCAGATGGTTCAGAGCACGTGCTTATAGAAAGCCCCCTTTGGAGAGGCGGGGCACGGAGCAAACAAGTCCGTGGAAGCAGAGGTGGGAGAATAAACAAAAACAGGAACTTGTGTAAGCCAAAAGTTGACTTGAGTACACGGGCTTTTCCCAGAGGCACGTGGTGACAGCTGACTCACATTTCAGAGAACCCACATTTTCCACCACTTCCCTGCCGTGTGTGTGTCTCCCAGCGCATTGATTGCGAGTGTTTTGCAGCTGCCAATCTGTAGGGGGAGGCCGTCCTAGGACTCTTCCTTCTACTGCAGGCAGGGGA